TGAAAAGTATAGTGCACATTCGTCAATCTTACTTATTACAATACATAAGTGCTATTCACGAGGAGGGATGGGTGATAAGTGACAACACATTTGTCATTGTCACAGTAAAAGTAATTGTCATTGATGATTCAACCCTAAAGTCTTTTTCTGGATTCCCAGATCTTTTTATAATGTCAGTTGCAATAGATTATGTTGTAAATAGTTTGCAGTAAATTATGGTGTAAGTTGACTGACTGACAATGTTTCTTCTTTTTCCCCATTTAGAATACAAAGATTAGTACATTTTAGCTTATGATTAATATTATATTTTTACCTATAGTTTACCTAGATTGCAATAAATTAAATTAAGTTCGATTATTCCTATTTAATAATGGAAGAGGTTGGACTGTATATCATGTTCGGACATCAATAACTGCACTAATAATTATAATAATTTGTTTCGTTTTTTGCTCTCTTTAGTGTTTCGATCATGATGAATTACTGGCCACGAAATGAGGCTCTCAATTCGTCCCCAGTAATCTATCAATTTTTAAATAATTATAATTAAATTATTTCAAAATAAACAAACGCTATATGGCTAATTTTAGGTAATTTTCTGGTTTCTTATAAATTCGAGGGCGATTTCCAATCAAGTCTATTTTTCCCGCTCTTTACGAAATATACAATTTTCCTGACTGGGACCCCACACAAAACATAATGTATTCACATATTTATGCATTATTTATCTAACACGTCAGATTGATTGATAGTCACACTGCAGTTGTACATTTATTACTCTAGTTGTTTTATTTTATCAGTTAATTGTGCGTGCTACTGATAAAACGGTACATGTTGTGCGTAGAATGAGTTACCGAGTACATTATTAGTGATGCTTATTTCATTTTACAATTCTATAATATAATATAATAAGCAATTGTACGGTAAAATCGAATATAACTCTTTTTCTAGGTCTTTTTACAGTTTTCGTTGCCTATAGATCCTTTTGCCGAGTTATATCTAAAGTCCGATACAAATTTTAAATCTTAAAGTACTTTAAAAGTTTAAAATTCGATGAACTAATCCTTTTGAGATTTTAAAAGGAAGGAACATAATGCATATTCGACTATAATTTTGAATTACATTCCTCAACTTATTTTTTGAAGTGGCCAAAATATAGACAAGTTTGACAAAGAAGAACCGATAAAGCCTTTTAAAAGATAGTAAAACGGTGTCTGTCTAGAGTCTAAACAGTTTCGAGAACAACATCTCGTCTTCTTATCGGTGTAACGTCTGCTTTTATATGAAATATACCTAGGTCGCGGTTGTGTTGGTCGGAACTAGTCTATCTCACATCTATATTTACTGTTATAAGTACCTATTAAATTAGTTCTTGCTTTTATTCGAGCTCTGTTAGCGTTCCCGTTTTTATGAAAACCTTTGGGGGGGGGTCCAACCCGATCAATTCCGATCATTCCGATCCCGATTTTGGCCTCATCAACCCTCATATCGGAAAAATCGGGAAAATTTAAATCTTCCCTCTGAGGTTTCTAGGCGATATAGGTAGCTATTTCTGTACTTAAATATGACAAGAAATCGATTGGTGGTGGTCCCAGAACTCCAAAATGGTATCTTGTTCCAAACAAGAATCGTTTCGTCCGAAAAACAACACAATGTCGTACCAACTCTTGTTTGACAGAAACATCCACCCCGGTCCACAATTGAAAGAGATACGGTTGGTAATAACAATCGTAACAAATAGCGAACGCTTTAGTAACTTTTGATTTAAATTGTCTCCACAATTTGTAACAGGCTATCTGCAGAAATGGGTAGCACGGTTAATGACTATGGTCCTTTCTCAAACTTCCAATCCTCAGTTAGATACAAAGAATAGTCTACACAATTTTCAATAACATTAAAAGGGATGAAAATCACTTTATTTATCAAAATCTTTATTTATCATGTAACAACTTTTCCATAGTACTGGAGAGTAAAACTCTGTTAAACAAAAAAATTCTCGGGCACATTTTGAGTCAGTAACAGTAACATGTCAATATGTTACAGACTCAAATGCGTTTAAAAACATTTTAGTAACAATAAATTGTGTAAACTGATGAGGAGGAGGAGGACTGAGGAGAAGGAGGACTGAGGAGGACAGAGGAGGAAGACTGAGGAGGACCAGGACGAGCACTAGGAGGATGAGGACGAGGACTAGGAGGATGAGGACGAGGACTAAGGACGATGAGGACGAGGACTAAGGACGAGGACGACTGAGGAGGAGGACTGATTAGGAGGAGGACTGATTAGGAGGAGAAGGAAGAGAAGAAGGAGGAGGAGGATGAGGAAGAGAAATGAGGAGGAGGAGGAAAAGGAGGAAGACTGAGGAGAAAGAGGAGGACCGAGGAGGAGGAGGACTGAAGAGGAGAGGGAGGACTGAGGAAGAGGAGCAGGATTGGTGTGGAGGAAGACGAGAAGGAGGAGGACGAGAGCGAGGACGAGGAGGAAGACTGAGGAGGAGGACTGTTAAAAAGGAGAAGGACGAGGACTGAGGAGGAGGAGGAGGACTTAGGAGTAGGAGAAGAAGGAGAAGGAGGACTGGCGAGGAGGAGGACTGACGAGGAGGAGAAGGACTGCGGAGGAGGAGGATGACTGAGGAGAAGGAGGAGGAGGAGGACTGACGAGTAGGAGGAAGAGGAGGACTGAGGAGGAACAAGATGACGACTGAAGAGGATGAGGAGGATGAGAAGGAGGACTGGGGGAGGACTGAGGAAGAGGAGGACTTGGGGAGGAGGATGAGGACGATGAGACTGATGAGGACTGAGGAGGAAGACTGAGGAGGATGAGGACGAGGACTAAAGACGAGGACTAGGAGGATGAGGACAAGGGCTAATGAAGAGGAGGAGGACGACTGAGGAGGAGGACTGATTAGGAGGAGAAGGAAGAGGAGAAGGAGGAGGAGGATGAGGAGGAGGACTGAGGAGGAGGAGGAGGATGAGGAGGACGAGGACTGAGGAGGACTGAGGAGGAATACTGAAGAGGACGAGGACTAAGGACGAGGAGGAGGCGGAGGACGACTGAGGAGGAGGAATGATTAGGAGGAGAAGAAAGAGGAGAAGGAGGAGGAGGAGTAGGAGGAGGAGGAGAAGGAGGAGGATTAGGACTGGGGGAGGACTGAGGAGGAGGAGGACTAAGGACGAGGATGAGGACGAGGACGATTATGAGGAGGACAGAGGATGAGGACTGATGAGGAGGAGAAGGAGGAGGAGGATGAGGAGGAGAAGGAGGAGGAGGACTGGGGGAGGACTCAGGAGGAAGAGGATGATGACTGAGGAGGAGGATGAGGACTGAGGAGGAGGACTCAGGAGGTGGACTCAGGAGGTGGAGGAGGATGAGAAGGACTCAGGAGGAGGAGGACGACTATGAGGAGGACTAAGGAGAACTGATGGGGAGGAGAAGGAGGATCAGGAGGAGAAATGAGGATGAGGAGGAGGAGAAGGAGAAGGAGAAGGAGAAGGAGAAGGAGGAGGACTGGGAGTAGGACTGAGGAGGAGAAGGGGATTGAGGAGGAGGGTGAGGAGGACTGAGGAGAAGGACAAGGACGAGGACGAGGAGTCAGGAAGAGGACTGAAGAGGACTGAGGAGGAGAAGGACTCAGGAGGAGGAAGACTTAGGAGGAGGAGGAGGAGGACATCTAAATGTTTTGTCTGTTTTTGTCCGCCCTACTTTTTGTCCGTTTTGAAAATACAGGGTACCGAACGGACACAAAACATGATCCCCCAGCCAAGCATGTGTTACGATACAAATGTACTTGACTATACATTTAAGGTGCAGTGTACTAGTGATATTATGGTATGTTTAAAGACCGGACCACAAAATATAACCCTAGTGTTGTACTAATACATAATAACAAGTAACAGGGATAAAATTAATGAGCAGAAACAATCGATCTCACGTCAAGAGGCCAAAGCACTCGGGTCTGGGAGTACATGACAACTCCAACTAGTAGTGAGCATACTAGCCCCTGCAGTGGAAAAACACATAAAACATACTATTGGAATGTCCAATTAGTTCGTTTTCTCATAACAATATAGCATATGTAGGGTTTTTTATCACTTCCTCACTTCTGAGAGGTTTTAGAGATCGATTCTCTAAAATTTCTCAATTTTCCGATTTTTCCGATTTTTCCGATTCCGATTTTGGCCTCATCAACCCTCATATCGGACATCGGGTTGGACCCCCCCCCCCCCCCCCCCCCAACCTTTTCATGGCTGATAATCTGAGATGAGAGGTCACTCTCTACTCGACAGTAGAACAAAATTGATTACAATGTCGCACAGTTCTGACAGCTTAGTATTCCGGGAGGCTTCATGGCAGTAGCAAGCACGGTTTCACCTCCTCACGTTGCTTTTCGGAGGAAATTTCAACATGAGGAACTTTAAAGTTAAAGTTAAGCGCCACAAATTCCACTTTCAATCAGCCCTGTCTCAGCCAATGCAATTAGTTCCATTAAAATGGATAAAATACTACCACAACAAAGCCATGTTTCTTTAAAACCCCAACCCTAACCTAACTACCAACCATTACGTAGGTACCAATGGTCTGTAATTCTATTAAAAAGTTGAAAGAGGACGCGAAATATTCTAGTCGGGACAAAAGTTTATTTTATTACGAACTTTTAAACAACAGAAATTGAATAGTTTAAACCTGAAATGAATAGTTCGAATTGCTAATAACAGTGATCAGAATGTCAAAGTAGATGTAATTAAATCTTTGTTATTGCGATTTGCGAGTTACATTTTTTCCATTTGTATGTAAATCAATCTGTGCCCTCCTCGCGGAATATCGTTTTACTCTTTTGTTTTTATGAGTTGATATTCCTTCAGATGCTGGGCTGGCCAATTAGTGGACAATTGACAAGGAATGACTGCGCCTTTCCCATCTGTCGGTAAATAGAAAATCGCACACATTTTGTTTGATTCAAGTTTTTTTTATATAGGATCAACTCGCTTACTTGCACAACGTACCTTTGCAAGGCCTAGTTTGAGGTTCAGCAAAGATAGGCCATGTTCTGCAGCTGCAGCCTCTGTCCTCGTCTGATTCATCTGGGAAAAAATATAATTTTAATAATTCGGTTATCTCGGCTCAAAATCTAGGAAGGTGAATGGAACAGTCTATACAGAATATCAAATTTCGATCTCATCACATACATCTATTTCAGTATTTTATTGGTGATCTTCACGAACTGATAATGATCTGATTGCAAACAGAAACCAATATAATTTACATAAAAGTGCCATATGCTCGCAAGACCTTAGCCATGCGAGTATAATACCATTCCTACAAACCAACTTCAATACTTGTTTCATGTCTGACCTTACAACTGAATGTTAACAGTCTTATCCTAACAACATAAAAAAACGATTGTATTACCATTCACGGTCTACAACTCAAAGCAGATTTAACTTAAAATTCATGTCGTTTGGTTCTCGGATCATATCTCAAAGGAATATATTAAATTATTAACGCGGCCACAAGGGGGAATATGCCGAGCCAGAGCAATATGATTAAGGTCTGTGAGAGTAATACTAACTTGTACCTGCTCAGTGCTCACGGCCAAGAGATTTCACCGTTATATTATAATATTAATTCGATTTGCGCTAGGTTTTTGAAAGTTACTACTCTGACTAGTGCTGCAATTAATTTTCTAGTAGTTCTAGATTTTAGTTCTCTCTAACGTCACCAACGGATACAAATTAGAAGTTTGAGTGACCACTTTATTTATATTTATCATGTTATTATATTTATTCGTATAGGGACTAGCTACAATTTACAAGAGACTTGACCGCAGGTAGCAGATATAGATCTGTGTTTCCCCCTTCTGTCGAGAGATAAAAGTGTCGGGCCCGAGCCGTCAGATATCCAACAAATAAGTCATCTGATAGTGAATATTAATATTACTAGCTCCGCTGGACGGATACCGTAACAGGCAGATAAAGGTGCAAGAATTAGAGCTGGTTCAACTAGCTCTTAGTTTTCAATGGTCAAAATCACTGCATCGTCCAAAATTTCGGGGTAGCGAAACTGGTCTTGCGGTATTTAACTGTGCCGAACTTTTTTGCGTGTTAATCCGTGTCGACTGTCGATATACAGAAATTTAGATTTGTCTAAGGCCCACACATACGGAGAATTTTTGATAATAGATCGTTCGGAGCGACTAGGTGATGCCGGCGAGCTGTATTTCATCGCTTTTCTCGAAGACGCTCAGCGATAATTCTGTGCTGATTTTAAACCTATTGTCTGACAATTTCCCGACGACTAGAGGCTATTAGACTTTACAAAACTGAAATTTGTCAAATTCTGCAATAACGATTTTGCGATAAAAATAGATATGACATGTATTTTGTGGGCATCATAATGGTTGATATCATGATTATACGAATTTCTTTACGATTTAACCACTCCCTTTAACAACGTTTAAGTAGAAGGTAGGTCATTAGCAAATGAAACATTTGCAATAAACGAGATCACACTTATCTTTACTTTCCACGATAATCCCAACTGTTCATTTTCAAAACAAATACAAGGTCATGGCGATGGGTATTCTTAAAATTGATTCTCACTCTCAAATAATCCAATTTTTGATGAATATGGCCCATAAGCCTTTAAGGATGATCAAATGGGCACCAAGAAAAGTATTGCTTACCTAATAGTAAAACTACGTCACAAAAAAGGGACAGGCACCAAGCATTATTCTTACCCCAGGATCCTAATTAGATTTCATAAAAATTAGATCTTGTTAAATCAGGGCCTTCGTCGGTAAAATGCGAGTTATGAAATAAATCATAAAAAAATCACGGAAAAGCGCCTACTTACCTAAAAAGTACCTACCAACCAAATGAAATGCACTCAGTAGTTGCCCGGAAATATAGAAATAATTAAGACACCAGGTACTGAGGTACAGATATCCAATAATCTTTTTAAAACCGTTCCGTGTTTAAGGTCTACGATTAACTGCAAATTCCATATTGTGGAATCCACGCAGTACGCACACATACCTATGAATTCCTTCATCAGCCACTCCTTTATATTTATAACCGTGAGATATGGCATAAGCCTATAAAGTCAGATATGGCATAAGCCTAAGTCATATTTTTCATTAACTTTTGAGTCGGCTTGAGCTTGCGGAACGTTTTCATCTTATAGATTCTAATTACTTACTTTATGTTGCAGATATTATGCTATAAGTATATTTATCAGCAGCGGCTGATTGTTTTCAAATTTGTTGTTTGTGCATTGCTAATCAGTAAAATTTGTCGAACGTCGTTCTTGATCTTTTTGTTTCCGGTAAACTTAACAACGAATAGTAATAATTTATAATTTAATAACAGCCTTCGAATAAATTCGAAAGCTATATATAACTGTTTTCTGCAGATATGACTTGTTATTTATTTTACCACTCCCTGTGGTGACTTATTTGTGATAAAATCAATCCCTTTGAAAACTAATTGTAAACCTTTGCATATAAGTGCAGACGCTACAACACTTTATCAGATACAATTATTAGTATGAAGTATTTGCCTTTTATTTGTTTAAAATTCGTTTGTTTAAGATTTATCTGTTTAAAATTCGACATTCCTTCTAAATATTTCCTTATTTCCTTATTTTCTGTAACTAACTCGCCCCCTCTCAGAACATGTCAGGGCTACCAAGTGAAATAAGAAGTCTTGTGCTGGTGACTGTTTTAGGACTGTTACACTTCACCCTGCAGTTCTCAACGCGGGTCTTGTTTGGAATAGTGTTACTGCTCCTTACTCTATCCAACATTCATCACATACTCGGGTAACCTTGGTTTTACATTTTCTACCGTTTTTAGTGCAATTATTGTATTGGTTTATAATTACATTGGTCTGATTTGTGTAATTATTTCCTAAAATGAGTCTGAACGATTAAACTTCATCATTGAACATAAAAACTAAAAATCAAGAATGGTTCGTAATAAAGGCTTACATTTGGGATTTAGATCGTCGTAAAAATAATTAGAAAAATATATTCAGGTGAGAAAAGAATATACTAAAATCTAAACAATTGAAATACTAGTAGTTGCTCAAATATGATCTTACAATTTGAAGCAGTTAAGAGTTCAAAACACACCGCGTTATCATCTCCCAATGGAAAACAAAATTTCGCTTATTTAAACTTCAAAAATGTATGATTTAATATAAGCGAGAGTTGTGTAATTGTGATTTACTGAAAGGATCAACGGACTTCCAAAACCGAAAAATATAAACTGAAACGATGGTCAATGCTTTATGCTTCAAATGAAAAATAAATTGCAGGTTAATTTTAGCCAATTTGACTTATAGTGGTGCAAAAAGCGAATTTAAACTAGTGTCGTTATTTTTGGGGTGTCCAACCTTATATCTGGACAATGACCATTGCTGATATTATGGTGTATAATGTATATTGTACTCAGGTAACTTGAGTTTATTGAAAGTTATGCTGGTAATATGTACATATTGAATCAACATAAACTACTATTGAGTTAACTCAAACTAAGTAGCTTAGAAGCACACAATAACTTATTTAACAAGAACACTGATACAGGTTGTCGATGAGAAGCTTAGTGGTAAGAAGACTGGTACACCGCTACATAGCATGGTCCCTCGTCAGCTTCAGAATCAAGTTCATGAACGGATACTCATGGTGGGTTGAGTTCTTTATTAACTCCTTGAATATGTGGTATAATTAATCGGGAGGTTTTGTTCTCCTCCCTTTTGTCTTCTATAAAAAGACTTAAATCCAACTAATAGCAATATTCCAAGTTACTAAAAATTCATTCGGTTTTATTAAAGGTTGTATCATGTTTGCAGGTACAGTGAGGTTGATAAGACTGTGATACTTGGAGCTCTCCCCATCCCTGAAAATGTTCCCAGTCTGAAGCGAGCCAAAGTTAAACTCATCATCACCCTTTGCGAACCATTCGAACTGGAACCCATCTATACAGAGCAGGAATTCAAGGACATGGGCTTCGTTAATAAACGGTATGTTCTTACATTTTAGGGATTTTAAGATCGTCGGTAAAAATGCAAGTTATGGAATAAATCATATTTCAGGTGCAACGGAAAAGCACATACTTACCTAAAAAATACCTACCAACCAATTGAAATGCACTTAGTAGTTGCTCGGAAATATAGAAATGACTTAACAATTTGCAAGCAGCCCTTAAGAGTTCAGACAAACTACGAGCCGCCGTTCATCATGTCGTCGCCACATAATTGAGTTAAAACAAAATATTTCCGCATCTTTGATTTAAAACAAATTCCAAAAATTTTTAGTATGCCATCTTACTATATATAAAGCGAGACGATATATATGTGTATATATCCGTGCCATTTTACTGACACCACGGCATCAACTTTAACGCGACTTTCCGCAAAAACCGTAAAACATATACAACTGAAACTTTTTTGACTGGGTCAAATGCTTTAATGGCCTTCAAATCAGCATGAAAAAATAAAAAATTGGCCAAGGAATAATAATTTTAGTGCCCAAAATTTGGACTCTCAAGTGGTGTCAAAAACGCGAATTAAATAGGTAATAATTATTTTAGTCTCTCGAGTCTTGACACCACTTTAGGGTTAGACGGGTTCCTGCTAGTCTTTATAGATGTTGGGAGATTGTAGACAGGTCTGACTCAAAACCTAGGGTTTCAAAGCCCATTTAAGTTCTCAAAGTGTATCTACAAAATCGTTATTGTTAATCAACTGAAATTGGCAGCCGACTAGAAACAGTTTTTATTTCAGTCTTAATTTTAGAATACAACTTAGTTTGTAACACCAGAAAAGTAAACAAAATTCTTCAAAATTCCTCTGTAGATTACTAGTTTTTGTGATTTGTCGAAATAATGATTATTCGGGAGCCTCCACCTTAATTGTGAGGCCACTGAATAAACAAACGGGGTTTATAAAATTATCAGTAAGTTCATGCTTGAAAATCGGGTCATAATTCATTTTTGCACTGGCAAGTTTAGGTTGATGATGCGATCCCTTCCTAGCGGCTACAATTTTTTCGTGCAACAATTGTGGCAATCTAACATATCCGTGACTCCGTATTTTTCTTGACGATCTAAAATTTACAACAGTCGTCATAAATTAAGTTACGAATAACATAAGTTGAAGTTGAGTCACATACACGATTTTATATCCTTATCATCGAAATTGGTAGTCTACAGGCAACATTCCGTAATTCATCTAACTCTACGTTTGGATACATCGAATGACAACCTTGTGACAAAAATCGTATATTTCAGATTTTCGATACCAGACGTATTCGGTGCACCAGAAATCAAGGACTTGGTTGAAATAATGAAGAGCATATCAGAAACTGAAAAGAGCGGGTAATTAAACTCATCTCAGTTCTGACGAATAATAACTGTTTAGTTGGACAAAGGGTCAGAGACGAAAATCTGCTGATGATCGATACACCACCCGACACCACGATCTCTTGACTCTCATGACTTAGTGCCTTAACGTTAAATATAGCGATAATCCTAACATTACAATAAGATAACTGCCCGGGCACCACATTACGATATTAAAATAACAAGTCGTGTGCCCTATCCGTGGTTTTCTCCTAAATTCCACCAATCCCAGGTACCGAACGTACGTACACTGCAAAGCAGGGCGGGGTAGAAGTGCCAGTACGGTGCTCTGTTATCTGATGTTCCGCTACAACGTGAGTGTGGAATGGGCCCTGACCCTCCTCAAGAGGCAGAGATTCGAAGTGTCCCCCAAACCACAGCAGCTACTACGGGTGAGGGAATTCCGGGAGAAGTTCCAGAACATTCCGGAACTGGGGGAAGTCACCTTTAAAGCCAGTGAGGACTGTGCACTACTGGACGGCGCCAAGTACCGGTTTGCTTTTAGGCACATCACCGAAAGGAGGAACAGTATGCCCAACTGCACCAGCATAGTTAACTACAGACAAAAGTTTGGACTGCTGGACCCGCTTGACCCGAGTAGACTGGCAGCAATGGCAGAGGAAAAGACTGCAAAATCGGAGGCGATAGAGAAGAGAAAGAGATTGCCAGTCAGGAGGAGTATTACCAGATGATTATTAGACTGATTAGGGCAATGCCCTCAATTCTGAAAGTAAGCACTGTATAAAAGACAGATATGTTCATAGTGAAACTAAAGTTTCTGAGAAAGACGCAGAAAACTTGCACCACGCCGATATGGATGGCACCTGGACTAGTATAGACAGAAATCGAAGAATAAAGATTGAACTCTGAAGGATTTTATTGATGCAAGGTTTTAATAAAAGTCGATATCCAGAAAATTCTTGTTTAAAATCCGAATCTTACGTCCATCTACAGTGACTGGATAAACAGATTTTGTGCGCTGGCTTTATCAGCCTTCGTCCTGAGTGAAAACCTAAAGCTTGATAACTAGGGCCGTGAGAATTATCCGTATTTCTATTATAAAAGCTGTATTGCTGAGAATTGTTGACGCTTGCAGTTAGACTTAGAATAATTAGTATTTATGAGCTGGGGTTACTGTACTATTTAATGTCGACCACTGCCGATGAAAGATAAATTATTATTACTGGCCTCGCATTATCTGGAAATTTACTATATCTAACGGCCAGGTAGCGTAGTTGGTTGATCATCGGATTTGTAATCGTAAGATTGCGAGTTCGAATCCCACTGCCTGCCTAGTCGTGGGGTGAGCGTCGTTGACGCTCTGCTAAGGATCCCGAGTGGTCTATGTAGCCCCACGGTTCACTCAGCCGAATGCTCGAGAAATCGGGTGTGAGGGTTAAATGAGGAGCTGTGCTTGATCAACACAGCGAAGCCTCGGGCGAAGAAAGTGTGGCATAGTGCCTTAACCGTTGCTGGCCTTAGGAACGATCCTTCGGCTTCTTGTAAAGCTCTTCCTTGAAAGTGCTGGTTTACATTGTAATGCAGGTAATGCCGAAGTAAAATAACAAAGGTGGTCGACTCATTCGATGGCCTTGTTGCGTCGCAACGAATCCTCATAAGATAAGATAAGAAGAGAGATCACCAATGACGGCTGAAGGTTGGCATAAGATACTGTCGCAGTAGCTCTTTTCTTTGTTTTGTATTTATTTTGTTATATTGTTGAATGTTGATGATTAAATTAATTTCCTTAATATTTTCCTAAATATTTTGTTACTCGTTGTCAAGAATCGATTCCTAGTATCAAAATGCATTAAGCTTAAAAAATTTATTAAATGAGATATAAAAAAAAGATATAAAAAAGGATATAAAACATTTCCTTGTCTTTAAAAAGGATATAAAATATTTCTTTGTGTTTAAGTACCTGAGTCAAGTTAGCTCTTCTGACATGCCTCTTAATCTTCTCCCCCTTCATTGCGTATTTGTAGCGGAACAGCGCCATGCGCCAGCTTTGTTTAGCACTGTCCGTATATCCCTGTACGATATAAAAAGAAGATGAAGTATGAACATTTTAACAATAAGATGAAGTATGCATAATAAGATGAAGTATGAACATTTTAACAATAAGATGAAGAATACATAATAAGATGAGGTATGAAAAAACTTCTTTTTAATGATTGATAATAATATGATAAAACCCTGATTAACGGCACCCTGATTAACCGTGCCGTTTCACCCACTCCTTTATATAATTAAAAAAGAAGTATACTGATGTCACAAGTGTTTGCCGCAGATATGAAATAGGCCCACAGTTTTTTGATCTCCTCGTCGATTAATCTTTCTTTGTCTATATAAGAGGAAAAGGGAAGAGATTTCTCTAAGATCAAAGCAGAAATAAGATACCACTTGTATTGTCTTATCATCAAGGTTTTGACCAGAAACCATCTGCTTTTCATCACTAGTGAGTAGTGATGACTGATGAGGGAAAGGAAATTTCTTCAACCAGCTACAAGTGCACTGTGTAATTTCTGGATAGGAATATTGTTTATTAAGTTATTAGTCATAATATTGTTGTGATGTTTCTGAAGTACTCTATCCCCTCGATCCTGGTTCCCTCCGTACACTAATGCAGGATGGGAGGGTACCCACTGCAGTCAAACTTCTAATTCTATATCCCGTACCTCGATATACCGGGTACCTCGATATACCGGACCTCTTCCATTCCCCAAACTTTCAGTTAATGAGCTCGGTTTGTGCAAGAAATGTGTTTTCATAGCTCGCATCACATTTGGTAGTGATTTGAGTACATATCTTCGTTTCCCCGAGAGGCCCGGTATGTAGAGGTTTCACTGTAGCATTAGTAAAGTAAGATAGTGTGAAGATTCAAGCAGTAGACACATGAACTACTGAGGGCAGGGCATTGGTCTGTATTAAGTGACGAGGTATTCACGAGAACAGTGATCGTACTCTGTACATCCTGACGCCTGAGGTCTCGGACACTGTCCGCGTTCGGAACTGACTGCCACGGACGATTACCATTAAACAAAAAATATTACAAACTAGACCCTAACGCGCACCCTAATCGTGCCGTTATTTTGCTACTATCTCTACAGCACCAATCACTTTTGCAGTTCTAATTATGCAAATTACACTTTGAAGCTATGTCAGTACGTGTTATCTACGAGCCTACCCTATCGTTACCGGAGATTTGATAAATGAAATCTTAACACGCCTGGCATAAGATCACTCTCATAAAAAACAACGATGCCATGTTAACTGATCGAAATGTTGGTTTATGAGATCTTGAAATGAGACTCAAATATGTATCAGTCTGAATAACTTTAGTTTATAATTATTTATAATTCAACCTATTAGCTAACTAACCCGGGTATACCCAAGAACCTCAGACCTCTTGAGAAGCCTGTACGCCGAGCTCTGCTTATGAGCACCTCGCTCCTTGTACATAGCTAGAGGCATTCTCTCCAGCCTGTATTTTAGTTGTCCCGGTATCACCGGTTTGGAGAAGAACGAAACTCTGGGCATTGCTATAAAAGAGAAAGGGTCAGATTTAAATGGTTTCATTAGTTTAATAGAAATTATGCGATTATTTAATATAGTCAACTACAATATAAGAGACACAGGCAATAGACGACGGTGATAGAATATTGGCGAGGCCGTCTAAGTTTGTTTCGACGATAGACAGTATTTAACCAATCAGTTTAAGGTAAAGAAATCCCTGAATCACTGGGCTGATAGCTATTTTACCTGGCACACCAGTCCCTGTGCGCGGCGCTCTTTTCAAGCTTCCTGTACATGAAGCTATACGTGAGTGGAGCGAGCAATAGACTAGTAAGCTAGGTAAATAGCTATTAAGCTACGTATACAAACTTGCCCCATTTTCCTGCTATTATCCGAAATTTGCCCGTAATAAAACCACGTGGTGGTGGGAAATTGTAAAATTTATACAGTGTATTACATGTGATAACTAAATATAAGGAAGCGTTCAAAAGAACACAATTAATTAACCTTAAAATAAACCAATGACCCCAAAACCCCAAAACTCCTTGTTGTACAGGGATGCACTCGACTGGTTAGGGACCAAAACAATTTAATAGTAAATATACCCTTAATAAAGAGTAAATACTTAAATAAACCCTTAATAAATACCACAAGACAACTAATTCAGCTTCTTCGGCAGAGATACAAGTGTACCAGAAACAACAAGTGTGCCGGAACACTATTCTGTTATCTGCTGCATTCTGATTGGTTGCCCTCACTCCTGGTCACTGCTGCTGCATTCTGATTGGCCGACAGTCGAGGCGCATCACGTGACACACATCACGTGACACACACAGCGCCCACGTGACACACACAGCGCCCACGTGACACACTCGGCACCGCCTCATTGGTACAAGCCGAGACCTGAGGGGTGCTCTTATCTCTTAATACACGGATAATGGAGGGATGTAAGCCTGTTATCTTGACCGCATAGTTACACAGCGTCTACCTTTATTTAAATGATATGAGATTGCGCTTATCTCTTCAACAACTAACCAACATAGCAAGATTGTCTGAGTATAACCGTGCGATGAAGGGTTGTGAGGATACTAATAAACATTATCTTTCAATACCAGGAGTAATAATAAACAGATTCCTGAGTTGACAGCAGCCTACCAGTCTAGACTCTAGACGTATGGGTCACGTTATGGGTCACGTTATGGGGCATGGAATCATTACATATATAGCAAAATAGTAAGCGGCAGAATTCGAATAATGTAAATTTATATATTAGCGCTTTAAAAAACGATCTTAGAAGATTTCAATAAAGACAGGTCTGGATGCTGGTCGGGAAGTGAATAGTAATATTTTTAATGATGACAGTGATTCGATTTTTCATTGGTCAATGCTGGAAGCTTATGGGTTTATCGATGTCACGTGTCAGAAAAAATATGGTTCACCAGGATCCAGATCTATTGTTAATCATAAATAAGCTTGAAAACTTTAACTACCCAAATTTACGCCCGTTTCCTCCGGTTGGAGCAGAAATGGCAAGCGGTAAAGAAGTCTTCAGCTCCCTTAATACAGACATGAAGCTGATATATCTCTGATATATAAAACTCGAAATCAACAACTATTGAGTGATTTTCACAATCTTAACCGTAGGTCCAAATCACAGTCAATAACGCTCCGTAGCTCCCTGAAACATTTTCTTGTACCTTTAATCTCTCCAAAACTTCGTAGATTTCAGCGTCTCATATTCACACCTAATTCCATACAGCCCTCACTTTACATGGAGTTTAAACAGCAACTTGCTCTGTTTCAGAAAAGTATCATTCTCACAAAGAAACACCACATCCCTCATATTAATCCTGTGACTTCTGAATCTGGGGTTAGTAGGAGCGGAGGTGTTCATGTTGTCCGCTAACTCTGATTTAGGGCGCTTCCTGGCCCCGATAGCTGCTAGGGCTGTCTCGTTAGCTTCACGCTGTCTGATCAGTTGTTCTTCTTCTAGTGCCACCTAGAGGAGAGCAAATGAGAAATAAAGTACTGCTTTCTGAGCTGTAATTTATAAAATACGGCAAAAACACTGTTTTAAAATGTTTCGTCAATCTATCCTGTCATAATAAGGAGTAAGGAGTTTCTTGAAATGTAAAATTTACCTGTTTAGCTTTCGCCTTCGCCTCGGAGTTGGTTTGCTTGCTCCTCGACTTGGCCTCTTTAAGCAGCTGGGCTCTCTCTCTTTCTGTTCTTCTTTTCGTCTCTTCTAGCTGGATCTGTTGCAACACTTTTAACTGCGACTTTACATCATTTATCGTTATCACCTGTGAAGGTGTAAGTTTGTTATCAAACCAATTTGAAAATTAATCAGGGGCCTGATCAATTTCAAAATATGTTTATTTAAGAATTGTGACAAGGTTTTAACCTGGTCGTCCTGTTTCCTGAGATCCAGTCTGTGGTGGTTAATGGACACCAGTCTCTCCATCAGGTCCTTCATTCTAGCCTCCAGCGCGTGAGACAGCATCTGTTTAACATCGGGGGAACAGGAACTTACTCCGTGTCTAAAAGTTGTTTTTATTTCGAGAATTCTTAATTTCTTAATAAACTAAATCGTTGTTTATGTAAGTTTTTTTAAAATAGCTGGGTTACTTTTCAATAGCTGAGATGATTTTAACTCTCCAGTTTTTAATCGCCAGAAAATCTCAAACCTGTCACAAATGCGGGATATTTTGTTGCCGATTGATTCAGTGGTAACCATGGTGACGTCAGCAGTGCTCCTTTGCTCCTGTGACACTTGATCTTGTGTACTGATCTTAGCGGCTTCTTCAGTCAGGTTAACTCCTGGAAACAGGAAAAGTTACAGAAACTAAGTGGTAAAGATATCTTGCCGTTATTACTGAACACTATATAAATACATTCGTGAAGGAAAACGGTAGCAATATTTTGGTAACGTTGGTTGAATATTGTTCGGAGATTTAAATTATTCTGGAAAATTTCAGTTTGGAATATGGTATTTTTCCATTTTCAGAGTAACAGTTTGTAGTCTGAGCAGGTAGTGTATCTGAGTTCACAAAAAAATCACAGAGGATAGAGTTTCATAGATTGCTAAAAATCTAATTTTCATAAACTTTTCTGAAAATCACAATTTAACAACTAAACATAAGATTATAAAATCATAAGATTAAAAATCAAATCAAATCATTGTGTAAGTATTTACTATTTATACACTTCAAAAAGTTAGAAAATCAAAAAAGAGACAATTTTCTGATTTATTAACTTCATGCATTTTACTCCGAACTTCCGAAATACCAAATATCATTTCTTTGATTAAATTGAAAGACATAAAATTGTTATAAATATGTTCTAATAAATAGGTGAGTACTGGAGACGTCACAAGATTTTTTGAATAATGAATATTTTGCGGAACAGCATACAACCAATTCGTCAGCTCTACTGAAACATTCGGCTGAAATCTTTTTCATCACTGAATATTGATCGATGAACTACATTTTCTGACCAGATCTATAGTCGTGTAGTGGTCAGTGGTTTATAAGCTCTCATTGGTCAATATATTGTTAATCCGGAGGTCTCATTGGCTATTTCAATCTGATCCACCGTTCCTTTTCACCGACTTCAGGTCCAGCCACCATTCGAAAAACAGGGAATTCTGCGATAATGGAAATACTTTGAATTCTCCTGCTTCATAACTCTGTACAGAGCTCTGTGCTCACGGATATTTTTCAATAAACTTCTATGTCTTTATTCCATTTCTTCAAACTTCTTTACCTGCCATTAAAATCAATCAATAAATAAACACACCACAAACTATTCCTACCAACCCGTTATTTACCTGCCATTGAAGCTACATCGTTGATCTCATTATCATCCTTAGATAAAGTATACTTCTTTTTGTACTTGTCTGCGAAAGTTCGCTGTGGAACGGAGAATGTTGGAGCGGGGTGATAGTGTGATCCTCCTCCTACTGCACTACCGACTGAGGGAAATGGGTAGATTATGCCACGGTAATATGGCCTCTATAATCTATATGGCCTCTATAATCTATATATTCGAGCTTTTCATTTAGAATTAAAAGAAGTCCTTCATATTATGGAGCCAGACATGATACGCATTACACGTCAGGCCACTATATTACCGGTGTTAACCAAACGGAAATTGGAAAGTGTTCCTTAGTAATATAAACTATAAAGATACTACTACTGTATCTGTTAACTCACACTGATGTCCAATAGAGTTGGCAGGCAGGGGAGCAGAGAGTGGTATAAGTTTAGAGGTCTGGACCGGAGCAAGACCCGGAAATGGAGTGTGGGAAGACACTCCTCCGGTTTGGGGAGGCGGCTGTTTTCCCTGCATACTCTGCATACTTCTCTGCCGGGACTGAAAGTGAATTTTAGAACCACGCCAGATAAACCCCAATCAAATTGAATTTTCAGTTACTATAGATTTATTTTAGGACCATTTATTAATTAACATGAAATTAAACGGTAAGAAATTCTAAATTTTGTCGTAATGTCTGAACACTCCGGATTAGGAAGTTCATCCGAAATCCCGCGTCCGGGATATCTACTATTAACTTCTCGTTTCTTCCAACTCACCCACGTAGCAATCTAAAATAACGACCCTAGCTAAACATAGGGGGGACAACAAAGTTGTTACAATTTGAAGCTAATTTCAAGTGTTGTACTTGTTGAGGGGCTTTACTTGGCTTCACTTCTCGAGCGAGGGAACCATTAGTTTCTAAAACTATCGACTGAAATCCGAGGTTATAATAATATCAGATACACTTTCATAAAATTAACCTGCATCTCGTTTCTCAAGACAGGAACACTCTGTTTGAGAAACACTAAAAGGTGAGGCTGAGGAGGTGACTTGAGGGCAACTTGGAGTTCATTCAGAAACGTTTCCTCGTCTATATTCGCTGTCATCACTTTTCCTATCAGATCCTTAACGGTTTGTCCAGTAGAGGCGTCCTGGAGATGAAACTTACTTGATGATTGATCGGAAAGTTGGCACTAATTATAGAATATCTAGTTCACTCATTTAACAGGGTTAAATATTCATTAGCTATTTGCTTAACAAAGGTCCATAGTTCTTTAAGACAGGCTCACTTCAAAAAAAGAGGTTTTTCATTGATTGTAAATAAATTTATAAATCTGCAACAACATTTACCTGTTTGTTGGAAATGTTAAGGAGGTTGGTAAGGAAAGCCTTGAGCTTCTGCACACTCTCCCGGGTACTCATGCTGGAGAGGATGGCTGCTGTCTTCTGCTCTGATTTAGGTTGTTGAGGCTGCTGCTGCTGCTGCTGTTGTTGGGGCCTGATTGCTGGCTGTATTGGAATAGGTTGATTCTGAAGTGATATCGGCTGACTTTTTACCTGGGAGAAAAGAAGAGAAAATTAATAAAAATTTAAAATATTTCTTATCAAATCTGGCGACGGAACGTAAAGGTTAAATCATAATCAGCAAAGAACGATACGGCACATTTGTAGTTTCGACATTTGTTGATAGAGGTTCAGCTAGCGTACATTACAAATGATAAGGAATAAGGATGTTTATCGTCAAATTTAGATACTGTACCTGAACAAGAGGCTGAATAGGAACCACCATAGGTTTACTCTGGATAGATCTTATAGGTTGGGTTATCATACTCGGCCGTACTCCAGCTACAAGCTGAAATTATAATATTTTCAATACAGTTTCTAGGAGAAGATAAATGCTAGATGGTGAATGTCATCTAAGATAAAAAGCATTTTTGTATTTCTAGTCGTCATCGATGAAGATGGAGATTCATAAAAATAAGGAACGTCTAGAGTCAATGTTTTCTTCGATCAGAGAACGAATGATATGAGTGTTTTTTTTTTTCTTTTTTTTTGTTTTTTTCCTTTATAAAATGCAACCTACTCATAAAATGCAACCTACTTTATAAAATGCAACCTACTGATATGAGTGTTAAACTTCCAATTAAAATCTTCATGACATTTGGAAAATATTTTTTTACCTGGGGGACGGAGGAGTGAGGTGTAGCGGAGACCATGATAGTTTGTGGAGATTGAGAAGAGGCAGCGGTGTACACTGCAAAGGGTCCTCCAGTCATGGGTACCATTACTGAGGAGCTTACTGCTATTACCTGTAACATGGGTACCATTACTGAGGAGCTTACCGCTATTACCTGTAACATGGGTACCATTACTGAGGAGCTTACCGCTATTACCTGTAACATGGGTACCATTACTGAGGAACTTACCGCTATTACCTGTAACATGGGTACCATTACCGAGGAGCTTACCGCTATTACCTGTAACATGGGTACCATTACTGAGGAACTTACCGCTATTACCTGTAACATGGGTACCATTACTGAGGAACTTACCGCTATAACCTGTAACATGGGTACCATTACTGAGGAGCTTACCGCTATTACCTGTAACATGGGTACCATTACTGAGGAGCTTACCGCTATTACCTGTAACATGGGTACCATTACTGAGGAGCTTACCGCTATTACCTGTAACATGGGTACCATTACTGAGGAGCTTACCGCTATTACCTGTAACATGGGTACCATTACTGAGGAACTTACCGCTATTACCTGTAACATGGGTACCATTACTGAGGAGCTTACCGCTATTACCTGTAACATGGGTACCATTACTGAGGAACTTACCTATATATACCTGTAACATGGGTACCATTACTGAGGAACTTACCGCTATTACCTGTAACAGTTACCTGTTTATTAATTATTTATTACCTGTAAGAGTTACCTGTAACGGTTACCTATTTATTACCTGTTTATTACCTGTAACATTCACCTGTTTATTACCTGTAACAGTTACCTGTGTATTACCTGTAACAGTTACCTGTTTATTACCTGTAACAGTTACCTGTTTATTACCTGTAACAGTTACCTGTTTATTAGCTTTCATCTGTTAGATTTATGGAACAACATGTTAACAAATACACGATGTAATTAATACTTCATAGTGTTCGACGTTTGCAAAGAAAGTAAAACTAATCTTTAGCGATCGTATCTTTAAGTCAAGGATATCGTTCCAGAAAGTTAAATATATGATCGAACTGACGCTAGTAAAAAGCTATAACATAACTTAAAGTAACCCCAAACGTCCTGTGCTACATGAATGGTTTAAACCAATTTGAAATCTCAACTAAACACAATCTATCTAGCCACTAAGTAACTGAACCCCACAGAGGGATTACACCAGTCACCAGACACCCTACTACTGTACCCAAAGTGCGCTAAACTGCGCTAAAATGCGCAACAACCATCTGTTTCGAGGAATACTTTACATAATCGCACATTGCATCATATGTGTTCATAAAAGGGGTATGTCAAAGACTGAGTCACGTGACGTCACGTGATGGATTCAGACACACCAGGTTGTAATTTGAAAACGTTTTTATCTTAGAGTGCAATATGTTGTAAGATCAGGGAGGAACCATTTTCTGGGGAAAGCTCTGTAAACTGTTGCTTTGTGGTTAACATATTGCTCTTGCTTTGTGGTCGACATAATATATGACAAATTCGATATTTATCCCCTTGAATATTTATTTTTAGCGTACAACTGAGTGGATCAATAAACGAGAAAGGTGTACTTGACAGCTTAGAATATAACCCAATAATAATTGGTACAGTATGGGGACATATATAATATATTCGTCACATTTAACAGTTTTGTTGCGAAGGAGTAATAGTTGTAGTACCTGCGGTCCCATTGGAGCGTTGACTCGTTGTGGAGTAATAACAGCAGTGGGAACTATGCTAGCACTTGATATCGCTCCTAAAACGTAACAGCGAGTGTTATACACCATTCGGGAAAATAAATGAATAACAAATTAAAAACACTGAAAGTATGACAGTTGGTGATGTTAGAATATTATATAATCTAAAAAGATCTAACGAAGAATGATTAGCTAATGGAAAAGTATGATTAGCCAGAAATTATTCGTCTCAGCTGATCATTTTGCCGATGATCAGAACCAAAATAAAGTAAAAACGAAACACGATAGGGACCAACAATAATTATGCATAAATAAAATGTAATTTGACCAAAAATATAAAGTTATTCAGATAATAATAGCAAGAAAAATTTAAAAGAGTTGGGGTAATTCAGAGAGCTTATAAACCAAATTGCACCGCTTTTCACGATTAAAAAGATGATCATGATACACGAAAACATATGTTGTTTTCAAAATTGTATTTAGCAGCTTAGAAAAGGAAACCATTATATCGAAATATAAGATTTGAGATGAAAATACCGGTATTAATGGATGACGTGTAGGTAGTTTGTTGAGAGTGTAGCTGTTGGACTGACGTTAATATGGCTTGTTGAGGTTGTTGGTTGGTTGCTACTGGCACTCTGAACAACGGGGGGATTTATTTAGCAAATGTTCTCATTAATTAGTTAATTAATTAATTAATTAATTAATTAATTAATTAATTGATCAATTAATTAATGGCTATTACTGATGAGGAGTAATTTATTTGAAAATAAAAACCCTGAAAAGATTACTCATTCTGTTTACACATTAAAATTAATATCCCGAATTAACAGGAATTTTAAAGGAATTCAAATTTGAACTAGTAATGATAAACCAGGAGTTTAAATTTAAAACATGTGACTAGACACTTTTGGGTAGTTTGAACTTTGAAAACAGGACCCGGGCCCTGATATCAAACTACCCAAAAGTGTCTAATTACATATTCTTAACTTTAAACTTTACTTTATCGGAGTAAAACTGTAGTTAGGAGTCTTACCCGATAGGTTGTTGGTGGGTGTTGGCCGACTGAACTAAGGGCGGTGTTCCTGGACCGTGCTGCTGCATGGGTTGTAACATTGTTAACATCTGGCCTGAAGGGACAAGAATGTGTTACAGTAACGTGTTACAGTTTAGGAATGTGTTACAGTTTTAGGGACAACTTACAAGAGGGGAGGAATTTGGGTGAGAATACAAGTCACCATATTATTTAGGAGCACAGCTGATTATTTTATGTTTCGCAAAACCAAACAAAATAGGTGAATATATCTGATATCTATATTATATTTTAACCTTCCGACGAAATTCCTCCGCAACGGCATAAAAGCACAGAAAATTTACCAAAACGTGACCTTCCGCGAGAACCAATTTTAGCAAATGGAGTTGAAAACTTGTGATTTTTAGCAAGGATGTATAAAGAAATAAAGAAGAAATGCAGATAAGATAGAATTTTTAGAATTAGATTTGGGTTTTAAATTCTTGTAAACAACGTCAGAAATGAAGGAAAATAGATGTTAGAATTAGAAAAATGCTTAGCAACCTCAAAAGATTGGATTATCTTTATTACGTGACAAAAAAGCCTTACGACCTTGACATAACTAGCAATGGGAATGATTATTGATTACGGTAACCAGATTTCCCAGAATCCCCCGAACACTGTCTTATGCTAACAAGACAGTGACTTTCTTCAGAGTGTCTTGTTAGCATTTAGCAAGCTTGTACGAGTGCTATAAGTATAACCAGATTTTCGTGAGGTTTTGCTTATTGTTTTATTACATAAACTATACAGTCGAACTATACAGTCGCCCAATGTCATCAGTAACGAGAACTTGAATACCTTACTCGGGAATATTATAGCGGGTTAATTTATGACTGGAATTTTCCAAAACCCACCAAGCATCAAAATGTATTACTATTAGTTTACCTTACTCGGGAACATTATAGCCGGTTAATTTATGACTGGGAAAATTAATGACCGGGAAAAATATGGCGGAATTTTCCAAAACCTACCACTTTATCCCAGTCATAATATTCCCGAGTAAGGTAAACGGTGTAAAGTGACACTACTGACGGAGAGGATCGCGGAGGCTAGATGGAAAATGGCTGGGCACGTACTTAGGAGTGGTGAAAGCACCCCTGCCTACCTATCATTCAGATTAATATATGATGTATTAATAAAAGACCTTTTAAAGAGAAAATTTATTAGTAATAAAGTCTTAAAATTGGCTGATTTTGACAATCTGGTTCACATGGCCCATAACAGAGTAGTATGAGGTAGTATGAAGAATGCGTGACTACTCGGCCAATTGATGCATTTCTCGTTTTTGCTGTATTTATTTTTATAATAATAATAATATAATATCCGAGGAGTCCTAGCTCTCCCTGCGTCCTAAGACGCTGTTTCTCTTGTCGCATATACCGTGCCTCTCTATACTGGGTACCTCTATCTACTGGCCACTGGGCCTCTCCTTTCTCCCAAACTTTTAGTTAGTTAGCTTAATTCTGTCACACTACAATTTAAATCATAACTAATGAAATCATTACAAGATCTCGAAACTATCATTTCTTTTCTGAACATACAACCAAAATGTCTCTCTCTGAAGTAAAATGAATGCGCGCGCTACACAAGATTAGTCACCATTTCGACCAGCAGGTTTCTAGTATAATATGCATGCACAGTACACAAAAAAGATATTTCAGAACATTAAAGTGTCTAAAACTATAAAATTATTATTTTAAAAAATATAAAAAAAGTGTCTAACGAAATTTCAGAACATAATATTCCAAGTAAGTCCGACCATTTTGCAGTCTCCTTTACTTTGAAATCAAAGGTGAAGCGCATCAAATCGCAAAAGAGGGAATCTTTAAATTTTAAAAGAGCAAATTGGGATGCACTTAATGCAGACCTTGCAGATATTGACTGGCAGGCAGAGTTCACTGGTAATATGGAAACATCATGGAACAAGTTTAAGGAAGTTTTAGAGCAAAGAACCAATGAACATATTCCAAAGATTAAAATTGGAGGCAGGGCTCAACCTCCTTGGTTTGACGCTGAGTCTCATCAGGCCTGCCTAGAAAAAGAAAGGCTACACAAAAGTTATAAAGAAACCACGGACCCTTCCTGCAAGGCTGAGAAGTACTTTAAGTTCTCTAAAAGCAGAAGCGATTTTAAGAAAATTGCCTCCAACAAGATGGCATCTAGCTTTGAGGACGAGGATGATTCGAATCTAATTACAAAGAAATTCTGGTCCTATGTAAAAGCAACATCTAAGAATACTCGCATACCTGAACAAATTCACCTAGAAGATGTACACAAAAGTGATCATTCTGACCAAGCAAACCTATTTAATACCTTTTTTCATCAACAGTTCTCATCGCCTAGTGATTATGATGTACATGTTGATAACACACTCACACAGGATGATATTGATTATGTATCTACCCTTTTCAGTTCGTCTAGGATAGTAGATATTCTCAAGAATTTGAATACTAGAAAAGCTATGGGACCGGATAAAATCCATGGTGAAGTTCTTAAAAAATGTGCCTTTACGTTAGCCCCAGCACTGGAGATTCTTTTCACAAAGTGCTATGTATCCGGCTTCCTACCTTCAAATTGGAAATATGCAATTGTTGTTCCAGTACACAAGAAAGGCTCCAAGAATGACATTAAGAATTATAGGCCAATATCTTTGTCTAGCTTAGTTATGAAAGTCATGGAAAGAATTATTCGAGATGAACTTTTGAGTAGATGTTATGATAAAATTGATCCTCGTCAACATGGTTTCCTGCCTCACAAATCTTGTGCAACTCAGATGGTTGAATTCTGCGATAGCCTATCCCTCTCTCTTAACAAGAACATTAGATCTGATATTGTTTACTTCGATTTTGCCAAAGCATTCGATTCCGTTAACCACGACTTAATACTATACAAGCTAAAATTTTATTATAACAATTCAGTGTGTAGTCGTTTTACATTTGGTTGCAAATAGCGAGCTCTGTTATCAGCTGTTGTAACTTGCGATAAGAAGTGCTTGTCTTTTAGTGTGATCGTTGTGTAGCCTGTATACAAGAACTGTACATTGGAATATACACGATGCAGTACTCATACCATGAACATACGAAGCATTTGGTCGATGACCCCGATAATGATGATCTGTTTAGTGCCAGACATGCAGATCAGGTAGCGAGAGCTACAAACAGTGTTTTTAATGAAATGTGCCATGAACTGGATGTTAAGGAATACGGAGATCTAGTATTGAAAAACCTGAACAAGCGATCAGTTTCGAAAGAAAAACTGTGTGATTGGCTGCAAACTGTTTGTTTCATTTTGAATCGTTATGCGGCTCCTCATTTGCAAATGGCTGCGGAGAGAGTAGATAAACAGAACATTTCAGTAATCGCGGAGCAGAAAACTGTCATTGATTTGCAGAAGCAGCTCATTGAAAAGAAGGACGAAGAACTCAAGTCTGTTCAAACAACTGTGCAGACAGAAATGAAATCATATTCTTCTGCCCTGAAAAAGACTTGTGCAGCTGCTCTTACGCCAAAGAAGATCTGTACTGCAGTTAAGACAATAGCTGAAAAGGATGAAAGAAGCAGAAACGTCGTAATCTACGGAATAAGTGAATCCGACGGCGAGAAGTTAGAAAACAAAGTTGCTGAAGTTCTTGGTGAGATAAACGAGAAACCTTCTTTTCGTGACTGTTGTAGAGTTGGTCTGAAGAGAGTGGGCACATTAATACGACCAACTAAACTATCTCTAAATAGCTCTGACATGGTTAATCAGGTGCTGCGAAAAGCGAAACTACTACGCACAAAAGAGGGCTATAAAAGTATCTACATTTGCCCAGACAGATCAGTGGAAGAAAGGAGAGCTTACAAGAAGCTCTGGGAGGAATTGAAAGAGAAGAGGAAAGCAGAGCCTAACAGAGTTCATTTCATAAGGAACAATAAGATTGTCAGCTCTGATAAGAACAGTGTATCAGCCTCGTCTGAAGAAATTTGAACTGTTTCACATTCTTCACCACACATTTATTTTATCACAATTTTGTTTCACATTTTAAAAAATCATATCGGGGCCATGTAATTGCGGGCACGTTTTACTGTGCAGTACCGTGTTTGGTCTCCCGACAGATTTTACAGACGGGGGCAATATTTTATTCGAGTTTATTTCATTCGTTGTAATTGCTGTACTCTGTAAAGTTTGAAAAGTATTTAATAAAAAAAATCGATGGAATGCTTCTCCAATTTATGAAAAGTTACCTCTCCGGACGTCAGCAATGTGTAGTTGTTAATGGGGCTATCTCTGCAACCCTACCGGTGTTGTCAGGTGTTCCTCAAGGGTCAATAATCGGACCAACACTTTTTGTTCTTTTCATAAATGATATATATTCTGGACTTTCTCAGGGCACTAATATCCTTTTATACGCTGATGATACTAAAATGTGGAGAGAGATATCCCAAGAGGAAGACCACCATATACTTCAAAGCGATATTAATTATCTCATGACATGGGCAAGAACTAATAAGATGAAGTTTCATCCTGATAAATGTAAGGTCTTAGCTATACTTAAGAGGTGGTCTCCCTTAGATGGCATTATACCATTTACACGTTACACTTACTCTATGGGCCAAACTCTTCTTGATTATACAGATTCTGAAAAAGATTTAGGCATAATCATGACGTCTAATCTAAATTTTAATAGCCAGGCCGATGCTCTATATGGTAAAGCTAACCAAAAATTTGGCATGCTTAAGAGAAATTGTCATTTTATTAATGATCTGAACAAGAGAAGAGTCTTGTATCTTACTCTTGTACGCTCAATATTCGAACACTGTCCCATCATTTGGCGACCAGCGTCCAGTAGCACTATCAATAGGCTTGAAGGATTGCAGAAAAGGGCCCTCAAATGGATTCGTAATGATTACGGTGTAAGCTATAGTGTAGAGGAAATCTATAATGGCCATTGTAAACAGTTAAATATTCTGCCCCTAAAGTACAGGTTTGATTACCATGATCTCAAGTTCTTTCATTCCCTAGTGCATCAATACCACCCATGCACCACTCTGCCTCAGTACCTTACTTTTTTCTCCGGGTCAAGCCGACTGAGAAGCTCACATCTTGATCACTTATCAGTAATATCTTCAATTCCACCTGGCTCAGCTATATCTAAATCTTACTTTTATCGAGCTCATCTCACTTGGAACCGACTTCCTCTTTCCCTTCGAGAGATTATCAGACCAGGTGTGTTTAAAACAGAACTTATTAAACACATCTGGAAGGAACATGTTTGTACTGCATCTGTAGATATTGACCCTAGTTCAGATCCTGACAATTCTTTTTCTCCAGACTACGGGTAGTGTATTTCTCTATTATTTTTAAAAAAATTTTTTTTGAGGTACTCATCACGCATTTTTGTTTTATTCGGATACAATTTTGATTTAGTCTTTTATATTCAATTATTTAAATTTTATCGTTAAAACTTCATTCCATTGGAAATATTACAAATCAGCCAATTGTAATTGAGAATTTTTGGGTTGTGGCAATTATTCTTAAAAACCTAGAAATGCCTCCTAAGTTCACAGCTCATATTATTTGCCCATTTTTCTCCTTCTGCACTTGAGGCCCAATGTAATTGCTCGACTTTTCATCAGGTCTCTCGAGGCCTTTTGTTTGGTTATTTGGGTGTATTGGTGTCCCCTGATTGTTATCATCGCTGTACACTTGTTAAGGCATTTTTTGGTTTCTCTAGTCCATTTTTAGAAATTCTATACAACATTGATATTGTAATAAATTCTGATGATAATAATTGAAAGATTTCAATAAAAAAAAAAGAATGTTTGGTTACCTGGAGGTTCGGACTTTATAACAGTGGTGGGGAGCACGTGGAAGCCTGGAGCAGGTTCCTGTTTTATAGAGTTAAAGGAGGTGATAGTCGGTATCTGTTGATCAGGTTTCGGCATCTGGTTCTCAGTCCTAGTTGCAGATACTTGTTATAAGGGGTCGTTCATATATTACGTTATAACTTTTTGAACAAGTTAAATCATTTGGAAAACCCCCTCCTCGGCCGATTACGTGATATGTGAACGACCCCTTAGCTTAGGGGTTTAGATACATAAAATAGATATTTGAAGAATATACGAAATCTTACTGTTTATAAAGCAAGACGATATAATATTTATATATAATATTTCAAATACACTTTTTAAACATATCTCTTTGTACTTTTTTTTCTCTATGTTACTTCGGCCAATGTTGGTGAACGTGACTTGGTATTGCCATTGGGTCCTTAAAACTAAAAGTTAAATAGCTAAAAATTTGGCTTTTGAGATCGTTCACATATTATTACATAATTAGCCGACGGGGAGGGGGGTTCCAAAAGATAATACGCTAGTGTAATTTTGACACAATAGCTATGTGTAAAACTGATAACGGAGGGGGGTTTAAAATTATCCAAAAATTGATTACGTAATATGTGAACGACCCCTTATGAAGTTATGAATAACTTTATGCTTTATACCATGATTAGATTTCTGAACTTGGGGCGAATCCTCGCCTAATCGTAAAAATATGAATGATAAATTATCAACTTCTAGACTGCTACCTTTATGACGGTTTTCGTGAATCGTGCCACCCCGTTACAATTACATTATCTAGCGTTAAACCTTAGCGGTTCGAGGTACTGGTAGGTTCATATTAAAACAAATCAGCTCTGCTTTCTAAAGTTCCAACTTTTGTGTGACACCTCCGCATACTCTGACTAAATAATATCAGCTTCAATTCCCGCTCGCAAACTGCAGTTATGTTCCTCTTGTTGATCGTCGTCATCGACTTTCTTGCTGCTGCCTCTGATGATAAGCAGTACACTGCTCTTCACTTTGGTACCTCCGGCTCCAGTAATGACTATATTGGATTTAATTTTAATAAAAAGGTGCTCACTAATAAGGCCTAAGGGACGCTGGATTGAGCAAATTATTGATTATAAGGTATTTCTATTGTGTTATTCTAATTTTCGTATATTTTTATGACCTAAAATTAAATATGCAAAAATAGAGTGATTTTTTAATTTTATCTCATAAATTAGAGCCATTGAAAATCCACACACTATTTTCAACTCACCCTGTATATATATATATTATATATCCGTACCATTTTACTGACACCACGGCATCAACTTTAACAAGACTTACCGTAAAAGATATACAACCTAAAATTTGTTGACTGATTCAAATGCTTTAATGGCCTTCAAATCAGCACGAAAAAATAAAAAAATGGCCAAGGAATAAGAATTTTAGTGCCCAAAATTTGGACCCCCAAGTGGTGTCAAAAACGCGAATTAAATAGGCAATAATTAATTTAGTCTCTTGAGTTGTGACACCACTTTAGGGTTAGACGGGTTCCTGCTAGTGAGTATAGAATATAGAAATATAATTATACAAAACACTTTCAGATTTATCTTTAACCTGTGTATGTTGAAGGAGCTAGGTTCAGGCTTGATACTAGGATCGTAGTTACTTCTTGGGGGTGGCGGAGGGATGTAGGACTGCATGTTCCCAGAGGTCATATCCGGCTGATGGGGGGAACGTGTTAACTGTTAAGGTCGCAAAGATTAGGGCACTTAAACTTTTGGACAAAACATGTTTGATCACGAAAAGTTTGTGCAATGAGAGTGTTTGCTATGCGTAAATGGCTACAAAATGTTAGGATTCTATTTCCATAAGCAATCTTGCACTATCTAGAACCGCTGAGGGGGGTTGTGTTGAGTCCACAAAATTAAGGCACTATATTTGATCACGAAAATTTGGTCCGATGAGAGTGTTTGCTGTATAGTGTATAGTATGTGGAATGTGGATCTCGACAAGAAATCTTACATATTTAGGAATCGCTGGGAGATGGGATGCGAAATCCAATCCTATAATTTCCAGCTGGATTATAAGTCAAAACTACCGGATCGACTGTGTTAATGACCAATAATTCCAGGCTCTAGCCCTCACCTGGCTGGTAAAGAGGTCACTTTGCAAGCTCTGCTGCATGTCACTCACTGCCTTTTCGTCCACATCGCTAGACTCCAGTATCTTATCCAGGAACGACATGCTTGGAACCTAGTCGGAGGTCTATTAAATATTTGTGCTGGGGAATTGTCAGAGGACGCCTAATGAACATGAATTTCACATACGCATTTAGTCATATAATTCGATAGAGTTTTAAGGTCACGTATGGAATGAATCACCTTGCATTTTAGTTTAGCTGTACGAATTCCCGCATAAATTTGCTGAGTTGTACCTAAATTTCAAAATGTTTATAAGACTTCCCTCAATATAAGGTCTTACAGTTGAATTTTTCTGAACTAATATTAAATTCGGTAAGACAATAAAAAACATGTAATCAGTTCATATTCAATTTTCATAAAATCACGATACTATTGAATAATATCTCAATGTTTGTCTGCGTAGAATATCTTAACAAATTTCTGTACAATATGTAATTAATGATATTTCATTAATTAACATTTTCCTGTCGCGAAAGGAAAAGCAAAGGAAAATATCAACATTTTAATAACTTAATCTCTATCCATCATGCTATTAGTGATCAACTTAAAATTTAGAAACAAACTAAATTCTCCAAGCAGGGCTTGGCAAAAAATAAACATTCTCTAATGTATATCCGCCGAGACTATCAATATCAAAATACAATTATGTTCGTCGCGCATGGACACAATATGAATGCCAACTTCCAAACAATAGGGCGACCGTAAACACAATCCAATCTGACTCATTCTATTATCAGCACAATAAGATCTGCCAATTCTTGGGGAACTACATAAACAATTTGTACTTGATCCTCTCCAAGGAGAGTTCTTTGCCGTAGTGTTTTATTACACCGTACCAGTGAGTCGCTGTCTGTGTTATATCTTCTTTTAGTGTGCCTGTGACTGCGAGGGGGAGGTTTAAGTCACGTGACGAGGGGGAGGTTTTAGTCACGTGACGAGAGGGAGGTTTTAGTCACGTGACGAGAGGGAGGTTTTAGTCACGTGACGAGAGGGAGGTTTTAGTCACGTGACGAGAGGGAGGTTTTAGTCACGTGACGAGGGGGAGGTTTTAGTCACGTGACGAATAAACTTATTTAAAATTGTTTTAACCTTAATTAAATTCACGGATTGAGCACACTGCAAAGAAAAATTCAGTTATCTGTTGATGATCTTCCAAGGACATACTCTAAACAAAAAAGACCATATTTTGAATCAACATCTTTAATTACAAGGACATTAGTTAATCACAATTAAAATGGTGATATTAATTATGTTGTTGAACTATGAATATCATAAATTTAACTAACAATTCCCGGGAGCTGTTCCAATATTTAACGATTTAAGAATATTGGAACCACCATCAAGAATGCACATCCCTCCAGCATATGTTCCCTGAAACGTAAGCAATATTATTAATTATTTAATAATATTATTAATTATCTAATCATATTAGTAATATTATTAATCCTTTTAAGATATATCACGGAAAATGTTTGGTTGGCTACTGTTCTTGCTGTATAGAATTTAGTCACTCCGCAAGCAATAATAGCATTTCATTCACTCCGCAGTATATTAACTGTGTCTCAACTATAAAGAAACCGTTTTCATACCAATATCGTAAATGGGCGCTAACCGCCTTTCATAAGCTGATGAATATTTTAGTTGAAGAATAGTTCATTACTACTGCTAACTGACTTTGCACTTTCATTTGATGATATTGCTTTCCTTTATGTTCACTACGTACGATAATGCGTGTCTTCCATTATATTTATATTATTAGTATTTGATACCTTACTTTTTTTAAACAAACTATTTTAACTTTTAGTTAAAGTGCCTGCCATGGGACTCTCATTTTTCTAACTTTGAACACATGTACTAATATGTGTAGTGCTATCTCAGAGGACAACTCTAAATCACTTAAGCCAAAACCCGCTCAACTCTAGGAAGGACTCCGTACCTGGACGACATTCTCCACAATAGCTTCCGTGTAAGATCTGGCTTCTTCAGTTTGGCACCCCGTGTCCACTGAATAGAGTTCATGTTAAAGTGGGATATGTTCATGTTAAAGTGGGATATTGTCTGTTGAAAATAACTAAGTATTTGTTAATACCATTGATAAATTCCTGTGGTAGGTAAAACTGCAGACGCTTACAATTTATTTGTAAATCAAAGTCTTCTTTGTCACGATTGTTAATACTTTAAAGCTTTTATTTTTTCAATTTTTAAAATAACTAAATGTTTGTTAATACCATTGATAAATTCCTGGAGTAGGTAAAACTGCTGACACTATTAAAAGTAAATTGTAAATCAAAGTCTTCTTTGCCGTTATTGTTAATACTTTAAAGCTTTCTTATTTCAATTTTTGATTTAAGTCTATTTAAAATAACTTAATATTTGTTCATACCATTAATAAATTCCTGGAGAAGGTAAAACTGCAGACGCTTACAAGTTAATTGTAAATCAAAGTCTTCTCTGTCGTAATTGTTAATACTTTAAAGCTTTCTTATTTCCATTTTTGGTTTGAGATCAAACAAAAGAAGACAAAAAACACCAATAACTACGGAAAACTAACCGCTCGATTCAGATGTCGACCTATTCAACCTATCCTCTTGACCTGAAAAAGAACAAAGTCATAAATTTAACAAACTTCAATTATTATCTATTTATAATCCATCAATTTAAAACTCAACAGTCACAGAAAGAGTGAAAGACTCCCTTATAAGGGCATAACGTGACATTACCTCTCTGATTAGGAGCACTGATATCATGGTCCTCACTCCATTCCTCGATCACGTGATCAGATTCAGGGTAGTCTATTTTAACAGGATCACTGGTCAGTTCCAGGGTGCCGATTATAGCAGCTCGGTCAGTCGACACGAGATCTTGCTCTCTGAAGGAGAAAGTGGGTGGTAAAGTGGGTGGTAAAGTAGTAAATTGGGTGGGTAAAGTGGGTGGGTAAAGTGGGTGGGTAAAGTGGGTGGTAAAGTGGGTGGTAAAGTGGGTGGTAAAGTGGGTGGTAAAGTGGGTGGTAAAGTGGGTGGTAAAGTGAGTGGTAAAGTGGGTGGTAAAGTGGGTGGTAAAGTGGGTGGTAAAGTGAGTGGTAAAGTGGGTGGTAAAGTGGGCGGTAAAGTGGGTGGTTAAGTGGGTGGTAAAGTGGGTGGTAAAGTGGGTGGTTAAGTGGGTGATAAAGTGGGTGGTAAAGTGGGTGGTAAAATGGGTGGTAAAGTGGGTGGTAAAGTGGATGGTAAAGTGGTTGGTAAAGTGGTTGGTAAAGTGGGTGGTAAAGTGGGTGGTAAAGTGGGTGGTAAAGTGGGTGGTTAAGTGGATGGTAAAGTGGGTGGTAAAGTGGGTGGTAAAGTGGGTGGTAAAGTGGGTGGTAAAGTGGGTGGTAAAGTGGGTGGTAAAGTGGGTGGTAAAGTGGGTGGTAAAGTGGATGGTAAAGTGGGTGGTAAAGTGGGTGGTAAAGTGGATGGTAAAGTGTGTGGTAAAGTGGGTGGTAAAGTGGGTGGTAAAGTGGGTGGTAAAGTGGGTGGTAAAGTGGGTGGTAAAGTGGGTGGTAAAGTGGATGGTAAAGTGGGAGGTTAATCAATGTAGGAGGTTTGTATAAAAGTAGCTTCTACATCATGAAGACAGTAGTTTAAGGTAACTATTAGATCGATATAACTTTATTTTAGCAAGCTTCTTACACGAAGAAGTGTCTCCCCAAAAATCTCATGGTAGCCCAATGTGAAAACTAATGACAGAGTTTCTAAGTATAAAAAACAGAAGTTCGCAAGAAGCAGGGAGGTGCGGAATGCGGATGGTATGCAGACAGAACATTGAAAATAGTGCTCACAGTTCAAATCAGATTAGGGGTTTTATTGAACCAACCCCCAACCAACCAACAACATTTATTACACAGACGGAATACACAAGTAGAGTGGTACAGCTAGTGTAATGACAAAATAACACACCTTATTACTTCTGGTGACTCATCCTCAGTGAGTGATTCATCCTCACTCATAACCGATGAATAAGGAGGATATCACTCTAGAGAACCTTCAAATACACTCAGAACAACAAGTTCAAATACACTCAAATACACTCAAATACACTCAAATACACTCAAATACACTCAGAACAGGAGCTTGCCAAAAACAAACGTCACACTAAGATAATAAACGTGTATGAACTGTAGTGCAAGGTATAAGCCCTTAATAATACTAACTTGTGACCACACCGGAATACAGTAGTTTACACTTCTCTGTATACACAGCTAACAGCTAACAGGTACTAGGCAAACAAAACACACGTACTGTTATTGTTCGATATAACAACCTGATGGGACAGATATTTTGCTTTTGCTACATTCACATGACCAGATTGGAGTTGCTGCCACATTCCTCACCGCTCAAAATACCCTCAACTTACTCATTAAACTCAGTATCAGAGCTAGGTTCTGACAGTATAATCACATCCTCCATCCGATCATCCTCCACCAGCAGGAACTGCTCATCTTCCTCATCTTCCATTTTATCCATCGTTACAGCGCTCCCATCAGCTAGTTTATTGGGAGCTTGGTTAGTTTCCTTAAATCGGCTAGTATATTGGGAGCTTGGTTAGTTTCCTTACAAATCAGCTAGTTTATTGGGAGCTTGGTTAGTTTCCTTACAAATCAGCTAGTTTATTGGGAGCTTGGTCAGTTTCCTTACAAATCAGCTAGTTTATTGGGAGCTTGGTTAGTTTCCTTACAAATCAGCTAGTTTATTGGGAGCTTGGTTAGTTTCCTTACAAATCAGCTAGTTTATTGGGAGCTTGGTTAGTTTCCTTACAAATCAGCTAGTTTATTGGGAGCTTGGTTAGTTTCCTTACAAATCAGCTAGTTTATTGGGAGCTTGGTTAGTTTCCTTACAAATCAGCTAGTTTATTGGGAGCTTGGTTAGTTTCCTTACAAATCAGCTAGTTTATTGGGAGCTTGGTTAGTTTCCTTACAATTTAGAGGAACATATACCGCAGGGTATAATATATGGAATACGTCTTTGTTCCGATATAATATAAAGGGAGTTACACATTCAAAATCTCTAATGAATATTACACAAAATTAGCTCTCTCACAACTGATATCCAACATGGAACTGAACAAATCAGACCGGTAAAAGAATGCAAGTTACAAACAAGAGCTTAAGAGAAATTATATGACCAAATAAGCGTATGGGAAGGCTAAGTAAAACTAAACGAGCGATATGTAGTACAACGATTAGATGATTGAATAGTCTCTGAACCGGCCACCACTGATCCTTGTAGTCTACAGCATGTGTATTATAGTGGATATATAGTGGATATATGGTGAATATTTGGAGCAAATAAAATGGAAATACAGAAGACTCGACTACACGTTACGACTCATTATGCAATTTCAAACTATAACTATCTATTTTAAAGATGTATTAATGGATTGCATACGCGCATATTACATATATAATTTACAGGTATACCATATGTAAACCAATACACAGAGGTGTGTTGTTAAAAAGTCACTGTGCCAATATTGATAGTATAATAATAATCTGGCAAAATACCAGATTATGATCGGGCCAAGCAGCTCAATCGCTAGCTTTTGACGCTATAAATAATACAACCGACTCAATAAGAAGTTTCTCGGTATTTTTGAATGGGTTAATAAATTACAAAATAAGTTACATGAAAAACCTTGAAAGTATAAAACTGCGCTTATCAAAACCGGGTGAATGAAACGTCAACAGCCTGATGTTAATATAACCTAAGGGCTAAGACTTGTAATAAGTTTCAACAACACACAATTCGTTTCGTTTAAAAATTGTAATAAAGGAACTTGAACAAATCTTTCAAATCAGTCCCGAAGTCAGTTAACCAAATATGGCGTGACCATGACCAGCCTTCTTCTCCAAATAAGGTATAATTACTTCCTAGCTGTCTGCTATCTGCTGATTAACCTTACCGGTCTCATCCTCTACTGCCACCCTACCGGTCTGCTCCCTCAACCTCACCATTCCTTCTCGGTCGAAGGGTGGTGGAACCTTGAGGTTACCCTCAGGGCCCACTAAGTGAGGGTGAGTGGAGGAGAGACGGGAAAAGAGGGCTGAGTCTGGGGAGCCGGACACGTCACGGTGCCACCATTGTTTTCCTGGGAAGGGTGGGTTTTAGTGAGGAGGGTGGGTTTTAGTGGGGAGGGTGGATTTTAGCGGGGAGGGTGGGTTTTAGTGGGGAGGGTGGGTTTTAGCGGGAAGGGTGGGTTTTAGCGGGGAGGGTGGGTTTTAGTGGGGAGGGTGGGTTTTAGCCGAGGAGGGTGGGTTTTAGCGGGGAGGGTGGGTTTTAGTGGGGAGGGTGGGTTTTAGCGGGGAGGGTGGGCTTTAGTGGGGAGGGTGGGTTTTAGCCGAGGAGGGTGGGCTTTAGCCGAGGAGGGTGGGCTTTAGCCGAGGAGGGTGGGTTTTAGTGGGGAGGGTTGGTTTTAGCCGAGAAGGGTGGGCTTTAGCCGAGGAGGGTGGGTTTTAGTGGGGAGGGTGGGTTTAAGCCGAGGAGGGTGGGCTTTAGCTGAGGAGGGTGGGTTTTAGTGGGGAGGGTGGGTTTTAGCCGAGGAGGGTGGATTTTAGCCGAGGAGGGTGGGTTTTAGTGGGGAGGGTGGGTTTTAGCCGAGGAGGGTGGATTTTAGCCGAGGAGGGTGGGTTTTAGCCGGGGAGGGTGGGTTTTAGTGGGGAGGGTGGGTTTTAGCCGAGGAGGGTGGGCTTTAGCCGAGGAGGGTGGGTTTTAGTGGGAAGGGTGGGTTTTAGCCGGGGAGGGTGGGTTTTAGTGGGGAGGGTGGGTTTTAGCCGGGGAGGGTGGGTTTTAGTGGGGAGGGTGGGTTTTAGCCGAGGAGGGTGGGCTTTAGCCGAGGAGGGTGGGTTTTAGTGGGGAGGGTGGGTTTTAGCCGGGGAGGGTGGGTTTTAGCCGGGGAGGGTGAGTTTTAGCCGAGGAGGGTGGGTTTTAGTGGGAAGGGTTGGTTTTAGCCGAGGAAGGTGGGTTTTAGCCGAAGAGGGTGGGTTTTAGTGGGGAGGGTGGGTTTTAGTGGGGAGGGTGGGTTTTAGTGGGGAGGGTGGGTTTTAGTGGGGAGGGTGGGTTTTAGCCGAGGAGGGTGGGTTTTAGTGGGGAGGGTGGGTACTGGGTTTTATTGGGAGGGTGAGTTGGGTGCACTGTAATAAGTAATATAATTTTAGACTACCCCGTAATACGTAACTGCAATTTGATATTTATTGGTAAGGTCCAGCAGCAGCACAACTCACCTCCCATTCCGTCTCCGAAGACCTTGAATCCTGCAGCAACTTTGGAAGCATGCTCTATCGGAGCTACGAGAGCATTCGCCAGCCTATCTGCTGTCAACTTAGTTCCTGGAACAAGATAAATTAGTAACTCGAACCTTATCGGTGTAAAGGAGTCAACTTTCGACAAAGAAATTCCCTCTAAGTCTTAGCTCCCCGCATCAAACATTGTGGTCTGCAGGAACGTCTGCTTCACCACCGTACTGAACATCCATCTAGTGTTGATAGTTGAAGTGAGACATCCCACTTGTATTTTATAGATTTCAGGGAGCAGAAAGCTTAAAATATAAGAAAAAACAGTGTAAAAGAAACACGCCACTCACCAGTGAGATACTCTACCATTTCCCTGGGGCGCTTGCCAGCCCCGTGTTGAAGGAAATGCTCCCTGAAGTACTCGCCAGCGTGTCTGGAGAAGGGGTCTATGACAAAGAGTTCCTTGTGTAGGATGTTAGCTATCGCTTTACACCAAAGGTGCGAGTAAACTTGTCCTCCCTGGGAAAAAAGTTGGCTTAGGGTGAACCTGAAGACGATTTAGGGTGAACTTGAAGACGATTTATGGTGAACTTGAAGACGATTTAGGGTGAACTTGAAGACGATTTATGGTGAACCTGAAGACGATTTAGATTTTAGGGTGAACCTGAAGACGATTGAGGGTGAACCTGAAGACGATTTACACATGTATTTTTAAAGTTCCTGCTTAATTGACATTTCATATCACTTATTATACATATTATGTTTAAAACAACCCCTTTCAGGCTGGTTACTTTATTTATAAGATATGTACAATTTTATTGCAGGTTAAGTAGTAAGCATGTGGGATTGGAGTTATATGTGTTTAACAAACGTGGGATTTTGAAAATTGTGACAAGTCAATTAGTCAACTTAGAGGTGGGAGATTAGTCCGTGCGTCATGATTTCTATCTTAGTTCCACTACCGCTTGGGAATATAATGGATTCTGTTCTGTTTCCGCAACAGACCCTTTAAAGTTATTTATTCCAAGGCCACAACTTGTGATATGTTTACATGCTCCGTGATGTAGTGTGGACTGTGTGTAAGGACCCGAATTCCGTATTAATTATCTTTAATTTTGTCCATTACATTTACATATCGTCAGATTAAATATGTTTGCTAGATATTGATACTCTGATATAATACTTATAAATAGATGATGTTTGTTGTCGTGGTAGCATGGCAACAATTGCCTGGATCAATATTATAAATTGCTTTGGCCTTTTCTAGGATGATCGGTCATGCAGCGTGATCCGTGATTAATGTCGTCAACGTAACAATATTGAACCGAGAACAATTGTTATGACATTTTTACTTGCTGTCGGTGACACTAGTATACCGGCTCTAACAATTAGACTTGTGCTAAACAGGCCCTGACACTCTGATAGGCCTAGAGACAGAATATAAGAAAATTGAATCAAAGCCGATCGAACATAAAAAGTCATAAATCTGCGAATGAGAAACGCTATTACGTCACATATAATCCGATCTATGTAACCAGGTTATTCAAAAGTCTTTATAGCCCGTGTTAGTGACTCCGTTTATAATACGAGCGCCCTCTTTCTTTACGTTCCTCAGATGCCAGGAACAGCAAGTGTTGATCATAACTTGCTTAAAAATTTCTATTGTTTAATTTACACATTTTTGATGTAACGAAGAGCTTGCTTTCACTTCTGTGTGTTTCTACGGTAACTTCTAACGTTTCTTGATAGTCGTTCAAACTTTGTTTGCTGTTAACTTATTTTATTTTAATAATAACACTTTTGCTTTTGCAAGGAATAGGGAAGTTGTCTAAAAAATACCAACCTCGGAGGAACTGATCAGGATATCCAGCTGTTTAGTCGAGTAGTCGAGTGTAGAATGAGGATAACTGCACAATCAGTGCGGGCAGCAACTCTTATGACAATAACACTCATGGACAAGGCCAGGGGCCATGTTAAAGCAAGCCCATCAAGATCACGAACCACAAGATACTCAGAACCCTGGAGTATTGGCACAGTTGAAGTGATTGCTTTATCAATTTTTGTACCCCTCACTTTTTTGCTGCTAATCTACATAGCTCTCATAACTTATTTGAAATGGCGTCATGACAGATCTCAATACTTAGCTAAACAAGCCGAGATGTCGGCAATTTTAATTGTGGAGAATCCGGTAGCAGCCAATGTTTAAGCCTAACGTCTCCCAAAGTGATCCAAGAGAAACGAGTCAAGTTCTGATGATGACACGTACTTTGGTCTTTGAGACAGAATCAAGAAAGGAAGAGTAACGGTTATTCAGCGCTATAATACCAAGTAAGCGACCCGCCAGGAGTTCTACAATAATCAACTGGAGAGGATAGTCCGCCCTTACTTACATTAATGGAATCCAAAAACTGGAAGGGCTGTCCTTAAGCTTTGTTCCTCAGGACTTTGGAAAATTCCGAATTTTTTAAGTTATAAATTGGGTCGGCGGTGCTCAGATTCACGCATTCTAGTTCAAAAATCAACGTTCACCAGAAATCACCCCTTTCGAACTACGGTGCGCGTCGAACTAGGGTTCGTGAACCACTCAACAGGCTGCTAACGATAACAAGCAGGCAGAATGAGTGTAATTACTGACCGGTAATAAGAACAACCGGCTGAACAGATGGATCCACCGGCATCCTGTAACTTTTTTATAAACGAACTCCAGGACAACATCGATTTCTGTAGAATTTGAACAGAAAAGTATATGAATACGAGGTGCACAGAAATTTAAATAGGAGAACTTATCTGTAAATCATATTTGTTACCAGAATATACATAAATACTTCTGTCTATGTAGAAATTTGTGTCTTATATTACGACCGTTGATTAGATGTTAAAAACGGATGACTCGGTAATTGAGATCATATTATATTCAACCTTTTTAGTATCTTTTTGTGTAAAAATTGGAATTGGTCAGAATAATTGAGTCAGCTTGTTGTGGTACGACCGTTTTATTTCTAAGAAAATCATCTATCTTATTTGTGTTATTGTAATTTGTTTGCATCTTAATTTATCGAACGTTTAAATGTAAAACTTGTTTAGTTTTTAAGTTTTGTAACTGAGAGGCCTGACGGATGCCCTAACTTCTCTCAACTACCATGTGTAAAAATGCAGAATTGCATTTAATAAGAATCATAAAGATCATTCATCCATAATTCATCGATGCCGTCATCTTACCCTTTTTACATTTAAGCCGTTTTTAAAAATTTTGTTAAGTGTAGAATGGAAATGATCATATTGTTATGTATCTTTCATACGGAAAGACGGCAATGGCTATCAAGTTTAAAGAGCAAGAACAATTCTGTTGTACTTTCGCATGAACTCATAAACAATTGAGTTGACATATATACAAAAGTTATAATGACCCCGACGTGATTTGAACACGCAACCTTCTGATCTGGAGTCAGACGCGCTACCGTTGCGCCACGGAGTCATAAACAAATGAGAATGGTTAACATTATAATTAGTTAAGTAAATTTAGGCCCAGGTGTCATTTTATATTTGAATTTGACTTTGGAGAAGATTAGAACACATTCTTTTGTTAATAGCTTAATAAAAGTTGCTTTAATTCAAGCCGGTGATCACACTTGGAGCGATTGGTTTGACTATGAGCCTGCATTGGAAATGAGGGCGAAAATGTCGATGATCCCGCCGCGATTCGAACAAGCATCTGATCTGGAGTCCGTGCTACCGTGCTACCGTGCTACCGTGCTACCGTGCTACCGTGCTACCGTGCTACCGTGCTACCGTACTACCGTGCTACCGTTGCGCCAAACATCAGATATATTCCGGCACTGTCCAACAAACTAACTGTAGCTGGAAGAATGTCTCAGGTATACGAGGATGGTGCAATGTAGTCTATTATACAGAATACCATGTGCTGTATTCTGTGAACTACCAACCTGTGTGTACAGCTGGTGTGAGCGGAGATGGGGCGCAGTGTCCTCTATGTAGGGTAAATGCGTGTACTTTTCACAGTTCCATGAGTACACATCTGTACTGCTTCGTCCTGAAAACGGAGGGATTAGTAGCTACACTGCTACACCAGCTACGTGATCCTGGTAACTAGTTCAGCAATTTTCATGAGAAATAGCAGTGCTTCAATGAGAAATAATTATTACTGAACCTGAAATTCAAGAAGGATAAAATTAGAGATATAATTAAAGAATTAACCAATACCTGAGATTCATAACCTAGTGATACGTCATTAAAAGTGTAAAACTGAAAAATATCTGTTAACGAAAGTCATCAGATGAAATCTAACCGTCCGAGAAAGGGAAATCAGTGTGCAGACTAAGATCCACTGCAGACATGGCCAGTTGCTGTTCAACCTCGTGGGCACGGAATACTAGCTGAGCGTTAGTTATTGCTTGTACTGATACCGGGTTTACTCTGGGTAGCACGCCTGGGAGGTTTTCCATGTGGTAACTTAATACTGTTTTGAAATGTATATTATTAATACGAAATTAAAAAATTATTAGAAATAATAAAAGTTAGAAATAATAAAAGTTAGAAATAATAAAGTTAGAATAATAAAGTTAGAAATAATAAAAGTTAGAAATAATAAAAGTTAGAAATAATAAAAGTTAGAAATAATAAAAGTTAGAAATAATAAAAGTTAGAAACAATAAAAGTTGGAATAAATTAACACTCACCGGTTCTAGTATGATGTTTCATGATATGATTGAGAACCGTGGGGCTCTGTGCTAGATTCTGATGTAGATAACCAGATATCAGCTTCATGTCCGGGGACAAACAACTTGCACTTGTCTGATGATGCTTGTTTCGACCTGCACATTTTACAATTCAAATAATTTTTAATCTTAATTCTAGTCGTTCATTTTTGAACAACGATATAGAAACTATTGCTTACTATTGATTCACCAAATTTAGTTCCAGCAAACATAAAGTGTGACCTAAGTACGGGATTTTTGGGTTTCAAGCATAACAAATAACTCCACCAACCAAGCATGATATGAATAGCAGATCCCAATTCCCTGAACAGTTTCTCAAAAGTGCTGACGTTAAGGTGGGGAGGTCTGTACCCATTACCCAGCGTGTAATTACACTCGACAACGCTGATAGGAAGCTGCTTGTTTGTACGTGACCGGATCACGTGATTACAGGGTGGGGATCTCTTCTTGTCTGACGTGTAGAAATCCAGATACAGCAATCCTGAAATGTTGTGGTTGATCATTTTGTCATTGAAAATCCAATCGCATCGAATAAATGTGATTGATTCAGTGACTGCGCGTAATAATTCTTAGGCAAACGATTGCATGAAGAAATGGAGAGTCGGAAACAAAAATAACTGTGACCCCGACGTGATTTGAACACGCAACCTTCTGATCTGGAGTCAGACGCGCTACCGTTGCGCCACGGAGTCATATCGATGAAAGGCCTGAAATGTTACAATGAAATGTAGGTAGTGTGTTGATCTTTTTCAGGCTAAGGCGTCGTGATGTGAATAAATATCCAAATCGGAGGAATGAGGGCTCTGGGCTTTTGCTGTTGTTACGATCTAAAATCTTTAGCTGAATTTAAGCCGTTGACCATTTGATTAGAATAAGTAAAATTGGAGACTTTAAAGGGAATTGTGGACAAAAAGATCAGTGACCCCGACGTGATTTGAACACGCAACCTTCTGATCTGGAGTCAGACGCGCTACCGTTGCGCCACGGAGTCATGAAACGTTATGAAATGTAACCTAGATGATTAGACGTCAAATTAATAATTAATCAGGTAGAGATAGTCTTATCTTCGAATACTTTAACCGAAGTAATTAATGCACCTGTTGAGATTTTAAAAGTTCGCCTGAATCTAAACTGGTTATTAGGTTAAATAGTTATGGAAGACAGAGGAATTGGGGACAAAAGAACACTGACCCCGACGTGATTTGAACACGCAACCTTCTGATCTGGAGTCAGACGCGCTACCGTTGCGCCACGGAGTCATTAGAAAAATTGCGAAAACCTGGTTTATAAATCGCTGAAATCAGGCAAAGTGCTTTGAAAATTGTTAAGAGTTTAGAAATCAATATAAATGGCCAAAATGGTACTATTATACTATTATTGGTACCTCAAATATTTCATGATATCATTAAGTTAAGAACGCAAGTTCCATTTAGTTCGGATTATTTCTTATTTCTTTCCAAATGCCAAGAAGCCAATTCCTTAACATCAAAGATATCATCATATACAGCTTCATCATACTCAAGGATCCTGATGAACTCCGATTCATGATACATCTAGTCTACTACATAACTTGAGTCGATTCGCTCCAATGATGAAAAATGAGGGTTGTAAAAAATAACATGACAATCAGATCTACACGCGCGCGTAATGGTACTATTTCTCAAATGCCATCAATGAAAAAAGTGCACAATACTTCCAATTCGCGCCACAATAAAAGCAATGACAGTTTACCGCGCGTCGTAACAATGACAGCCAACCATGTGTTACAAACAGCTATGCCGAAAAAAGCGATTTAAGCCATGTAAATGGAGGTACTCACCGAGAGTCCCTCCTTTTCGTGTTCGACAGCTAGTTTGATGACGTCAGAATGCCAAAGTTCACCTTTAATAGGCTGCTCCGCGACTAGCGTCACACCAAATGTATCTTCCATCCACTGAAACGATTAGTGCATAAATAAAGTAACAAAGTAACGTACAGTGGACGAAAATGAATACTCATCGTCTTGAGGCCTCTATGTATCTTCATTTCGCTTAACTCTTATAGATGACCATGGGATGGTCATGAAAAAATTACCAATCTCACCGTTTTGGTAGAGATTGAGTTAGACTCAGCATAGGGACTGATTTCCATATAATTCAACATCTAAAGCACGGGGAATAAAGATAGTTGCATTATACATGACTTGTACTCTACACCATAACTTACTGTAACTTACTTCATGACAATTAACATAACAAAACCACACTTACCACTCCGATCTGCTCCACTACTGATCCCACGGACAGAAAGTCCGCCAAGTGTGGCACAATTATCCTGGACTCCTCCTTGATATACAGCTTCCTGTAGTCCTCTGCTATGTATCCTGTGTCCCACGGACTGACCACCACTTCACTGACCGCGTGGTATCCTTTGTTGTAGAAGTGACTGCTTTGCATGTACTGAAATAACGGGAAGTTAAATGAGGTTAAACTGACGTTAAACAATGAGGTTAAACAGAGTAAGAATAGTTTTTTCTTGTCATTGATTTCTATACTCTGAGCTTTTGAATGGATGATACAGCTTGATATACATTGTAAGGCTGGTAAAATGGAAAATACCTTGATCTTTTCCATTTCATACATCTCGTCCCTGGCGGCTGGTCTGATCTGCTCGTGTGTTTCTTCAATGAACTCTTTCACAACAGCAGGAGAACCCGCCATACTGCCCTGTAGTACCCTCTCCGCATAGTTATTGTAACCTGTAATTTGTAATTTGAGTTATATTAGGATGCATTGAAACTATCGGAATGTGGATTTGCCAGCCCGTAGCAACATTAAAATATCTCATCGTTTCTCAATAAATGTGATAGATTTGTAGCGGTGTAACTAGTTTAAAATTTGAATGAACACTTGCTTGGTATTGTATCACACAAACTAGAGTCTGGATAGCCGACAGGAGTAAGGGGACAAGTATCTTTAGCGTTTAGGTCGACTATAAACCAACAGACATAGTTTGAACATGCATCACAACTGAAATTGGCTGACCAACAAGCTGAAACCTACCTGTAGCTTGGGCCAGTTTGTGTCGTTTTTTCAGCAGGTTGTGTAATAAAGCCTCTTTTTTGGGGTCGTGTTTGTAGTAGTTTCTCCATGCATGCTCTCTGATCGCATCAGAGGTGCTCTCGTCTGCCCAATCCGATAGTACTATCTTATTGTCCTGTTTATTAATCAATTAGATAATTAATGATGAATTGAAATATTTGTTGTTTTAAAGCTTTGAAGTCTTTGTATCATTCCTAGCTGAAGACGATTTAACAAATGATTTAAAAAGATTCTGTTTGCAAAAAATTATCATTACTCATATTTTCGCTTTAGTCCTTTCCCACTCTCCTGCAACTGTTTCAGCACAGTTTCAAAGACAGGTAAAATGACTTAACACATACCGGACGTACCTGTTCTGGTAAACTGAGAAGAGAATCATGACATTCCTCTATTGGAATTCTGACTGGAACAACTGTCTCCTTAACAAACGATATTCCCTCTTTTCCTACCTAACAATATAATAACATTAATAGTTAACAATATCTAACTGATCATCTGCATCAGTTATAGAAAATTAATATTCATTCCTTTATAACCTCAAATACTTTATATTCTAACTCAAATTTAGTTTCATAACTTTAAATAAAAACCCAACAAAACTAAAAACTAAACCACATAATATATATGTGGTTTAGTTTTATTTAAGATTCACATATTATGTGAATATATTCACCTGTTTTATAAGGGTCTGTATTTCAGTGTGTTTCTCAGGTATCTGGTCAGAGCCGTTATTTTTACAGTCCACCAACAACATCAACACTGCTCTCCGGGATTCACCCTCCATCTTGAGGAATAATTGAGACTTAACCGGAAGCTTCATGTTAAGTAGAACCTAATTTATATTTAGTGTTACAAACTTCGAAATTACAGCATCTAACTTTAACTCAAACTAATAAAAGCAGTAGTTAAAATACTACAAAGCAATCAAGGCGAGACAGCTACATAGTTATAGCACCTGATTGGTTATCGGGAGGTCCTGGGTTCAATTCCCGCTCTCGGCACATCTCACCCCGACCTTTCACAAAACGTACTACCTTACTGCCTTGATTAAGTGAGCTGCATGATTGTGACCATGCTGGCCAACCCAGATGAAAAAAAAGGATTCAACTAAGCTAAAACTAGACAGTAGCTAAAGATTAACCTGTTCCCAAGTTTCCGTGTCTTCCACCAGTCGTTTAAGAGCTGAGAAGATAACAGAACTGTTATTCAACTTGTTCATGTATACTTCAGCTTGTTTCAGTAGTTCACGACCTTCGTCTCTCTTATCGCTGAGTAGCATTTAACATTAATAAGAGATACACTGGATTAGCACTAGCTTTGCAGATGTAGTCATATTTGGTACACCTCTTAATAAAGGTGCCTAAATAAAGCTGATTAAATAAAAGGTATTTAACGAAATGTTAAAACTAGATTTCAATTATGTACCAGGGACACAAATTTCTAAAGAAAGGTAGGAAACCTGGTAGATTGTGCTAAGAAGAGCGCCATGTCACCAACAGAGACAATGTTTCTCACCAGGTCATCTGCCAGTTCTAGTGTTTCATCTGTACTGCTAGTTTCTAACTGCAGTGGGGTGGGTGTTAGTAGGTGTTACATACATACATGTTACATGGCGAGATCTCCATCCAAAAGGATTAGTCTGCGTCGACTGCGTCATTACTTTGTATTATACAACTTCGGCGGGTAACATTTCTCCATCCCTTTCGGTCTGCAGCTAATCTTCTCATACAATCAATCGTGAGTCCATTACGATCCAATCTCTGCTTAGCATCCTCAATGAATACATCATTTAAGCTCTTCCTAGGCCTGCCTCTTGATCTCTTCCCATGCTTGGGTTTCCATTCAAGTAAAAAGTTGGGCAACCGATCTTCAGGCATTCTACTGACATGTCCAAACCAACGCAGCCGTTTTTTTGTTATTATGTCAGCAAGGGCAGTTATTGATGCCCTTCTTAAAACATAGTAGGTGTTACTAGGTATTAATAAGTGTTACTAGGTGTTAATTAGTGTTACTGTAACTATGGCTTACCTAATTCTACTAGGTTTTAATAGGTGTTGCTAGGGGTAACTGACTGAGATAGATTCAGAAGTTGAACAATTTATCATAAAAGAATAATTATAAAATGGCATTAAACAAAAAAGTAAAAAGATATGAAATCCTATACCTGATGGAGTAAATCGTCACATTTACTGGTAACTAAAGTAAAATGATCTTCAAGATCTGTCCTATCAAGCCCGAAAAGACCACAATTCACTTCATCTAGGAGTAAAAGTATGAAAATTTGTTACACAACCATCGAAATCAGACATGTCGAATAGTGGTGATGTAAAGATGATTGAGCGATTAAATTTTGAACGAAATTAGAAGTGCTAGCACTATACCGTTTACAGAAATCTGCTGCTTCTTGTTCAAAATATCCTCAATATCTGTATTGGCTGGAGATCTAACAACCAGAGTGTCTGAAAGAAGTTATAAGCATGAGAATGAAATCAGGTGCAACTCTTGATATATTTTTGAGTGTTAAGATGACTGTCGTTGGCCTCATCCAGAATGAAACAACAAAATATTATGGAATGAGTTGAAGAAGAAACTTGTTCACTTAACAGTTAACACATACCATAAAGAGGTTTATTGTTAACCGCTCTGTTCTCCACAGGTTTTGGGACCTCTAAGGAATGCTGAGAGGTAAGGTAACGTCTCAAAACATTGTATGTATGACGAGGAAGATACCTTATCATTTTACTGGATATTATCTTGTATCCAGCATCTAGTTCTGTGCTGACGCAATTATTTGGTCTACAAACTAACCGAATTCGTGTTCTCCCATTTTACATGATACCTAGCTGGTGATAAGACAGAGTTGAAATTTACGTTTTATTTCGTCCTTTCAAAAACGCTGTACAATTTTAAGAAGTTAAGTACGAAAAATACGGAAAAATTCCACAAATATTTTGTATCTAAATTTATATCTATTACTCTCAGACAAGACTTCTAAAGTAAAAAAATATATTTCACAGCTCTCAAAAAAGACTTCGAGTAAAAACGAACATAACGAAATAATTTCAAAACGTTATAAAATCAACATTCTTCATTTTAAACTTAATGTCATAATAAAACAAATATTGGGATTGAGTGTGCTCCAGCATAGATTAAAAGTCAAATTAGAAAAAATGAATAAACGTGATTATCCCTTTGATGACAAGTCCCTAGATTATCCAATATCGGCTGACAATTCAAATAAGTTTATGTGATTTACAAAATTCCAATCTCATGCCTCCCTAAGTTATTGCTCTTCTCTTTGCAGCTCTTCCATAATATCTTCATCATCAGGCTCACAGTGACAAATGCTCTTTAATAGATGATACCATTGAATAAAAGGATCGTCCACTGAACAGTCCAGTCGACTTCTCAGAGATTTAAGATCAATGTTGTTGATGCGCTCTAGTTTAGGACAACTATAACATAGCATTGTTTTGAATCCTCCATCAAATATCTGGTGGTGTATAAGACACTCCAAAACCTGGAAATTTTCTGCGCCGTAATCAACATACCTGAACTCTATAAGTTCAGGACATTCTAAATTGTCAATGAAACAAAGCGCATCCTGTTCAATTCTTAATTTTTGCAAGTTGTCGGAGCAAATTTCAAGAGGGTAAAACTCCCCAACTGCCAAGCGACCATCCCAGTTCTGAGCAAGATATAGCCCAAGAATCTCTAGAGACCTTATAGCAGTGTTTTGTAACAGCCTCCTCAGCAACTCATTCAATGTCAATGAGTTAGATAAATGACTCATTTGGAGGTCTCGTGCATAATCCTTGATTTCTTGTGTAGTTTCACATTCAATAGGATATGGGACGTTGTTAGGAGTATTAGTTGCCTGAAGAACAACTTTAGTTAGGTGTGGCAGAGTCGTAGCAATAACATTGATCATATCAAACGTCTCTTTAGATCTATCTATGGCAACATGAAGATGGGTCAGTTCTTTTGACTTGGATAAGTATTTGCTTAGAATGTCTTTGTATAGGGGTGGAAGAATGTGGTCATAAGGAAAAAGATTTTCGCTGCTGTACTCATATAACACAAAAACGAGTTTCTGAAGCCGTGTAAGGCGAACCCTTTCTAAGTTTTTGATATATTCGCCCTTTTTATATTTCTGCAGGATCATGATATTGTAGGTTGACTTGAGAGATAGAACATATCTTCCATCAAGTTTTCTGAGGTTATGAGGACAAAGAGGAAGGATTAAACTTAGGACAAAGTTTCTACTAACAAACTCAGCAATAGATTTACAGGTTACAGCCATTGTACTGATATCAGAATGAGGCAGAAATGAAAATATGATCATAATCAATTCCTCGGGTAGACTAATAAAAGCTGATGTTTGGTGATGTTTGTTCTTATAACTTCTATACTTTGAAGTAACAGAATCCTGTGATACGAGCTGATCCCGCATTTGATCATAGTCAACTATCTCAGCATCATAGTCACGGTTCGGCAACTTGTAAAAGGTCGACCCACTGAAGGCACTGATTTGAACCATTTTATGTGTCACTGCAGTTCGCTCAAGTCGCTTTCCGTGAGCTCTGGACCATTCTTTTGGGCCAGCTGGTCGTCGAACACCTCGTTTTTTCTTCTCTTTCCCCATAGATTTAGACGATCAGTATCTTTGTCTAACTATTAAAATATATATTTGTAATTCACTTTCACGAATCAAGCATGTGATTTCAGTTGGACTCATTTCGGCTCATTTCAAGATTTATTTTAATTGACAGTCCAGAAATTATGTGATCCTTAAAATATGCATCGATTTTACAGTGTGAATTAAAAGTACAGTACAATTAGCTATATCCTGATTTTATACCTTCATAGAACTGTGAACATTTTATTTCATTTCTTATAATATTATATTATTATTACAAAAATATAAAAACAATAACATTACGTAGCTAAAAACAATTTTGATAACAAATCAGTTTACTATTGACATGTTATACTATTTTTATGTTGAGTCAAACAAAATAATTGTAATTTCAAGGATTGGCATTTAAAGCTGTTTCGTTATGAGGCAAAAACAAATAAATATACATTTAAAATTATTTAAATTCATGCATCTTAAAGGAATATCAAAAGGACTAAGTTCACATGATTTTGTTTATGTAACCATCAACATTTATTTGAATTGAGTATCGATCTTTGTAAATGAATGTAAATCTGGAAAAACAAAATAAATCTACTAATGTAATATTCCCAACTACTAATGTAATATTCCCAACTAAACATTATGGAATTTTAAATTACTTAATATCATATTCATTAAAAGATTAAACAAACTTATTTTGAACGATTTAAATAAAAATGAATTATTGCCAGCCACAAATTCTCAGCTTAATTAAAAGAAAATGGACAAGTTGCTTCTTGGTATCGCTATGCTGACCTTTAAAAATTCTGTAGAAATCTGTAGAAATCTGTAGAACAATCCTGTCTGTTATCCAGGTTATTAGATTATGAGCAGTTGAACTTATAATCATAATATTGTATTTAGTACTAAGTCACTCTTCTAATACTAAGTAACGTATTGGTACACTGAATCATGGACCCATAGTGTCACCATATTTACCTGTCTTTTTAATCTCCAGATTCTGATTCACGTTTGCAAGGACAGACTTCTTTAAGTAAATCTCCCCAAGAGTCCTTGATATCTCTAAACTCGTGTTCCTTTCTGTCATAAAATCCTTTCCGTAGTGAAGCTACATCAATGCTGTTGATACACTCGATAAGAGGACACCACTGCAGAATGTTATCGTTGTAGCCTCCGACAAACACATCTTCAGATTCATGTAAAAAACAGGTGACTACCCCGCGTAAAGGACCAAAATTAAGGTTCATCTGCTTGAATTCCAGAAGTTGTGGACAGTCAATATGAAGAATTCGACCAAAAGAATCCTGTTCAATTCTAAGATATTGCAGGCTAACTGATTCAATTTTAATATAATAATATACATAATTATTGTCTTAACCATTTCTGTTGAAGTAATTTCAGATTAATGATTTCGAGAGATCGTATGGATGTGTTTTTGAGTAGCCTCGCTAGCAAATTGTTATATGTAAAAAAAGATTCGTCACACTCTCTGATTTCCTCGGTAACTGGGCACTCGATGGGCTTGAAAAAGTGAATATCAGTGTTATGAAGAATAACTTTGTAAAGACAAGGCAAGGAATCAGCGATAATGTCTATTATGTCAAACGTTTTTCTAGATCTATCTATCGAAATATGAAGATGAGTCAGCAGTTTTGATTGGGACAGATAATAGCTCAAGATATCTTTATATAGAGGTGGAAGAATATGAACATAAGGGTATATGTGCTCGGGCTGTACTCAAACAAAACAAAAACGAGTTTCTGTAGTTTACTGAGATTCAATTCTTTGATATTTGCTAGATATTCACCATTTCTGCACTTATCGAGGATCATGATGTTGAAAGTAGATACCAGAGACAAGATACGTCTCCTGCCAAGTTTTGCGAGATTGCAAGGTGAAAGAGGGAGCACAATTGAAGGTAGAAAGTTCCTGTATACAAACTCAGCCATGGTTCGACATGTTATTGACATGGTTACAATATCCGAATAGGACAAATATTCAAAAATCATCATCATTACCTCTTCAGGTACACCAGAATAGTATGCAGTTTGGTGATGTTTAGTTTCATAAGTCAGATCTTTGGGAGTGACCTGATGTTGCTTTATGAATTCTTCCCTTATGTCAACGAGACGTTCAAGCCTCTTTTCAAATCTTACCCAATCTCCCACCTTTGCATGGTGCTTAATTTCTCTCTTCTTCTTGTCTTTTCCCATTATGGCATGTATTGGTGAATTTAGTACAGTGCAATCAGCTATCCTGATTGGGGGATGGGGGTTAAAAATTGTCCAAAACGTGATTACGTAATATTATGTGAACGACCCCTTACTATACTACTATCAGGTCGAACAAAATAATTGGTAATCAAGGATTGGCAATACATTTTGAGCCGGTTCCTAATGAGACAAAAACAAATAATTAAACATAAATAAAATAATTTGAATTCATGCATCGTGCTCGAAAAATATTTAATTTTATGTTAGTGCATGCAAAAAAATGGTATTAGTTAAAAAGACAAAAGTTATAAGAAGTTTTATTCTTTTAGAGCTAATCTTCTTCATCTTCATCATCTGAAGATCATAAGATGAAATATGGTATGCTAAAGAATAAAATTATAATTAGAATAATAAACTAATAAGGAGACATAGACTGAAGAGTCAGAATGAAACGAATGAATGCATGGAAAATAGTGTGTACCAAATTTTCTTTATAACATAGGCTCATAAATTGACAAATAGCGGTTTAAGGTATCAAAAATTAGAATTAACCGAATTCCGTGATTGTAATAATATAAAACATTATCGGCTTATATCATGTTATTAGAAATGGTATTATAAACATAGTTATGAAAAAAGCTGAAATAGGAAAAATAATGTACTTACAGTAGACCTATGATAATCAAAAATAATATTTCATAATCTCATTTTTCATAAAAAAGTTTTAAAAACAAAAGTGATATTGAGTTAAACATGTTAAAAAGTACATTATATGAAATCAAAATAGAATCCTTTTATAATTATTATACTAATATAGACGTATATAGTACTCATAGTTACATAAACACCACAGAATAACACTATCTATTGTTGATTACAAGATACTTGTTAAGAAATATCAAAAGGATTAAGTTGCCTTGATTTTTTCTGGTAAGGGACCGTTCACATAATATTACGTAATCACTATATGGCCAATTTTTAACCCCCCTCCCCCTCCGTAATCAGTTTTACACATAGCTACTGTGTCAAAATTATACTAGCTTAATCATTTGGAAACCCCATTCCCACCTCGGCTGATTAATGTAATATATGAACGCCCCTAAAAGTCAAAATTTATTCGCATTGATCTGTATGAATGGGTGTAAATCTGGAAAAATAGAATAAAATTAAACATTCCCAACAGTATGGAATTTAAAATAATCTATCAAATAACAAATCATTTCGACCAATCTAAATAAAAATGAATTATTACCAGCTCAAATTTCCAGTTTCGTACTTAAAGGCTCAGTATAATTAAAACACAATGAACACGTTGCTTTTAAGTATCGCTACAATTTGATATGGAGACTTCATTTTGTATGGCAATAAATTCTGAACAAATCTGTAACTATAATACTCTCTCGTTGCCACTAGGATATTAAGTTTAATGGTATGAACAGTTTAACGTCTTATTATAATGTATTTAGTACTAGTTAAGTCACTCTTATAATGCTAAGTAATAATACAAAGTAAGTTACGTATTAGTATACTGAATCATGCACAATATTATTATAGTGTCACCCTATTAACGTATCTTTTTATTCTGATTCTGAATTAGGTTCACAAGGACAGACTTTCTTAAGTAAATCCCCCCAAGATTCGTCGATATCCCTAAACTCGTATTCCTTTCTGTCATAAAATCCATTCCGTAGTGAAGCTACATCAATGCTGTTGATACGCTCGATAACGGGACACCACTGTAGAATTACATTGTAACCTCCAGCTCCGACAAACACATCTTCGGTTTCGTGTAAAAGACAGGTGAATTCCCTGCCAATATTCAGGTCCAAATGCTTGAATTCCAGAAGTTGTGGACAGTCCATATCAAGAATTTTACCGAAACCATCTTGTTCAATTCTAAGATATCGCAGGCTAGCTGATTCAATATTAATGTAATTACATAGATTTCGCTTTTCCCATCTCTGATATAATTTCAGATTAATGATTTCAAGAGATCGTATGGATGTGCTTTTGAGTAGCCTCACTAGCAAATTGTTAAATGTAAAGCAAGATTTGTCACTCTCTAACAGCCTGGATTCTTCTCTCATTTCCTCGGAAATTTGGCACTCGATGGGGCTGCAAAAGGCATTATCTGTGTCATTAGTTGCTTGAAGAACAATCTTATAAAGACAAGGCAAGGAGTCAGCGATAATGTCTATTATGTCAAACGTTTTTCTAGATCTATCTATTGAAATATGAAGATGAGTCAGCAGTTTTGATTGGGACAGATAATAGCTCAAGATATCTTTATATAGAGGTGGAAGAATATGAACATAAGGGTATATGTGCTCGGGGCTGTACTCAAACAAAACAAAAACAAGTTTCTGTAGTTTACTGAGATTCAATTCTTTAACGTTTGCTAAATATTCACCATTTCTGCACTGATCGAGGATCATGATGTTGAAAGTAGATATCAGAGACAAGATACGTCTCCTGCCAAGTTTTGTGAGATTGCAAGGTGAAAGAGGAAGCACAATTGAAGGTAGAAAGTTTCTGTATACAAGCTCGGCCATGGTTCGACATGTTGTTGACATGGTTACAATATCCGAATAGGACAAATATTCAAAAATCATCATCATTATCTCTTCAGGTACACCAGAATAGTATGCAGTTTGGTGATGTTTAGTTTCATAAGTCAGATCTTTGGGAGTGACCTGATGTTGCTTTATGAATTCTTCCCTTATGTCAACGAGACGTTCAAGCCTATTTTCAAATCTTACCCACTCTCCCACCTTTGCATGGTGCTTCATTTTTCTGTTCCTCTTGTCTTTTCCCATTATGACATGTATTGGTTTGAATTGAGTACAGTGCAATCAGCTATCTTGATTTAATACCTTCATAAACCTATGAGAATGTAATCTTTTATATATAACAAAAATTTAAAAAGAATAGCATTAAATGAAAACAATTTGGAATTTGGATAACAAATCAGTTTTTAAACTTTTAAACCTTTTTATGGTATTATCAGGTAACAAAATAATTGGTAATCAAGGATTGGCAATACATTTCGAGCCGGTTCCTAATGAGACAAAAGCAAATAATTATACATTGAAAACGATTTTAATTCATGCATCATGCTAGAAAATAAGAAAAATATTTTACCTTTATATAAGCGCATGCACGACAGTGGTATCAGTTAAAAATGTATAACAAGTTTTATTGTGTTAGGACTCATATTCGTCATCTTCATCATCAGCTGTTTTACAGGGGCAGATTTCCATAAAATAATCAATCCACTCGTCGTAACAATATTGATTCAACAAACGACTCCTGACTGCTTTGATATCAATTTCATTAATCCGCTCTAGTTTTGAACAACTGTAAACCATCGACCGTAAATCAACACAATTATCAAATTCTATTTTAAACATCTTGTGAAGGACAAGACATTCCAAATCTTCTGCACCAAAATCAACATATTTGAACTCCGGCAGTTCTGGACATACAATCTTGCTGATGTAACAAAACGCATCTTGTACAATTCTGAGGTGTCGAAGATTGCGGGAGTAAATTTCAAGAGGATATACATGTGCATGTAAATATTGACCTGCGTAGTCCCTGTCCCAGGTGTGACACATGTCTAAACCTATAATTTCTAGAGACCTTATAGTGGTGTTTTTCAAAAGCCTTCCCAGTAAAACATTCAATACCAGTGACTTATATGAAGGAGGTATTCGAAAGTATTTTCATTATCAAAGTTAACAAATGGGACATTGCCAGGAGTATCAGTTGCCTGTAGAATAACTTTAGTTAGGTGTGGCAGTGTCGTAGCAATAACATCGATCATGTCAAACGTTTCCTTAGATCTATCTATTATATATATTGCAACATGAAGATTGAAGATGGATCAGTTCTTTTGACTTGGATAGGTATTCGTTTAGGATGTCTTTGTATAAGGGTGGAAGGAACACTATCTCCTTGTAAGGAGAACGATCTTCAATGCTGCATTTTAATTTATATAAGACAAAAACAAGTTTTTGAAGTCGTTCCAGTCGAACACTTTCCAAGTTCTTGAGATATTCGCCCTTTTTGTATTTCTGCAGGATCATGATATTGTAGGTTGACTTGAGAGATAGAACATATCTTCCATCAAGTTTTCTGAGGTTATGAGGAGATATAGGAAGGATTAAACTTAGGACAAAGTTTCTACTAACAAACTCAGCAATAGATTTACAGGTTGCTGCCATCGTACTGATATCTGAATGAGGCAGAAATGAAAAGATCATAATTTGCAATTCCTCAGGTAGACCCAAGAACACCGATGCCTGGAGAAGTTTATTCTTATAACTTTATAACTCGAGTATTTTGAAGTAACATAATTCTGTGTTACAAGTTGGTTCCGTGCTTGATCATAGTTAACTATTGCTGGATCAGTTCCATATAGTCGCACCATCATGGAGGAAATTGTACTAGAAAGATGCGACTTTTTATGTTGAAAATCAGTACGTTCGAGTCTTTTTCCTTTATCTCTGAGCCATTTACGTTTCGTTTGTCTTTCTGCCATATGCTTTATTTAAACAAACCGCTAGAAATAAAATAGGTTTAATTGATTTCAATTCTACAGATTAAATCCAAATAATTTTAACTTTTAAAGTCAAATATCAAGCATGCGTTGCAATTTTATTTTTTTCAAGAGGGAGCAAACCTCAATTCAAAGTGGTTCAAATACGGACAAAATAATACATCATCAAGTTTAATATCAAATTATGTCTGAAAAAATTTTTAAAATACAGATTAAGAAGATAAAACATTTCGTTTCACTATATTCCATTATATTTGCTTAAATGTATAATATAAATATTAAAAATCATTGTTAACAGTTTCACTGTAAAACAAACTCCTGCCACTGTGAAACTTTCAACCAAAATAAAAAACAATTTCCATTATGTAGGATAGCAGGTCAATTCAGACTGTCATTCAGATTTTAAAAACTGCAGCCTTCATTACGTTTACATTACGGCTTTTGATTACATTAACGAAGTAAAATAATACAAAACAAACCATGAAATAAATTAATACACGTTTAAAAACAATCTCCTATAATATGAATAAATTAATTTTAATTACCCGAATATGGATTCATAGTCAGCTGGTTTTACCGGAGTTACATAATCAGATTTAGCTCGATTGCTACACCCCAGTAACTCTTCATTTTCCAGCTCAGACATGGTACTAAACAGTGGTACACTGGTTCCGTCCTGATTGTTGGCTTGTTTTTCTGTATGTTTGTTTGTCTGTTTGTTTGTGTGCATCTCAAACTGCTCCCAAGGTATGTTGTCAGGAACCTCGTCCCAGTGATCTGGTTCGGTTGTTTCTGTTGTGGAATGTGTGGAGAGCAGAGCGTCCCAGAAGGTTTGGGGTTTATCTGCGATTAATTTACGGAATTCGCTAAGTTTTTCTGACAGTGTCTTGTCTTTTGGGCTCGAACTGAAATTGGTAAATTCTATCAACGTTTTATCATCAAAAAGTGCTTTTTTTATTGAAAAAACTGCAAGAGGTTATAAAGAAATTACAAGTGATATTAAACCTTGACAGAATCCACCCACCTAAATAACCCACCTTACAGTATTATTATACCTTACAACTAAATAACTCACCTTAAAGTAGACTTCTCATTGCAAATCAGGGCGCCAGTCTTGGTAACCTGCAAGTTAACAAAGCAGACCACACCACCAACTTTGACCTCCTCACCAGCACTATACACAACAACCTCCCCTGCAGTCTCAGTATCACCTATCACCACCACTGTCCGGCTGTCAGTCTGTTTGTCTGTTTGTAGCACCTTCCCAACAAGATCACACTCCGACACACTCACTGGCACAGAGGAGACAGTGCAGATAGGTTTAGCTGACATGTGGGTGTAATCTCCCTTTGTTTCACGAAAAAGGCTTAATTTCGAGGAGGAAAGAGTCAGACTGCTTCCTCGGAACGAACTACAGGATATGTTATACATTTTATAACAGCGCCCTTCTTTCAGTGGTACTTGTTGTTCTGCACGCCAAATAGTCAGGAAGTACGGTTTTGTGTTAGGCTGCAGGGCACAATGTATTCTATGCTTCACCAGGGAGATAACTTTTCGAGGGGGACATCGTTCTTTAAGTTCTTCCATAAGTTGTTTATTGTGCTGAACCTCTTGTCTAGAACGCTCTTTTTCAGAATACTCCGCAAGCATTTCACGCTGTGACGGGTTAAGTAGACTTTGTAGAGAACTGGGGTCGGGATGATTTTTAATGAGCTCATACAGTTCCTGACCAGAATCGATACGTTTTACCGCTTCATTACTGATACTCTTGCTTCTTTTAGCCTTTTCACTTTTTAATAATTTGTGGGTTATATCCTCAATTATCTTATCCCTCGTTCGGCCATATTCTTCTTGTCTTTTTCTCTCGTCCTTTTCCGACCGAAACATTTTCTTGCCTGACAAATTTCTAGATTTCATAAGCCGAATCAAAAGTCATCCATCGAAATCTATTGTATGATAGAATATAGATGAGATAATTCAAAAGATGATAAAAATCCAGAAAGCTTCCTTAACTTCTTACAAACAAAATTCTAACCACAAGGTAAAGTTTCCAAGAACTGCACAGGGTACCGTCTGATAACAACTACTTCCATACACGCACAAGTACCCCCGTCAGGAGCTAGCACGCTGATTGGTAGAGAAGGCATCGTGTTCACATCTGAAAATCATTTTAGTGGTTTTAAGAGGAAATAGGTAGATTGCAACATGATTATTGCTAATAAAACCATTGCTATGATATTGTGTTCCATCTCATATCAGTTGCAAGGAGTTTTTAAGGAATATAGGGCGAGCAGAACCAAAATTTCAAACCAACATTTAAGATGTGATTAGCAGATAAACTAAACAATCATAGCAAGGTGGTTGGAGCGAAATTTCAATTGAATGATTCATTATATAGTAATCTTGATTAAGTGATATTTGTCAGTAGCTCAGTAGCAAAAACGCCGATTCTAAAACGCTTGAATAATTAAAACAAACCAGTGTATCCGAGCTTGGCACTCCATTTAGCAGGTCGGACACAATTATAGTTTAGTTTAAGTTTTAGAGTTGCTTTAGCTTGCAATGGAGGAATTCCATCCGCGTGAGGCCCGGTTATAGAGGAAGAGAAGCTCACTATCTTCGAACCAACTTTTATCGCCTGAACGATTTGTAAGACTTAAATACAAATTTACAATAATGTTATTAAGGATCAAGCAACTTTTCTCTAAGTACATAATTACTGTAAAGACGTTAATTTCATTAACAACTTTATTAACAACAATAACTACCATTGAGTTCTTTCAATCTAATGAGCAATAATCATGGCTAATTGCCAAATAACCCCAGTAATAAGTTAATTACAGTAATTACAGTAATTACAGTAATTACAGTAATTAAAGTAATTACAGTTATTACAGTAATTACAGTAAATCAGGCTTACCCGACTCTGAATAAGGACAGAGAGAGGATTATCCAGAACACATTCCAAACAATACCAACCATCAGACACCTCAATAGTCTTACCCCCAATCCCAGACACAACCAGTGTCATTGGTTTAGCAGGACTGTCATCCTTCTCCGTGACCCTCCTCAGAGCTGACCTTCTCCCTTCATCTACCTCAACAGAGTAGCGCAGGAGGAGTTGTGACATGATGTTCTCAGGAGTGAGCACGCAGCCAGCGTACACACCTGGCTGGCAGCGCTCCAATCCAGCACATTTCCATACAATGAGACGGTAATGATTTAAAACCCACTTCTCGGATATGAACTGCTGTTTGATTTTTGGAGCTTTAAGAAGGGCTTGGCGGAATTCAGTGTACCCTGCTGATTTACCATCTCGTAACTTAAGATTGATCCCACATCCTGATAACATCACTTCCTCCCCATCATTCTCTAAGAAATAGTCAGGTTTAGTGAATCTAAATTCCTGTGCTGATTGTGCAGTGACCTCCTCAACCCCACAGGACACGCCCATCTCAAACAACTCCTCTGATTCATAATACCGGGGTGGAGGGAGTGATGACATGGATTGACGGGCGGAGCACAGTGGACCAGGTTTAATGAGTTTGCTAGATGTGGGGAGGGTGGTGGGTTGTTTCCACAGCATGCTGGAGGGGACTTCCTTTTTAGGTAGGGGTTGGGTTGAGGGACATGTTTTACTGTAGGGGGTTATAAATGATGTTCCCTCTGCTGGACATTCTTCAATGGTGCTGAAAATAGTTCTTCCAATTAATTTTGCATAGTAAGTTGTGTAGTAAGTTGTGTAGTAAGTTGTATAGTAAGTTGTGTCAAAATTAACATTTTAACTATAGTTAATATCGCAAAAATATGAAAGAAGCAAACTCTCAACCGGTCGTTATCTAGATTCAGTAGATTGCCAAACAATTCAGAAGAGTTTAAAATCGCAAAATAACAACCTCTCAAGTTTAGGAGAACTGATAAGAGGAGAGAAACCAGGTCTTATTCTGTGACTCACAGGAGAGGACACAACAGCACGTGATCTTGTTTTGTCTGTAACAGGGCTGTTGAAGCCAGACCGTCTGGAAATGCGCCTGTAACAAATAGGACAATCAGTGTTTTAATTGGTGTGATATTATAATAGTGGTGATAGAAAAAAACATAAACTTTGACATATAATTATTTAGAAAAAAAAAACAAACGCGATAAAGTTGCAGCCTATTAGAAATAAGTGTTCAATGAAACTCCACTTTTAAGTAAACCTGCGTTTGTTGAGGTATTGTATCGGAGTAGAAGGATCATCAGTACTCTCTCTTCTAACCCGACTAATAACACTCTCTTCTGATGCACTGAGTTGTCTCCTCCTTACTTTATCTGATGGGGTATCCTCCCTTTTAGTCTGATCCGTCTCTCTGGCACGCTTGGGATTTTGTGCTAGAGACAAACTTGGTTTAGACCCAGTTTTGAATATCGGAGTGATAGGTTTAGGTGTGATACTTTCAGAGCTCCTTATTTTGAGACGTGGTTTAGAGGAATGTGAAGCCGAGGAGGGTAGTCGAGGTTTGTTATGATCAACACTGGCAGGAGTAGCTTGAGAGGATCTAATCAGATCGAAAGATTTTTGGCACACTGAAACACCTTTACCGCTCGCAGTGGAAAACCCAGTTGCCACCCCAGAAGGTTTTGGCACTTGTGAGGATCTTATGTGATCTAAATCATCTTCTTGGATCTTAGCCGGAGCACCACCTGCTGTTGAGAACCCTGAGCTTAGGGTGACTTTTGCTGGTGCCTGTGAGCATCTGACAGCAGATAATGAATCTTCTGCAATATTGACAGGGACTCCGCTTGCAGTTGAAAAACCAGTGAGAGCTTTTTTATTCGGTACTTGAGATGACCTGATATGATTTAACGAGTTTTCTGAGACCCTGACTGGCGCCCCGCTTGCTGTCGAGAAACCAGTCATAGTTGCCGGCTTTAAGGGAATTATATGGGGAGAGTGTGATGGTTTTGATCCAGAAGATGAATTCTCAGCTGAAGATTCAGTTGCGGAAGATTCCTTATCCGGTACTTCTAAGTTCAATGGTTTTGATCCAGTTTCATCTATAGCGTCTGGAATGCCGGTAAAAGATACCTGCTTTCCGCCAGTTTTCTTAACTGCTGAAACTTGGGACAATCTAACAAAATCTAAAGATTTGGCTGAAAATTCAACGTCTCTCCCTGATGCAGTTGAAAATCCTGCAAACTTAAAACTGGGATGACTATTATTGGATGGTTCTTGCTTATCAGGTAGTAACGGTGGTTATAACCTTTGAGGCAGGCTTGAAACCACCATCATTGAGATTAGTCTGATCAAGATCAGAAAAGTCCTCTCCAAAGAAACTAATGGGATCTTTAGCTTTGAGTGCTGGTTCATTGACTGAAGAGGCCTTGGTTAAAGTTGGTACTTTTGGACTAGAAGTGGACGGTTTTGGCTTATTAGTAGTAACGGTAGTAATAACCTTTGAGGCCGTCTGGAATCCACAATTACCGAGATTAGTCTGATCAAGATCAGAAAGGTCCTCTCCAAAGAAACTAATGGGATCTTTAGCTTTAGGAGCAGGTTCATTGACTAAAGAGGCCTTGGTGAAAGTTGGTACTTTTGTACCAGATGTGGACGGTTTTGGCTTATTAGTAGTAACGGTAGTAATAACCTTTGAGGCCGTCTTGAATCCACATTTATTGAGATTAGTCTGATCAAGATCAGAAAGGTCTTCTCCGAAAAAACTAATGGGATCTTTAGTTTTGGGATCTGGTTTATTGACAGGAATAGAAGCCTTGGTGAAAGTTGATACTTTTGACGTATCTAAATCAGAGAAATCTTCGCCAAAAAAGTTTACACTTTTCTTTGAAGATTCACCTTGGTTATTTTTGGATTTTTTTAAATCAGAAAAGTCCTCCTTGACAAACAAGGCTGCAGCGTTATTGGACGCAGAGGTAAAGCCTTTGAATTGATTTTGGGGAGTCGCTTTGTGTGTTACATGCTCATCTTCGTTAGATTCGTTTGCCATCGATAGAGGCATTTGTTTTTCTTTCCCTTTTGTCTTTTCATCAACTTTTTCGTGCGGAATTTCCTGTTTAATCGAGTGTGAAATACGGAAATTCTCCTTGTTATCTAAGACAGAAATAGCTTTATCCAAGTGATCGTAAACGTCGTTTGGCCACTGACTAAATGCCAACGAATCTTGGTTACCATCTGAAAGGTTGTCCTTAGAATTCAATTTTGCAGGAGCAAGATTATTGTCATCATTTTGTTTCTTAGAAACAACTTCACCCTCATCAATTTTTGATAGAACTTTGTTGGCATGCTCATAAACTTCGTTGGGCCACTGACTGAACCCCAAACTATCTGAGTCCCTCTGATTATCAAGCTGAAACTGAGTATCGTTCTGAGTAGCGGTAGGGTACTGGAAGTTTCTTTTCTCCTTTGGAACTGGCGATTTGTCCAGAGAGTTAATGTTACATGTAAAAGACAAAGGTTCGGCATTGTCCAAAGAAACAGGACGAATAAAACTAGGCTGAGAGTCGTTGTCAGGTTTTAACTTTTCAATTAATACCTCCCCTTGAACAGCATCTGAAATCTCATTCGTCACATTATTCTCTAGAGAGGAAATCTTCGTGTCTGAGGAATCTTTCTTTTCTGCCATCTCTGAAAGGTCAGTGACAGGTTGTTCATCTTCAGATGCATCATATGGTACCCGCATCTGATTAAGAAGAGAAGAGATTTTTTCTGAATTATTTCCGGAAGTTAAACTATCAGGTTCTTTAAGTGAATCATCTTGGTTAGAGAAAAGTGAAAAGTCCTTTGAATCAAGTTCATTTTCAGATACTTCAAGATTTACAGCAGATTCAGGCGTTTCAGGCCCATTAGTTCCTTTTGGAGACAAATTTTCGGTCAAATGGTAGTTTTGCTCTGACGAAATTGAAAGTTTTGCATCTGATCGTGTATCAGGACTAACAAATAACTTCTTCGTAGCCTTCTGCGAAAAAAAAATATCGTTAACAATAAAAATGAATATAATATGCCATAGAAGACGGCAAGATTTATGGGATATCGAGACTTAATGTTCACAACGAAGAAAATTCTAAAGTAAATGCCCATTGCCCACTGCCCAGTGGCTGTACCAAAATGAAAGAGTTTGTCAAAAATAAAAGAGTTTATCCAAAATTAAAGAACGATTCCAGAAAGTTGTATCGGGTGACTGAGAGTTCACAAAATATTGGAGCCTTACTTCAAAATGTTAGGGTTGCTCTTGCGTTTCCGCGACGGCGTATGGACCCATAAATGCCATAACATGAGAACTATAGCACCTAGACAGTCGAATAATAGCTTAAAAGATGCGGAATGTGCATGTTTATATTCAACTTATTAATCACTACAGAGCTAGATGACGAAGAGAAATTATAACATGACTGATTTTTTAAATTTCCTCGAACAAAGCTTTCGACTAGCGGGTTTTTAGTATATAATAATAGTAGCTAGATTGAATTATATATCAATTTCCAAAAAATAAAAGTTGTCAGAAGTGGGATTTGAACCCACGCCCACATTCATGGACCAGAGTTTGAATCTGGCGCCTTAACCACTCGGCCATCCTGACGTGTTTTAAGGAGAACTTTGCAAACTTTATACTGCCGAATAGAGCCTGCGTAACTTAATCGTTGTTTCTATACATGAATTGTGAGTAGCTGCAGATATCTAATGTCATTACCTCATGGATAATATAACGTTATGTTATGCTTCTTATAATAAATAAATAATAAAATTTGGTAGCTTAAACACAAACTCTAAGCCCAGTGGATAAACCACAAAACTTATGCTCTATTGTGTGAAACAAAGATACTAGATCAAGATAACTATCAAGGAGTGTATGCATAGGACATAAAAAGTTTTGGAACGAAGATGACATGCTTGTGAAGCGAGCTAACAGTCTAATTGCTAATAAGTTCAAAAAGATCATGACATTAGGTTGCATCCTAAACAGTTTAAGCAAATAACATAAAGTTATTATATTGTCAATTAATCGCTCATGCAGTCATGCCATAACTTTTCTTAAACAGGTGAGTTTTTAATAATGTTTTGAACAGATCAACATCGGAACAAGTCTTAATTTCAATTGGTAGTTGGTTCCAGATTTTCGGAGCAACAGTCTGAAACGCTCTTGGGTGTGATCTTGTAGATCCGACGGGTAGGTGTAAGGAGGAAATTCTTCTGCTACTCGAACTAACAAATGTTACTAGATCACACAGATATGCAGGAGCAACACCATTGACTGCTTTGAAAATCAGTAAGCATAACTTAAACTCAATCCTCTCCTTCACCTTGAGCCAATGAAGGGATTTGAGCTTCTCCTCGACTGAGTCTCTCTTCTTTAATCCAAAAACCCGACGGCATGCTCGGTTCTGAATGTTCTGCAGCTGCGTAATTGAGGCTTGACTACAACCATAGTAAAGTGCATTGCAGTAGTCAAGCGATGAGATTACAATTGCTTGAGTCAGTGTTCCCATCTGTTTGGTTGTTAGGAATGTTTTCATCTTAGCAAGGTCTCTTAGTTTCAGAAAACACGATGTTTTAAGTTGCTTGATTTGCTCACCAAAGTTTAGTTGAGAGTCGAGACGAAATCCGAGGTTCTTTGCAACAGGTGACAGCCTGACACACGTCTCAGAGTTAACAAACACGCCCCCTATAGACAGCTGCTGGAGAACAAGCGGTGTCCCAAAGACAAGAATCTCAGTTTTTCCTGCATTGAGCTGTAGATAATGTTTTTTCATCCAGTCATTAATTTCTTGGAAACATTTGGGAACATCGTTGATAAGGACGGTGGGCTCCTCGTTTGGCTTGAAACTTTTATACAGCTGATGATCGTCGGCGTAACCCTGGATGGAGAAGTTCAAATCATGTGCTGCTGAGTACAAAGAGCGAATGTAGATGTTGAACAGGACCGGACCCAGCACAGAGCCCTGTGGGACTCCAAACTTAATCACTATCTCATAAGATTCCTCATTTCCAACTTTAATCGTTTGACATCTACCTGTGAGGAAGCTGCTGAACCATTTCCAAGCTGTCCCTGTTATTCCCAACTCATTTCTGAGGATGTTCAGTAGTTTGCAGTGGTCAACTGTATCAAAAGCTGCGCTGAGATCTAGGAGAAGAACAACAGTTGCCTTGCTTTCTGTAGATGCAATGAGTAGATCGTTAACAACTCTCACAAGCAGAGTCTCGGTGCTGTGTTTTGATTTGTATCCAGACTGCTGTGGGATGTTCAGGTTGTTGTTTTCTAGATGTTCATTTAGACGCCTGAGCACTACTCTTTCTATCAACTTGCCCACAAAACTAAGGTTAGATATTGGTCTATAATTCTTGAGATTATCACTATCTAATCCCTGGCCCTTGATCAGGGGTGTGATATGAGCTAGTTTAGCGCCATCAATACTGCCAGAAGATAATGAAGCATTTACTGTGTCAACTAAGACGGGTAGTAGAACCTCAAGGTTTTCTTTAAAGATGTTTGCAGGTAGAGGGTCAATTGAAGAAGACTTGATCTCAGATGCCTTGATTATCTCCTCTAGTTCTTCTAGAGTAGTTGGAGAGAACTCAGCTAGTTTTTCTCCGCAGTAAGAGGGCGTTTGATCGTCAGACTCCACATGATCAAAGTTATTTCGTATTGCCTTTATTTTCTCCTGAAAATATACGTTAAAGTTTTCGACTGTGTCCTTGAGAGACTCCGACGAAGGCAACACAATGCTTTTATGCCGATCAAGAAAGGTGTCCACAAATCTAAAAAGACTCTTAGAAGAATAGGAATGCTTTATGAATTCGACTCGAAAAACTCATGTTTCTTCCTGTCTGAGAGTTCTGTGCACTGCTCTCTGATTGATTCATAGTGTTTTTTTATCGTCTTACCGGGGTGGAAAATGTAAATCGGGGCGCGTTAAACTATTACTGTTAGCTTACTATTTACTGTCTAGGTGTTATAGTTCTCATGTTATGGCATTTATGGGTCCACACACCGTCGTGGTAGGCCGGGCCGTAACCATGGAAACGCGAGAGAAACCCTAAAATTTTGGAGTAGGGCTCCAAATAATTTTTGTGAACTCTCATTCACCCAATACAACTTTCTGGAATCGTTCTTTAATTTTGGAAAAACTTTTGTATTTTGGTACTGTATGCCCACGTGACGAGAAAAAAATTGATATTTCGAAAGTAGCAATAAATTTCCAACCTGCGAACTCTTTAAAGGACGAGGAGGAGTAGAAAACCCTCCCCCAACAGACGGGACTTTATCAGTTGATATACTCAAGTGCTGGGAAGGGGTTTCCATGTTTGTTTCCCATGTTAATACAGTGTCTGAGGTCATCTTTTCTGCTCTTATACTGTCACCTTAAGGTTTATCAGTATCAGATTGTAGTTATTCGGGGAAGGTTTCTTCAAAATATCTCAGGTTTTTACGAGAGAGAAGTTTCATACTTGAGATACAACTGCATCAACAATAATATATAAATAACAAATATCTTACTTCAGTTTTCTTACCTCCGTGATACCTGCTGTCACCAGATAAAATAATAGGTGAATGAAAGGAGGGAGTTTCAAATGACTTAGCGATACTAACATCCCTGCTAATGTCTCCAGAGATAGGCGTGCTGGATTGGGGGGAGGACCAGGGACTCTCCTGAAAATAGAGATGTCAGGTATTGTAATCACATGATTGCTTGTAAGTTCTGATTCATAATTCAACGAAGAAAATCATCTACTGTTGATTGCGACATGGACATTACTAAAGTGCTAAAGCCCCGAGATTAAAGATTTATGAAATTATTTTCATGATATAATGTACTCTACTTTCTAATTACGGACTTACACCGAGAGAAGACAAAGAAAAGGGTGACTTCAAACAGCTACTTCTCTGAGTTTTAAGAGGGGTAGTAAAAGTTAATTCTCTGTTGCGGTCACTTTTGTCAAACTTGGGAGTGCAGCTTCTTTCCCTGATTAAATTTAGTTACTGATTAGATGATATAAATGGAGGGCTACTTAGCGTTAGCACCCATTGTGACCATTACAATAAGACATTATGAATTTATCTTCATAACACTTTTATGCAGATTATAAAAAACAATTATAGTTATCCAAAGAATCTGTTGCTTGCAGACACTTACAGCCTAGCTCTTGGGTAGAGTGTGAAGATGTCATTGTAACTGAACTCTACCTCACTTGCATCCTCGGGAGTCTCCCAGGAAAACTCCTTATCAGCTGGTTCCATTTGACATGGGGTGATATATTAAAGAGGTGGACCTCTTGCTACATCCTACTAATATTATTACTTTATTACTGCATTACGTAATTTAAAAGTGTTAAAAATGGGCGTCAACTGTAACAGAGTCTGATATTAACAACTTGGTATGTGGGGACAATTGGATTATAAAATTGAAGAAATATAATTTGGCGTCACATCTTGCTTGTCACTTTCGTAATAATATACCAATAATCGATTACTTAGAATTTATCATAAAATCAAGCAGGCTGGCCATATCATATGTCTGGCAACTTTGCAGAGAAATAACATTACGTAGATTTAAAGGCAGTCCAGAGATAAGAGCCATACCTCCATACCAACTTGTATCGAATGACATGTTGTGTTTGTACTTTGTAAGCGTTTGTTTGCTGCTCCAATTTCTTAGCAAATTTAGTATTGAAAGCTTGTAGAGGGTATTTTTTATTTTAATCATTGTGGCCACGTTCATATTGTTTAAAAACTAAAGAGGTTTTTACTATTTAATTCAAAAACATCCAGATGTATTCGTGTAACCAATCTAAACTTCTTACAATTAACAGGCCCTCAGAATTGACGGGCTATGTCTAGTTTCCTGGTTCCAGCAGATTTCGGACTCAACAAACTTAAAAGCAGGCTCCACGGCAATGTCCTCATCTCTCTTGCAGGAGGAAAACAACTGCGGGCTAACTCTGTCATACTCTCCCTAAACAGTCCGATATTTGAAGGAATGTTTGCGGAGGTGGACCCAGTGCCCGAGTTAGATCTGAGTGAGTATAGCAGTGCAGCTGTTCAAATGTTCATTGAAGCTATATACACTGGGAAAGTAACACTGGACACAGTTTTAGTTAGAGATGTGCACAAGATAGCCTATGTTTACAAGGTAGCTTGGCTCCAGAGACGTTGTGAAAGTTATTTGGGAAGGTTGGTCTGCCATGTGGACGGAGATGATTACAACAGTCTATTTTACTTGTTTGAAGAGGCGAGATGTATAGTGGAGATGACAACACACAAATCACTTCTTAATGAGCTTATGGAGAAGATCACACGGTCTCACAGAACAAAAACTGATTTTGTGACCCGATACATGGCAGATTATGAGACTTTGTCCAAATCTCAGCTTGAGCTCATGATCAATGTGACAAGAGATGATCCGGCTATATTAGTGAAAATTGTAATACAACACATTGAAGCAAATAGTCTCATGTTTGATGACGCTACGGAATACATATTGACTAATTTGGATCTTTTGAGTTGCCTTTTGAGTGACAAAGTTCATTACGATTGTTTGTTCGACCTTCTCTTTGAAAAAGTCGTTAACTTATCATTCGATGATTTGAAACTCATAGTGACGCTGCACAAGTCCACATTCGGAGCTTACATGACGTCTTGCAAAGAAGCTTCCTGGAAAGGACAGAACAGTGACACAGGATCTCGACAAAGTGCCGTGTCGAGCTGTTCAACGCGATCAGACTCGGTTGATAGCTTACCAGTTATTTCACGTCTTGAGTCAGCAGGTAGTGTACGAATCAGTCCTGTACCTGAGGACACAGCTAGAAGCAAAGCAGTTGTTTACCAGCTCTTCCAGTGACAGCGAGTGAAATTTCTATAATAAGCAATGCTTCTACCATAGCAAGTGACTTTTCTATAATGAGCAATGTTTCTACCGTAGCAAGTGATATTTCCATAATAAGCAATGTCTCTACCGTAGACACAAAGTTTTCAGACCCGCCAAAAGTTCCAACAACTATTAATAACTTGTTTCATTCAGGCAAGTCCCTACAAAAGCTTTCATTTCACGGAATCATTGCTTTAAAGACAGTTCTGAACACCAAGAATGTGTCAAGCCTTTTCATGGTGATTGAAGCTCTGACATTCTTACCCAACATCTCGACATATCAAGCCATAGATCTCCTAAAATCCGCTACAAAGGAGCATAATTGGGCACGAATACCTCCCAAGTTTCTGGAAAGTTTTGCAAGACACCCCCACACGCAGCTAGTACAACAGATCAAGAAAACTCTAGCACTCTGCTCAACTAGAGACTGTTTGCAACTTGAATCTAAAAACTTTACAACTCTCCATGATCTGGTAACAAAAGGAGCGACTGTCCAGTTTCAGCTTCCCGCTAGATTTGGAGCGGGAAGATTTTCACTGGACGTTCAACCATTTGATAACGATAGAAACTTTGAAATCAAGTTGAATGACACGAAAGAATCCCAGGTACCAGCAGAAAAACTACATCTGTTCGTAAAAGAATGGGACAGTTACCGTGGCAACAAACTACTGAATAGGCATGTGACTTGGTGTGATAGACCAGTTGTTAGAAGAGGGAAGATTAGTTGGGGGGAAGTAACAGAGTTCCGGAGGATCAAACTTGTGGTGTATTGTGATATGAGGCTGTGAAACTTGTGGTGTATTGTGATATGAGGCTGTGAAACTTGTGGTGTATTGTGGGGGGGTGTCATGTCCGTCTATGTCCGCCTATGTCCTGTCCTTTTTGGATTCTATGAGACAACGGACGTGTTTTTTGGGACATTGGCGGACACGGACGGACATTGGCGGACTCGGACGGACATTGGCGGACTCGGACGGACATTGGCGGACTCGGACGGACATTGGCGGACTCGGACGGACATTGGCGGACCCGGACGGACATGGATGGACATTGGTGGACATTAGCGGACATTGGTGGACATTAGCAGACAAACATTTTGAGGACTGAAGAGTACTGAAGAGTACTGAGGAGGATGACTGAGAAGGATGGCTGAGAAGGATGGCTGAGGAGGATGGCTGAGGAGGATGACTGAGGAGGATGACTGAGGAGGATGACTGAGAGGGAGGAGAAGGATCAGGAAGACCCAGGAGGAGGAGGAGGAGGAGGACCCAGAAGGAGGACCTAGGAGGAGGAGGAGGAGAACTGAGGAGGATGACTCAGGAGGAGGAGGACTCAGGAGGAGGACTGAGGAGGACTGAGAAGGAGGAGGACTGAGGAGGATGCCTGAGGAGGATGGCTGAGGAGGATGACTGAGAGGGAGGAGAAGGAGGAAGAGGAGGAAGAGGAGGAAGAGGACTGAGGAGGAGGAGGAGAAGGACTGAGGAGGAGAAGGAGGACCCAGGAGGAGGAGGACCCAGGAGGAGGAGGACCCAGGAGGAGGACCCAGGAAAAGGCCCCAGGAGGAGGAGGAGGACCGGGGAGGAGGAGAACTGTTGAGGACTGATGAGGAGGACTGAGGACGAGGAGGAAGAGTAGGAGGAGGACTGAGGAGGGGAGGAGGAAGAGGACTGGGGAGGATCAGGAAGACCCAGGGGGACCCAGGAGGAGGAGGAGGAGGAGGACCCAGGAGGAGGAGGAGGACTGAGGAGGACTGAGGAGGAGGACTGACGATGACTGAGAAGGAGGAGGACTGAGGAGTACTGAGGAGGATGGCTGAGGAGGATGGCTGGGGAGGATGGCTGAGGAGGATGACTGAGGAGGATGACTGAGAGGGAGGAGGACTCAGGAGGAGGACTCAGAAGGAAGAGGAGGACTCAGGAGGAGGACTTAGGAGAAATGAGAAGGAGGACTGAGGAGAACTGAGGAGGAGGAGGAGGAGGACTGAATAGGAGGAGGAGAAGGAGGGGGACTGGGAGAGGACTGGGGAGGAGGAGGACTGATGAGAAGGATGAGGAGGAGGACCCAGGAGGAGGAGGACTGAGGACGAGGAGGAAGAGTAGGAGGAGGACTGAGGAGGGGAGGAGGAAGAGGACTGGGGAGGATCAGGAAGACCCAGGGGGACCCAGGAGGAGGAGGAGGAGGAGGACCCAGGAGGAGGAGGAGGACTGAGGAGGACTGAGGAGGAGGACTGACGATGACTGAGAAGGAGGAGGACTGAGGAGTACTGAGGAGGATGGCTGAGGAGGATGGCTGGGGAGGATGGCTGAGGAGGATGACTGAGGAGGATGACTGAGAGGGAGGAGGACTCAGGAGGAGGACTCAGAAGGAAGAGGAGGACTCAGGAGGAGGACTTAGGAGAAATGAGAAGGAGGACTGAGGAGAACTGAGGAGGAGGAGGAGGAGGACTGAATAGGAGGAGGAGAAGGAGGGGGACTGGGAGAGGACTGGGGAGGAGGAGGACTGATGAGAAGGATGAGGAGGAGGACCCAGGAGGAGGAGGACTGAGGACCGAGGAGGAAGAGGAGGAGGATGAAGAGGAGGAGGAGGACCCAGGAGGAGGAGGACTGAGGAGGAGGACTGAGGAGGACTGAGGAGGATGGCTGAGGAGGATGACTGAGAGGGAAGAGGAGGAGGAGGAGGAGGAGGACTGAGGAGGACTGAGAAGGAGGAGGAGGAGGAGGAGGACTGAATAGGAGGAGGAGGAGGGGGACTGGGGGAGGACTGAGGAGGAGGATGGAGGACTGAGGAGAAGGATGAGGAGGAGGACTAAGGAGGACTGAGGACTGAGGAGGAAGAGGATGAAGAGGAGGAGGAGGACCCAGGAGGAGGACCCAGGAGGAGGACTCAGGAGGAGGAGGAGGACTGGGGAGGAGGAGGACTGATGAGGAGGACTGAGGACGAGGAGGAGGAGTAGGAGGAGGACTGAGGAGGGGAGGAGGAAGAGGACTGAGGAAGATCAGGAAGACCCAGGGGGAGGAGGAGGAAGAGTAGGAGGAGGAAGCATCTAAATGTTACTTCCATTTTTGTCCGTTTTTGTCCATTTTTGTCCGTTTTTGTCCGCTCTATTTTTTGTCCGTTTTTAAAATATAGGGTACCGAACGGACAAAAAACATGATCCCCCTATAACAGCAAAAATTGAACATTTTATTAAGCAATTTAGGTGTCCATTAATGTCCGCCTATGTCCGCCTATGTCCGTCTATGTCCGCCTATGTCCGTCTATGTCCGCCTATGTCCGCCTATGTCCTGTCCTTTTTGGATTCTATGAGACAAGCGGACATAGACGGACGTGACACCCCCCCCCCCCATTGTGATATGAGGCTGTGAAACTTGTGGTGTATTGTGATATGAGGCTGTGAAACTTGTGGTGTATTGTGATATGAGGCTGTGAAACTTGTGGTGTATTGTGATATGAGGCTGTGAAACTTGTGGTGTATTGTGATATGAGGCTGTGAAACTTGTGGTGTATTGTGATATGAGGCTGTGAAACTTGTGGTGTATTGTGATATGAGGCTGTGAAACTTGTGGTGTATTGTGATATGAGGCTGTGAAACTTGTGGTGTATTGTGATATGAGGCTGTGAAACTTGTGGTGTATTGTGATATGAGGCTGTGAAACTTGTGGTGTATTGTGATATGAGGCTGTGAAACTTGTGGTGTATTGTGATATGAGGCTGTGCAACTTGTGGTATATTGTGATATGAGGCTGTGAATGGGACCCCACATTTCGGTTGTGTAGAGGAGGTACTACTGCGACATATTATCATTAATTATTTAATTGCGATCTTTACACTTATTTTAGTAATCAGTAAAACGATATATTTCCTAAACAAAAAAATTGATTTGTTGTATTATTAAACTGATCAAGTAAATAGAAGAGGGTCACTCCAACAACTTGATTCTGACAGAACTCAATAATATTGATAGTGCATCACGGTAAAATTATATCTTGCATAATAATCCTGATTTTATTTACAAATAAACTACAAATAAGATTTTCTCATAAATATCGCAATTTGCATTTAATAAAATAACGCTCGATCACCATTTTTCAATGGGCAGCTGTTGTTTCAATTCCAAATAGTTGCACTCATTTGATGAAGAGTCTTGGTACTCAAGGGTCACGGTAATTAAACAGATCAGGACGTTAGCTATGAGTATTATTCATGGAAACTTTTTCAGCTCTTTTAACTCCATCTTATTTGAGTTCAGGCTGTTGTGTCCTATCCTTCATTTCCTTGTTCTGCGTGAACTCAATGAGCATCTTCATCACCTGAAAAAGCAACATAATCAATCACTTTTGCGAAACTTAACAAAACTTTAAAAATTTGGATCATCGGAATCACTAGCAATTTCAAGCATTCTGATTTTGGATTTCAAGGGTTCTTCCTTTCATGCACATAATATTACACTGTGTCTGTGACCATCTCGTCTTAATTAAACTCCTTATTGTGACCCCTTACCTCGTTATCATAAGGAGGAGGTGGTTGTTCCTTCCTTATTGTGACCCCTTACCTCGTTATCATAAGGAGGAGGTGGTTGTTAAACTCCTTAGTGTGACCCTTTACCTCGTTATCATAAGGAGGAGGTGGTTTTTAAACTCCTTAGTGTGACCCTTTACCTCGTTATCATAAGGAGGAGGTGGTTGTTAAACTCCTTAGTGTGACCCCTTACCTCGTTATTATAAGGAGGAGGTGGTTGTTAAACTCCTTATTGTGACCCCTTACCTCGTTATCATAAGGAGGAGGTGGTTGTTAAACTCCTTAGTGTGACCCCTTACCTCGTTATTATAAGGAGGAGGTGTGGCCTCCTTAGTGTGACCCCTTACCTCGTTATCATAAGGAGGAGGTGGTTGTTAAACTCCTTAGTGTGACCCCTTACCTCGTTATCATAAGGAGGAGGTGGTTGTTAAACTCCTTATTGTGACCCCTTACCTCGTTATCATAAGGAGGAGGTGGTTGTTAAACTCCTTAGTGTGACCCCTTACCTCGTTATCATAAGGAGGAGGTGGTTGTTAAACTCCTTAGTGTGACCCCTTACCTCGTTATCATAAGGAGGAGGTGGTTGTTAAACTCGTTAGTGTGACCCCTTACCTCGTTATCATAAGGAGGAGGTGGTTGTTAAACTCCTTAGTGTGACCCCTTACCTCGTTATCATAAGGAGGAGGTGGTTGTTAAACTCGTTAGTGTGACCCCTTACCTCGTTATCATAGGGAGGAGGTGGTTGTTAAACTCCTTAGTGTGACCCCTTACCTCGTTATCATAAGGAGGAGGTGGTTGTTAAACTCCTTAGTGTGACCCCTTACCTCGTTATCATAGGGAGGAGGTGGTTGTTAAACTCCTTAGTGTGACCCCTTACCTCGTTATCATAGGGAGGAGGTGTGACCCCCTAGCCTTAGTGTGACCCCTTACCTCGTTATCATAAGGAGGAGGTGGTTGTTAAACTCCTTAGTGTGACCCCTTACCTCGTTATCATAGGGAGGAGGTGTGACCCCCTAGCCTTAGTGTGACCCCTTACCTCGTTATCATAAGGAGGAGGTGGTTGTTAAACTCCTTAGTGTGACCCCTTACCTCGTTATCATAGGGAGGAGGTGGTTGTTAAACTCCTTAGTGTGACCCCTTACCTCGTTATCATAGGGAGGAGGTGTGACCCCCTAGCCTTAGTGTGACCCCTTACCTCGTTATCATAAGGAGGAGGTGGTTGTTAAACTCCTTAGTGTGACCCCTTACCTCGTTATCATAGGGAGGAGGTGTGACCCCCTAGCCTTAGTGTGACCCCTTACCTCGTTATCATAAGGAGGAGGTGGTTGTTAAACTCCTTAGTGTGACCCCTTACCTCGTTATCATAAGGAGGAGGTGGTTGTTAAACTCCTTATTGTGACCCCTTACCTCGTTATCATAGGGAGGAGGTGTGACCCCCTAGCCTTAGTGTGACCCCTTACCTCGTTATCATAAGGAGGAGGTGGTTGTTAAACTCCTTAGTGTGACCCCTTACCTCGTTATCATAAGGAGGAGGTGGTTGTTAAACTCCTTAGTGTGACCCCTTACCTCGTTATCATAAGGAGGAGGTGGTTGTTAAACTCCTTATTGTGACCCCTTACCTCGTTATCATAGGGAGGAGGTGTGACCCCCTAGCCTTAGTGTGACCCCTTACCTCGTTATCATAAGGAGGAGGTGTGACCCCCTAGCCTTAGTGTGACCCCTTACCTCGTTATCATAAGGAGGAGGTGGTTGTTAAACTCCTTAGTGTGACCCCTTACCTCGTTATCATAGGGAGGAGGTGTGACCCCCTAGCCTTAGTGTGACCCCTTACCTCGTTATCATAAGGAGGAGGTGGTTGTTAAACTCCTTAGTGTGACCCCTTACCTCGTTATCATAAGGAGGAGGTGGTTGTTAAACTCCTTAGTGTGACCCCTTACCTCGTTATCATAAGGAGGAGGTGTGACCCCCTAGCCTTAGTGTGACCCCTTACCTCGTTATCATAAGGAGGAGGTGGTTGTTAAACTCCTTAGTGTGACCCCTTACCTCGTTATCATAAGGAGGAGGTGGTTGTTAAACTCCTTAGTGTGACCCCTTACCTCGTTATCATAAGGAGGAGGTGTGACCCCCTAGCCTTAGTGTGACCCCTTACCTCGTTATCATAAGGAGGAGGTGGTTGTTAAACTCCTTAGTGTGACCCCTTACCTCGTTATCATAGGGAGGAGGTGTGACCCCCTAGCCTTAGTGTGACCCCTTACCTCGTTATCATAAGGAGGAGGTGGTTGTTAAACTCCTTAGTGTGACCCCTTACCTCGTTATCATAAGGAGGAGGTGGTTGTTAAACTCCTTATTGTGACCCCTTACCTCGTTATCATAGGGAGGAGGTGTGACCCCCTAGCCTTAGTGTGACCCCTTACCTCGTTATCATAAGGAGGAGGTGGTTGTTAAACTCCTTAGTGTGACCCCTTACCTCGTTATCATAAGGAGGAGGTGGTTGTTAAACTCCTTAGTGTGACCCCTTACCTCGTTATCATAAGGAGGAGGTGGTTGTTAAACTCCTTATTGTGACCCCTTACCTCGTTATCATAGGGAGGAGGTGTGACCCCCTAGCCTTAGTGTGACCCCTTACCTCGTTATCATAAGGAGGAGGTGGTTGTTAAACTCGTTAGTGTGACCCCTTACCTCGTTATCATAAGGAGGAGGTGGTTGTTAAACTCCTTAGTGTGACCCCTTACCTCGTTATCATAAGGAGGAGGTGTGACCCCCTAGCCTTAGTGTGACCCCTTACCTCGTTATCATAAGGAGGAGGTGGTTGTTAAACTCCTTAGTGTGACCCCTTACCTCGTTATCATAGGGAGGAGGTGTGACCCCCTAGCCTTAGTGTGACCCCTTACCTCGTTATCATAAGGAGGAGGTGGTTGTTAAACTCCTTAGTGTGACCCCTTACCTCGTTATCATAAGGAGGAGGTGGTTGTTAAACTCCTTAGTGTGACCCCTTACCTCGTTATCATAAGGAGGAGGTGTGACCCCCTAGCCTTAGTGTGACCCCTTACCTCGTTATCATAAGGAGGAGGTGGTTGTTAAACTCCTTAGTGTGACCCCTTACCTCGTTATCATAAGGAGGAGGTGGTTGTTAAACTCCTTAGTGTGACCCCTTACCTCGTTATCATAAGGAGGAGGTGTGACCCCCTAGCCTTAGTGTGACCCCTTACCTCGTTATCATAAGGAGGAGGTGGTTGTTAAACTCCTTAGTGTGACCCCTTACCTCGTTATCATAAGGAGGAGGTGGTTGTTAAACTCGTTAGTGTGACCCCTTACCTCGTTATCATAAGGAGGAGGTGGTTGTTAAACTCGTTAGTGTGACCCCTTACCTCGTTATCATAAGGAGGAGGTGGTTGTTAAACTCCTTATTGTGACCCCTTACCTCGTTATCATAAGGAGGAGGTGGTTGTTAAACTCCTTAGTGTGACCCCTTACCTCGTTATCATAAGGAGGAGGTGGTTGTTAAACTCCTTAGTGTGACCCCTTACCTCGTTATCATAAGGAGGAGGTGGTTGTTAAACTCCTTAGTGTGACCCCTTACCTCGTTATCATAAGGAGGAGGTGGTTGTTAAACTCCTTAGTTTGACTCCTTACCTCGTTATCATAAGGAGGAGGTGGTTGTTAAACTCCTTAGTGTGACTCCTTACCTCGTTATCATAGGGAGGAGGTGTGACCCCCTAGCCTTAGTGTGACCCCTTACCTCGTTATCATAAGTAGGAGGTGTGACCCCCTAGCCTTAGTGTGACCCCTTACCTCGTTATCATAAGGAGGAGGTGTGACCCCCTAGCCTTAGTGTGACCCCTTACCTCGTTATCATAAGGAGGAGGTGTGACCCCCTAGCCTTAGTGTGACCCCTTACCTCGTTATCATAGGGAGGAGGTGTGACCCCCTAGCCTTAGTGTGACCCCTTACCTCGTTATCATAAGGAGGAGGTGGTTGTTAAACTCCTTAGTGTGACCCCTTACCTCGTTATCATAAGGAGGAGGTGGTTGTTAAACTCCTTAGTGTGACCCCTTACCTCGTTATCATAAGGAGGAGGTGGTTGTTAAACTCCTTAGTGTGACCCCTTACCTCGTTATCATAAGGAGGAGGTGGTTGTTAAACTCCTTATTGTGACCCCTTACCTCGTTATCATAGGGAGGAGGTGTGACCCCCTAGCCTTAGTGTGACCCCTTACCTCGTTATCATAAGGAGGAGGTGGTTTTTAAACTCCTTAGTGTGACCCCTTACCTCGTTATCATAAGGAGGAGGTGGTTGTTAAACTCCTTAGTGTGACCCCTTACCTCGTTATCATAAGGAGGAGGTGTGACCCCCTAGCCTTAGTGTGACCCCTTACCTCGTTATCATAGGGAGGAGGTGTGACCCCCTAGCCTTAGTGTGACCCCTTACCTCGTTATCATAGGGAGGAGGTGGTTGTTCCTTCCCTGTCATCCAGTAGTAGAGATCCCAGTCAGAGTCCACTGTGTTTATCAGAATATCAAACTGTTCTACTATCTTGCGGGGCAGACTCGGGCCATGTTCAGAGAAAAATGTGCTGAGAAAAAGTTTAAAACTTGGTTATCCATTGTGATTTGAGAATCAGTATGATACGGTCCAGGCAAGTTATTCTTGAAATGCAATAATCAGTCATTCTGAAACTATTGATAATTATATATGACATTCAGCCATTGTTCTGGCAAGTGAGAAAAGATTTAATACAACTGTTATTTCGATCAATTCTTTGAAGAGTCTCCTGAAGAGTCTCTCTCTGTTAATAAAGACTGACCTGAGGATGAGACAGTTCTCTGCAATGCCACGTTTCCTACTCTGCCATATCAGTCTGGCCCGTAGAGATTCTTCTGCTTCGTTGATTCTAGCAGGGTAGCTAGGCACTGTGAACTCTGTGTCATCCTGAAATATTAAGTTTAGCTTTTATTGTCACTCCTAATCACATTATGAGTAAAGAAGAGATATTTAGTGTGCACCTTAGAGTGAACAAACACTTAAAAACCCAAGGGAAGTTGGTCGTTTAGCTCCGGACAGTCTATGCAACGTCTATGCAACGTCCGTGCAACAACAAAAGAACCGTCTATGCAACGTCTATGCAACGTCCCTGCACAATGAACACTCTATGCACACTCCCTGCACGGTCAGTCTATGCAACGTCTATGCAACGTCTATGCAACGTCCCTGCACAGTACCATATGAACACCGGCTACTAGCCGGCTACTAGCCGGCTAGTAGCCACTTTTGTAATAACAGCTCCTCAACTTCACATTAACAACCGGCTACTAACCGGCACTTGAAAAGTGGTCACTAGCCGGCTACTAACCGGCTACTAGCCGGCTAGTGACCACAAAGTGGCTACAAACCGGCTACTAAGCGGTCACTAGCCGGCTATTAGCCGAGCTCTAAAGCAGACCTATTAGTAGCCGGTTCTAAACCGGCTACTAGCCGGCACTTGAAAAGCGGTCACTAGCCGGCTACTAACCGGCTACTAACCGGCTAGTAACCACCAAGTGGCTACTAACCGGCTACTAACCGGTCACTAGCCGGCTCTAAAGCAGACCTATTAGTAGCTCGGCTAATAGCCGGCTAGTGACCGCTTAGTAGCCGGTTAGTAGCCACTTTGTGGTCACTAGCCGGCTAGTAGCCGAGCTCTAAAGCAGACCTATTAGTAGCCGGTTCTAAACCGGCTACTAGCCGGCACTTGAAAAGCGGTCACTAGCCGGCTACTAACCGGCTACTAACCGGCTAGTAACCACCAAGTGGCTACTAACCGGCTACTAACCGGTCACTAGCCGGCTCTAAAGCAGACCTATTAGTAGCTCGGCTAATAGCCGGCTAGTGACCGCTTAGTAGCCGGTTAGTAGCCACTTTGTGGTCACTAGCCGGCTAGTAGCCGAGCTCTAAAGCAGACCTATTAGTAGCCGGTTCTAAACCGGCTACTAGCCGGCACTTGAAAAGCGGTCACTAGCCGGCTACTAACCGGCTACTAACCGGCTAGTAACCACCAAGTGGCTACTAACCGGCTACTAACCGGTCACTAGCCGGCTCTTAAGCGGACCTACTAGCCCGGCTAATAGCCGGCTAGTGACCGCTTAGTAGCCGGTTAGTAGCCACTTTGTGGTCACTAGCCGGCTAGTAGCCGGTTAGTAGCCGGCTAGTGACCACTTTTCAAGTGCCGGTTAGTAGCCGGTTGTTAATGTGAAGTTGAGGAGCTGTTATTACAAAAGTGGCTACTAGCCGGCTAGTAGCCGGCTAGTAGCCGGCTAGTAGCCGGTGTTCATATGGTACTGTGCAGGGACGTTGCATAGACGTTGCATAGACGTTGCATAGACGTTGCATAGACGTTGCATAGACGTTGCATAGACTGACCGTGCAGGGAGTGTGCATAGAGTGTTCATTGTGCAGGGACGTTGCATAGACGTTGCATAGACGGTTCTTTTGTTGTTGCATGGACGTTGCATAGACGTTGCATAGACTGTCCGGAGCTAAACGACCAAGTTACCAAACCCAATTACGTGTGACAGCAACTAGCAAGGACCTCAAAACACCAACAACCACAAGTCTCACCCTATGTGGCTCACACTCCACAACAATATCCCCAAACATTGTTGTTACATCCCTGGTTTTCTTGTCCCCAGAACTTAAGGCCCTTATCTTCACAGCTTGAGAGATAGAACTGCTACATTTTGGTGCGATGCGACCCACCAGGGATCTTAACATACCTAAACGTCAATAGAGAATTAACTAATTAATTGATTAATTAAATATTAGGGGATAAAATACCTTGAAAGGCTCATACTCAATCATGATGTCGCCAAATCCAGATCTTTTGTTATCATGACTGAGTGCTCTGGACTGTGCTTTTTGACAGAGTACTGTGTTGCACTTGGGAACTATCCGACACAAGGACCTCAACATACCTAGATAAGAAAGGGAGTTATAAGAAGAAGTTATGCTTATTAGCATGTAACGTTATGCTTATAATATTAATGATCTGTGTTTCAAGAATAATTTAGTCTGCTTTGAAAATATGCAATATGTCTATTAATGCTGGAGCCTACATTTAAAAAACATAAATTCGAGATTAAGGAAAACATCTTGGAACTGAGTCAGAATGCGTTGTTAAAAAACAAACGATAAGCCATACTTCTTCAGCATTTAGTTTCTAGAATAAGACAATCTTGACTAACGAATATCGATAACAATTATTTTGATTTCACAGAAATTACATGCAACAAATAAATCATACGAATAAACACATGTATAAATAGAATATATAACATAATATAATAAAAACATTAGTTTTTCAACAATTCATTAAGAGGTAAAAAAGATAAGACACATAACAGTTGGAGATACGATTATATACAGTCCTAAAGAACTGTTGCAGATATAGAAAAACAAAGTTACAATACTTAGTAAAGGAGATAAAACCGAGTTTTCATGTGTAGTTAGGAAATGATAAAGTGAACAAGACGGTAGCCATACAAGAAAAATATAGTGAATTAGTGCAAAAACCAATCCATAATACCCAAAAAACCGAAATAATATATTGACAAAATTTCTAGAGCCAGTTCCTGACTTGCAAATCTGAAGATGATGTGCTGCTCGCTTTCTAGCGCTACAAAGAAACGAATACAATACAGCTTCTACTGGGACAATAACAAATAGTGCACCAAAAACATATCTTCGAAATTCTCTAAATATTTCCATATCATTGAGGAACAACAGTACAGAGGATACTATCAGTACGATGTACACAATATACCGATAATGATACGAATCTTCCTGTCTGCTCAGTTTAAGTAGAAGATTCATTTCGTAGATAAGAAAGAAACTGTATAATATAAATGTAACCGAAGGTATAGGAAACACCCAGCTATATTCCATTGCAAAATTATCAAATATTTGCCGCGAAAAAGCTATACAGTTTTTTGCTATCGGGTCATATTCATTAGACTTCAACATCTCTCTTAAAAGTAGAGCAAGGTCACTAACCGAGCGATTTGATTCATCCTTAACAAGCAGGTTCACTGGGTTTGCACGGAGGTTTTTCTCGAAACAAAATGGAACTGAAGCAAGGCTGGTTCCAAAACTCAAGAATATACCATTCACCATTTTATCCAGTGCCCAACACCCTCCATCGCTTGTTTCAAAAACCACAAACGCGTGGAAGTCAATATCAAAGTACTGTCTCTGCATAACACTTCTGACAGGTGGCTTGGAACTGCTAAATGGAGCAGTCAAGGGGGACCGGTAAACGCTAATACTCTTCAGAGTTGCTGCTTCGTAATCTTGGATGTTTCCTCGCATAGCATGTTCATAATTCTGCTTAGTGAGCTGAACTGTCCAGGTGACAGGACAGACATCTATATCTGGGGGAGGACTCCCGGGTGTTTCCAGCTCCATTTGATAGCCCAGAGTTGCTGCAACCATAAAATAATGAATCAGATTAGGAATCCAGAATAGGAGAAACAGTGATAAGATAACCACTTCCAAGAGCTTACCCCCTCTGCACTGCACAACAGGGGAAGACGGGGAGTCGCCTTCATTTCTCAACCAACGAACAATGAGACTAAAAAAGTTTTGAGAAATCAAAGCGACCCAAACTATGAGAAATAGTAACACGATAACAGCTTCTGGATCTAAGTTTATTTCAGGGGGCTCTGTTGTCTCCATCTTTTCATTCATCTTCTGTGGAGGGTTATGCTCATCAGTACAGCCATCCTGGGATAAAACTCATGTTACATGTAATAATATTTTCAACGTAATAACATTTTCAACGTAGAAATGTTTCTGTTTGGTGAGGATAATTTCTGCTCGTGCCCATTTTAAATTGGGTATAAGGCATTGATCGTTAAAAAACCACCTTCATTCATAACTGATTCGGTATTAGTAGCATGAACATAGCAGATTTGTATCCTTGTATCCTTGTATCCTTGTATCCTAGCAGTGACTGAGAGTCATTCGTTTTTTTAAACAGCGTGTCAATTATTGTAATCGGTAATAAGTTAAACAGTGCAGCACACCTTTATCATAAAAACAAAATTCACCCATACGATTAAACATAGAATCTTCAAGAAATGAAGTATTAGATACTTGTGATTAAATAAATTAAAACTATCAAACTGTTATCAGTACAATATAACTTAATTTAAATATGGTTGATATGAAAGTAAACAAGGAATAACCAAACGAAACATTAATAAAAATAAATAATTATAAAAATAAAGCTTTGAACTTTGCTAAAACAATGAACGTATCTTCTTGATAAACAAACAAGGCCCCAAATCTGCAGTACCTCCTACCATATCTATCCTAAGATCTCCAGCAGATAAAGACCAATACCCTTATGATCCTTCTTCTCAACCCTTACTTTCACCCTATTCCCCAGACACACAGTCATTCGGTTCATTTTACTAATGTGAATCAGCCCATCCCTTTCAAGGCCAACGTCCACAAAAGCACCGAAATGTGTGACATTACTAACGCGCCCCTCCAACTCTGTGCCGACAGTGAGGGACTCCGCGCAGAGCACGTTAGATTTGAAGATAGGGCGCGCAAACTGGTCTCTGTAGTCTGTATCTGTTCTTTGTGAGAGCGCAGTTAGGATACAGTGTTTAGTTCCTTCGTCACATTCTTCTGTTATGTCACCTGGATCAGTGGTGTTGTAAGGTCAAATTGACCTAGGCTGACTTGAACTTCGGCATCAACATAGTTAGATTTTTGAGACAGTAAATATCAAAAATGTTGTTTGATGTTCATTTAAGTTGCAAGATTGAGATATTATTTCTCATTATTGGTATTCGGTGTTCGGGTGATACCACAAATTTCTGCGGCAAACAATCTCAATACAATTATTACATAATATTATTATATTATACCTGGTTTCAACTGTTTCATAGCGGCCACAAATGCTTCACTGCCAATTTCTTCTTGTCTCAAACCTTGCTCTCTTAGTAGTGTACCTGAAACAATAGTTATAAAACACATGTCATGACGTTGAGATTGGCTGAATAATTCAAACGATTAACCAAGCCAGAAGTTACACCATAGTACCAGGCAGTCAAATTAAATCAAAATTTTAAATTATTGAAAATATGTATAAAGAATCACACTCACGTGCAATATGGTAACTCTCAGGATGAACTGAAGTCTGATCCAAGAAGCTGACGTCCAGCTTCTGAAGCTTAGACTTGGTTCCTGTGCTGGAGCTTGTGAGCTTTCTTTTACCAGTTTTACCTTTTACTGCTGCACCTGCTTCTTCATCTGAATAAATCCGTTTATCATTAAATAATTCATGTATGAGAACTTATATTTGTTTGTTTATTTCAGGACTTATTTACCACTAATTTAAGCAAACTGGTTAAAGTTAACATTACCAGCTGTTTTTAATTGTGACGTTTCTAAATAAACAACAATACATTTTGTTGTAAGAGTAAGTAAGTAAGTAAGTTTCCAAAATTAGTGCAGCAAACTTACTTCCATTCTTGTCATTAGAACTTCCTGTCAGCTGATCAGGGTAGATTCTGAGGAAACCAATACACTGTTCATAACTTTTTGGTCCAATCCCTTTGATCGATTTTATCTGAAACATGAATAACCTCATGTTATTGCCTATTTTTAATCGCTTAAAATTTTTGGAGAATGATGATGATGGAACCAAAAGTAAGCCCAGCAAAACTTGTCTAACAATTAATTATTAACAAGCAGTTAAAAAGCCGGAACTAAACTAAGATTACCTGTTCACGATTGTGAAAGTGTCCGATAGAAGACCTGGTATCGAGTATAGCCTGAGCACGAGCTTTGGTAAGACCTGCTATCTTTTGTAACATGTGTAAGCTACATGTATTGATATCAAGACCTGAACAGAATTATTATATCACATTTCCAATCAAATTTATTCTCTTAAGCTGTTGTATCAGCAGCCATATAGCTATAGATTATAGAGTATAGATTATAGATTATAGAAGCTGACGTACTTTTCTAACACTCATGGACCTATGACCATTAAGTTGATAAGTTCACTCAGCAGAAAATAAGAGCTAGCCTCAGGATCCTTTTTCAAAACCAAGCAAAACCACATTTAAGTTTCTGGACGACTAACCAGTAAAGCTTACAGCCTCGCTGACAGTGTCCTCTAATCTAGTGCTCAGTTTCTTTTGTGCTATGTCGTGTTGGTATTGTCCCACTCCTAGATGTTGGGGTTCTATTTTCACATACTCTGACAATGGCTCCAACACACGCCTACCTGTCAGGGTCCCCTATCAAGATTCTAAAAAAAGTGCGATGAGATTGGATTTTGAGACTAAAAATGCGATTTCCCCCCCCCCCCCCCCCCAGACTGCAAGATTTCTTGCCCCACAAATTACTTTGTATTTAAAAAGATGTCCCTTTGTAAGCGAAATTGTAAGTATGTCGCTCGATGTTTATTTCTCAGAATTGTAAGTATGCCGCTGTAATTTGGATCAATACATAACGAAAAATTTACGTGTGTATTTTTATGAAGTATATAATGTTACATATTGAAAATCTAATATGCCTCACGTAGCGCCCCAGTTTAGGGAACGGCCGCTAAGCAGCTGATCTCGGGTTCGAGGCCCGTCGACGGTCAATCTTTTGGCAATTATTAATTATTTTACTAAAATTATCACCAGAGCATCTTGTAATATACTTTATCTGATAAATTATACAGTTCGTACTTCAGCTAGAGAAGACTGGCATTTAAGGATTTGTCCGGGGAAGGCCTCGTTCATACTGGAACATATCAAATTATGGTGAACGGAGTTATCTGGTAATATTTGTTTTGTTTATGGCTAGAATTTAGAATGGAATCAATGTGATGAGGATCCAGAGTTACTTACCTGCTAGGATTAATAAGTCAGGTCTACAGTTGAAGAGACCCTTTTTCAAACTTTTAATGAAGAAATATCCACTGTGCCTATGGTAGTGTCAAGTATATTCATTATTCTGAGAAAGTCGACTTATTCGATGAGTCGACTGTAGCCAGGAATAGTACCTTGAGATTTCGACCATTACCGGACCTCCTTTAATGGTAACCATGGTAACTATAGTAACCACTGTGAATCTTGATCTTATAAACCGATTAATATCGACAACAACTAGTATCCTTTAAGACTTAGTCTTAGACAGTACAGAAAAGTAAGCCGTCAGAGTAACACAACCAGTAATAATTCAAAACAATCAATACCAAAAGTTCAATGACCATGAAAAGTCGGCTTGATGATGAAGACGAAAAGGCCAGCAAGTTAAAGAATAGTATGATGGGGCCGTTGCGCGCGACCGAATATGTAGTGCTGAAAGAGGGTGCCGAAATCTCGCAGCTAGACTCGCGATATTGGGGTGAGATTTATACTAAACTCGTCAAAATCTCGCACTAATTGCGCGGCTCAAAGTTGTTATACTTTAACCACGTGATCTCACACCGCACTAAGTTCCGAATTCACAAAATATAAAGTACATTTTTGTGTCGCTTAAAACTTTTAAATTACATTTTTTCTATTTTCTCACACATTTTGTTGTTAGTTTTTTTTCTGTGTTTATTTTAAGATTTTGTGCGATGAGCCTGTCTCGCCATCTCGCATGAATCTTGACCTGGGGTCAGGGTATGGTTAGAGAGAAGCTATTAAAAAACACAGTGTTGTTATTTTGTACTTCTATATGATTTTTATTGAAAATTTCTAAAAATCTATGATTTTTATTGAAAATTTATCTAAATGCATAGTACAAACAAGATAACATGATAAAATTGAAATAAAAGCATTCGTTAACTTAAAAAATCACTTTATCAAATAATTATTAATCAAGTTACCTAAACTGACAGCGCTCTGTAGGTTGGTATCAAGATTTGGTAGTTCTTGCTGAGCCAGGGGAGTGACACTGTAAACAGAAGCACCACGCTCATCTACCACTGTGTACTTTGTTCCTTCGCGCAACATCTTCTCTTTAATCATTCTCGCAATTGTAGTTTCAGTTTCCCGACAAGCTGTACCGTTTCCTATAGCTATTGTTTTGAATCCTAACTCAGCTTGGAGCTTCTGAAGTTTAGCTTCATCTTGGTTCCTAAATCTGGAAGCCTGAGATTAAATGTTTGTGTATGATTGGAATTTTTAAAGGAATACAGCAAAAAAATAAACTGGTAATCTAAGTAAAGGGTGCAAAACATTATTTCTAATCTTCAATGAAACTCTACTTGCTGTACCTTTTTAGTGACAGATCCAGAAAGTTGAAGATAGACAACCTCTGTTTTTAAAACATTCCCCTGTTTGTCTAAAACAGCTACTTTGCATCCGTGTTTGTACCCTGTAATAAAGTGGATATAATAAATTGAGATTATTATTTGCACAAGACCACCAGAAATTATGCTATTTCAAAATAAATTGAAACTCTGCCAGGGGTGTAAAGGATGTCAGTTTTGTATTAAATAGATTAAATTCCTACCTGGATCAAGTGCCATAATACTGATTCCCTTAACTGGTCTGGTGAGGAGTAAGTGCTTCAGATTATCTGCAAACACATCTATAGAGCTTTCAACAGCTCCTTCTGTCAATGAAGATCGAATTCTTCGACAAACCATAGGAAATATAAGTCTTGAGCATGCATCGTTTACTGTTTCATTCCTCAAATTATTGTCACAAACTTTGCTTAGAACCTTCATGCACTCCCTTTTTATGACATTTTCAGCATGATTTGCAATATTGATTTTCACTGACAAGGCTTTTAGCTTTTCTCCTCGATTGATGGCCATGACTTGAAAATGTTTGAGACTGCCAGTGTTTCTTTTGAAATCAAAGTACTGGTCGAATTTATCTTTTTTATCATCACTTTCTTGTTTTGATTTAGACATAGAGCATTCAATGAAATTATCTTTAGCTTTGCTGACACGCTCACACCATTCTAAAACGAATTTATTGGTCCTTACAATATCGATCAGAATATCTTTTGTTCCTTCCACAACATTCTTCACGGACTTGAGATTTGCATGAGTTCCCACTAAGGATTTGAAATCTATTTGATATCCATTTATAAGCTGTTCTGCAACAGATCCCAGTCCAGCATTTTTAGCTTGTTCTGCTTTTGATTTCTTCTTATCAGGCTTATATGCTGCAGTAACTGAAAAAAAACTGCATTTAATTCCTAGATCCTAATAAGGCACTTATACTAAACGATTCTTTGCATATTAGGGTCTTGAGATGATTAGGGTTAGGGTATTAATGATACAACTAAAAGGGTTACTTGAAGCTGATATTTGCTGGCACAAGGGAGAGGTTTTCAAGATGGAAAAATGTTTCTGGATCCCCTAAAGATTAATATTATATCATCATGTTATTCTAGGTATATGGCATTGGGTTAACGTTGTCTACAAAATCCTAACCTTGTTCCAACATAGCAGTAGATGTACATGAACTGATTGCTTGACTTAGCTGAGGAGTAAGACTGCCAAGCTTCTCGATATCGGTAATGGACTTCTCAATCTTTTTACCTGAAAGACTTCCATAAGATCGTTATAGTGGCCAAAATATAATATTAAAGAGAGGGATTCGAAGTGTGTGAAAGGATATTGTTTGATGAAAAATCATGCTCAGACAGCTCAAAACTTTGAAAATTAAAAATTATCCTGAAAATTAAACAATGATTCTGAAACATACTTAAATTGTCTAGCCGATTAACTTGCTCTTTTATCTTGTACAATTTTTCAGTGCTCATGTCACCAGTCATTTCTTTCCGGTACCTGAATGAGACCATTTATTTTGTGGCATATTGTTTTGATCTTGGGTTCTCATTTCAAGTAGCATACTTGGGTAAAAGTTTATTTTTTGAACGGCATACAACCATAAATGATGAAATTGACTAGACATTGTCTGGCCAAGGTTAATCAGTCATTTATGGAACAAAATGGTTTAAATGTTACCTGGCAATGAACGGTAAAGTATGGTCAGAGCGCAGCAATGTTTCTACATTCTTGACATATCTTTCGTCTTCCCTCAGAATATCAGATATGACAGCGGAAATCTGCCATGTTTTAGATCGTCTGATTGAATTCATGCTCTGCCAAAATTTGGAGTGTTATTTGTATCGAAAGCCGGTAAAATCTATAAAAAAGTGTGTTTCTAGAGCAAAACGCGCAGTAAGTTAAGTTTTTCAAAATTTTCCTACATTCAAACAACGATTTGACGCCACCCGATGAACAGCAGGGTTGGCGGGCCCTTTGTTACACCACTGAGCAGAGGTTATTTGTTTCATAGGAAATGTGTTGCTGTAGTTAGACTGAGAGTTTCTCTGAATGTAAATTTGATTCTAATTATAATTCTAATGTGATAAGTTGTTGACATATTGTTTAAGATCTCTTTCAGAATCTCACATCATAAAATTTTCTGATCGAAACCACTAGTTAAACAGTAATCTTCAGATATGAAAACCGAGGGCCAAGTTGTCAAAATTCTAGTCGATTCTAGCCAATACGTGTCAGACCGATCAGCCACTGAATGGCCTGTTTGTTTATTGTCTTATTTTTTATATATAAATTGTTTCAAACAGTATACACATAATGTCACAATGACCCTATATAAAAATAACCCTTCAAAAACTCAATCTTTTGAAAATCACCCTTGGCCTTGCGGCTCCAAGTTCAAATCTAAACTGTCTATATTGACAAAGTTCTTTCTCGCCCCTCTGTCTCCCTGGAGAGAAATTACCGTCGTTCTTAAGATTTCGAAACGAAGGCGCTTCCTAATGTATCCCACAGCATCTGAGTACCTTTACCTTTGTTTATTGTCTTGGTAATTAAATCTCAGGGGCCAAGTAGTCCGGCAGCCGTTTAACATTGCACAAGTGGACCATGTGATCGTGAAAGCGAATGCTACCAAATAAATCAAATTGACGTAACACTAATATCTAATGTAGCGCTTACCTGAGGACCCCAGGCTATTATGTTCATTAACAACAATAAAGATTTGGCGGAATGACAGGCTGAGCGCGGCCCAGTAAATGTAGCGCTCGATTTTTATCTTCGATTCCATGTTTTCATGCACATGATAAGTGCGCGGCGGAAAATCGTGCTCTTGATGAACGCCGAGCTAACTTGATTCACAATGTCAATCCTTAGCAGCTCAGAGAGGCTTTGCTCTAACCAGAGCCCTCTCGCTTGCAGTAGAGCGCGACTACCGTACGCGTAGACACATGGCTATGTGAAGAGAGGCTCATTGGTTCATTTTGCCGATCTACCGAAGTGTTGGTTGTGAAAAGCGCTAACATGTAATTGTTTAAATTTATACACTACCATGACGCACAAATCACAAATATCATTTGTTAAACGGTTAGTTGTAAGTTTATAATCTACCAGGACGCGCGCCGATTTGGACTCGTCGACGGTCCTATAAATATATGGAACAAATATTTTACGAGTATCACCCGTTGAAACGATTAGGTAATGCAGTGCTTCAATGAAAATTATAATTCAAAAATATAAACAAACAATTTCATCGATTTAAAATGGTTAAATTGGAAATATAAACCCTCCAAAATGAATATCAAATGTAAACCATCAATACAATAAATGTTGCTCTGATCAGAGCCCTCTCGCTTGCAGTAGTGCGACCGCCAGAGGCGGCCAGGGAAACAAGTGACAAGCGCGTCACGCAGTACGCGTAAACACATGGCTATGTGAACAATAAATGTAATTTACAATTTAATAAAAATTCAATTGTGGAAATATTATTAAAAACCAGGATCAGGATAGAAAATTGTAGGTTTACAACATACCAGGACGCGCGCCGAGTTGCACTCGTCGACTATGGATAATAATAATCTCGAGCACCTAAAGAGGGCTCTTACTAAATCGCTCGCCCAAAAATTTCTCGTGACTTTGGTTTTTTTGGTTTTGCAGCCGTACAAAACGGTTTTACATAAACCCTAATCCCAACCCTAACCCTAACCATAACCCCGAAGCTATCCATAATCTTAACCACAACCCTAACCCTAACCCGAGCCCTTAATAATCGAATTCACGTTTTAATAGCCTGTCACGTGACCAAAACGGTTTTTTGCCCATAACTCTCCAGGGAAGCATTTTAACATGGGGGATGATTCGGAATCAGCGTCCAAAAATACACCGATTTAGATCAGTTTCATGCCTAAAGGGCCTTTTCACAAGAATTTTCTTAAAATTTGGGCGAGCGATTTAGTAGGAGCGCCTAAAGAGGCTCAGCAAAGTGCTGGCCTATTTACGCTTACGAAGACTCATTCGTTCAATATGTCTCAAAGTAAATAAACTCCTCCATCCTTCTCTATCTCTTGCTAAGTTCAGTAAGTTGGTAAAATCATTTTCATTTTTCAAATAAATTTGTCTCTTAAATAGGTCCTTTTTCACAATAATATCATACAAATTAGTCCTGTGTCTACCCACTCGTCCCTTTAGTGTTTGACATCCTAGTGTTGCAAATATCAGAGACTGGTAGGCAGGCGTGTCGTTGTCACTGCGTAGAACATGACCTAGCATTGTCCACCGAGCCTTTTCCACTCTCTCGGAAAGGGGCCTGCACTGGTCTGGGTACGAGCGTAGAGGGCCTTGTTAGATATTGAGCTAGGCTAACACAGTGGCGTAACGTTGCCTGTTGGCGCCCCCCTGCCGAAAAGGCGCCCACCTGTTGGCGCCCCCTCCCCTTTTGGTGCCCCTCCCTAAAATTGAACAAATTAGGTGATTTTAGAGGATGCACAGATAAAATCTCTAAAAAAGTGTGTATCTAGAGCAAAACGCGCAGTTTTGCTAGTACTTTAGTTAAGTTTTCGAAATTGTCCCACATTCAAACGACGATTTGGCGCCCCCCTAAGACGGCGCCCCCCTGCACAGCAGGGTCAGCAGGGCCCTTCGTTACGCCACTGGGCCAACAGATGTAGGATGCGCTTGATATTATTCCTAGACACTTCAGAACCCTGTAAATTTAGCCCTAACTCGGCAATCTGGGCCCAAAAAACAGGTGACGTTTTAGGGGGGGGGGGGGGGGGGGGGCTTACCCGTAACAAGTTGCTATTATTATATATACAATATAGCTTTGCTGTGAAACTGTTTTGGTTGTTTATTATTAAGGTATTTTTCACAGTATACACCTTTTCAAAAGCAGTAAATTTGATTCTCCACTGTGTGATTGTAGGCGAGGGGCTCAAAATTCACTTCACCTGCTTACTGACTGTCCTGATGTACAAGCAGATAAAAGGAACAAAATGAGTGAGCTTCTTGAAAGACACCCTTTCCACAACATCAAAAACCAAGGTTATGGTGGGAACTCAATGTTGATATCATGGAGCAGACTTCGTGAGTTCTTTGATCTAGCACTGGAAATAACAAAGGATGCAGAAGAATTCCTTCGAATAGAGATAAAACTTTAAACAGTTGATTATATTCCAACTACCATAACTACACCATCCCTATGATTAGTGAGCCGGGTTCAATGTTAGACCGGACGAAGCATATATTTCATGAGCCGGGGTCAATGTTAGACCGGACGAAAATATGGCTACATCTCAACAGTGGATAACACAGCAGAGGTTCTATTACAGTTAAATTCTGTTACCTGAACTCAACTTAACAGTTCTAATATTATAGCATATACTATAATATTATGAAGATATTTTGTGTCAAAATGAGGCTGTTTAATCATTCTTACACACCAAAGGTTGTTGTGTGTTTTTAATTAATTTATTATTGTTAAAAAGTTTATATTGAGAATTTTATACAGTAGTCTATAGACCAATTAAATTATTTACCGGTCACATATATATGCGGTTTTAAGAATTATATAATGACATTGAACGAACTTATTTATTGCGAATTTAAAGGATTGCTAGTATTTTATGTATTTGTTTTCACTTCTGCACGTTTAGGCAGTTGCTCTTGTGACCAGAGTTTTAGAGTTATATATATATATATTTTGTAGCTGTACTCCTACACATTAAAAGTCGGTGTTGATTAGATCTTCGAAATAAGTCTTTGCATCATTTTATTAAACATCGTTATCTGAGATAAAATTGTTCTAAAAGCAACTGGAATATTCACAAATCTTTAAAATAACTTACAAACTAGGAAAGGAAAACAAGTCTTAGGAAGACGTACAAAACTATGTGACTTAAAACGGTACAAAACTAAAATATACTGAGTAATAATCAAACGAAAAGAATGGCTGCGTACATTTTATCTAATCTATTAAAGATTAGTTTATATATATGTTTATTATATATATATATATATATATATGTTTATTATTAAGGTATTTTTCACAGTATACACCTTTTCTTTGTCGAATAAACTTTTATTAAGGCACATTATAAATCTGAACTTTGCATAACAGACTGTATACTCCTTTCACATCTAATTTGTAGTGCATCAAACACAATTCAAGGAAGTACTTATATCATATCTCCCACTCATTAACAGAGTACTTCCAGACTGTGGAGCTGAAATCTGGGACACTTGCACTTCCTTAGTAAACACTGTATATATTCTCACTTCCCTCCATTTATGGGAAATACACTGCTGGTGCTTAAGTGAAACCACAAGAAGCACTCATGATAAAAGGATGTAATTAATCAAAATACATTAGCTAGTTGCACACGATAGGGGAAGTGTATTAAGTACATCAAACGAAATTACACTTGTATCTTTCTCTGAAGTACTATGTTTATTGTTTATCTTGTGTCTTTCACATGGTGCACTGTGTGCAATGTTGCACACAATATTTGTTTAATATACATGTTTATTGTATGAAGAAACGTTACAGTTAAACACAACACACTGGACCAATTGCAATACAGGACTTATTAGTATGAAACCAGATCAGTCAAGGTTCTAAAATTTGCCCCATTTTACTATAATGATGATGCAATGATACGTTATAGCTTAAAATACAGCTACAGGATAATAATATTTATTACTAATATGATACTTTCTGATTTCTGAATTACTGAATACTTTCCAATAACAATAAGCATACAGGTCATCATTTCACTTTTAGTGGTAAGTTTTGTGTAATTCTAAGCTTGTTGATAAATGAAGCACGACACTGTTTGCACTCAATCTTGCTTGTTTAATTCGGAGGTCGCCAGCTGTCTTATACAAAACATTTGTTATCCAATTATTTGAAACCTGTCTAGATATTCAGACTGTCTAGACGATCATCGTGGGACTGTTTGAAGTTGTCTGTAAAGATCCCCGAAGAACTGTGTATGTGACATTGTGTTAATTCCAGCTCACTATAATATACTAAAAAAAACTTGATTTTATTATTTCTAACTATAAATCACTACAGTTGTGCACAGTGAAGTGCACAGTGAAGTAGGATGGTTGTTCACACACCCTCTGAACTGGCATGGGACTATTACCGCCAGTTCCAGAATTTCTACAGTCACTGCCTCTCTTTTGCAGGTAAGAGTATACTTTGATATAACGTTTCATGTGATAGAACTGATTTCATCATGATGTATCATTATTTGGTAAATTCAGACCACTAGCTGCAGTAAACTAAAACTCTAAAACAACATATAATTCTCAATGAACTTTTTAAATCCGTGATTTGAAATTAAACGACCTTATAATGGTTTATATAAACTGTATTACTGCAACTTTACGAATTATCAATGATGTGTATGTTTCAGATAAGCGTGTAGCAGACTGGCCGCTGATGAGCTCGCCCATGTACACTATCTACTTGTGTGTTGCTTATCTTGTATTTGTGGCAGTCGTCCCTCAGGTGAGCTTAATGAAGTACTTATCACAGATCACAGACACCACATTAACCAAATTTACATATTTACATATTTACATGGTTACATATTTGTATATTCGCATAGTTACATATTTAGTTAATGTTTAGTTCATATAATTAGGAAGTGCGTTCCTCGTGAACACCATCGTGTGAAACTTCGAGTTTACCGCTATTCTATACAATGTACATTGTACATACTAATACTTAATGTATTTACATTGTTCATGAGCTTACAGTGCAGTTTAAACCTCTTGGCACTGTGTACATCATGTCTAGAGTTCACAATAGGAGACACTTATGATCTTAATAGAAACGTGTGGTTTCAGGAGCCGTTATTGTCCAATAATAAGCTAGCAATCATGTCATGTGACCCGTTATTGTCCGATTACTAGCTAGGTATCTCGTCATGTGGCCTGTTATCGTCCAATCACTGAAACTTATTAGCTGGTTATTCTGAAATCTGTCCTTCTTCCTTTTCGTGCTATGTAATAACTAATAGATGACGATAATTTCTGACAGTTGTTTTACTGCAAAATCAAAAATGAGTCATAGTATTTAGATTGTAAATTACGAATAGATAACATAATCTAATCGTAATCAGCAGCAGCATCCTCTGCTCCTCATGGTGTCAAGGGATTATAACATGATTAAATTTTTAATAACAAGTTATGCAACAGATGTTGGGAAAATCTTTTTCAAGGGTACAGTTTACCGCATTAAGGTATTTTTAAGAATCATTTTTGTCGGTAAGATCCTGTTTTATAATAATAATAAGTAATTTAATATTTTCAGATCATGGCTAAGAGAAAGCCGTTAGAGTCGAGAACTGCACTGTTAATCTACAACTTCGCCATGGTGGCACTCAACCTTTACATATTTGTCGAGGTTGGTATTCTTTCATTCAACTTAAAATTTTTGGGAACTTTGTTATTCAGTTTATATTTTTGATTTGTTGTTGTTGGATTGCTGTCCCGAACTATGGAGTTTCAAAATAAACGCTCTGATTATATAATGCAATCAAGTTTGTTTACCCAAAAAAGAAAATTAACCCACAAAACAACAACGGTCACATTTAAACACAATCTGTACTGTTTGGATTACATTTAAACACAATCTGTACTGTTTGGATCACATTTAAACACAATCTGTACTGTTTGGATCACATTTAAACACAATCTGTACTGTTTGGATCACATGTGCAATGTTTGGGAAAGCCAAAAAACTGGCAAAAGCTCCCAATAAAGAACCTACACTGAGCTGACCTGTGGCTAAGAGCAATTTCTTGCTTAACCTTCAGCTCGCTTGTTAGTCCACAAGACTGCTCGAACTCCAAATCCTCGATATAATCGAGCACCATCATGATAATATCACATCGTTGCGGCAGACTCAAATTGTCGTCATCGTTTTCGTCCCTTTTGTTGAGAAAGTTTATGTAAATGTTGGAGCATGGGGTGGCTTGATCGTCATGCGAGTCCCCGCTATTGGGCATGATCACCGGGACTACAGCATCAGGGAACAGTGGAAGTGGGATGTTTGGAGCTGCAGCTACAAGGGTTGGAGGAAGTGGAGGAAGTGGGTGGTTATTATCGTGGTCCAGTTTTACAGTGCTCCTGCTTGGAGGAAGTGGAGGAAGTGGGTGGTTATTATCGTGGTCCAGTTTTACAGTGCTCCTGCTTGTTGTCATCAACAATCCTAGCTCCAACACAGAGACTAGAAGGCAGAATCTGAAAATTGGTTTGTTAATTATTCGGGGAAATTTCAATATCTCGCTATTATCTCCATCGTGATATAAGGCATTACGCAATTTAAAAATGGGTCAATATCTGATTGATGTCCAAAAAGCAATGCTGGAAATAGCGATGATCTCCCAAAAATCTATCAAGTGACAATAAAATGTAGTAACATACCTTGCTGTAGCTGTCATAGTGAAACTTGATAGATCTCAGCTTAACTGGAAATAATCAATGAGATTAATCCGTTGACCCTGCAAATCGTATCAAACCCTCAAAGAAAACAAGAAGAACACATTTTCTTTCAACCGTACAGCTGGATCAAAACGTACAGAACAGCTGTTTTATAGGAGCCACTAAATCAGTGCAGACACATAAATCTGATTTGATGGGCCAGACTACAGTGGTGTTAGAGGCAGGACTGAAAGTTACAGAATTAGAGAATTAGAGAATTAGTGAAATGAAATACTTAGTATATGCCTGAATGAACCTAGAGATGATTTTTGACACAACCATGTTATTAAACCACTTTTTGAGAAGTTTTTCGATGACTAAAACTAAAAATAACCATATTATCGAGCTTCTTAGGATTTAGTATCGGGTAAATGAACTTTCAAGGAATAAATAAGCCGTTAGATGCAGCTTCATAGTATAATACGCGACGAAGGATCGGAGACTTGGTACTGTAAATCTTGAAACCTCATGTACGAGCCATCAAGGGAGCCATCTCCAGGCAATAGTGTCATAGCAACGTGACTAATCTATATTCTGCAGTACAATTAATATTGGTTTCAGTTTCAAAGCTGAGTCTGTTAAACGTAGCAATTCCCGAAACGGTTTTCTGATTCCCATAACAAGGCATTGAGTTGGTGTTGAGGTTTCAATTACACTTAAAACGTTGAACTTACAATTGTAAATCACGTGCTTCGTTGACCTGAGAATCTTAATCTACACCGTGAGACTTGACTAACAACCTTATGATATTCTTTCTGGATAATTTTGACTGGAATCAAATGATTTACCTTCCGAATTACTATGTAGACCACAAATTACATGCAGCAAATTTCTTCAGAAGTTCACTACTTGCAGTTTCTATTTTACTAAAAGACTCTACTTTTGAAAACAATTAACTACATCTAAAAAGCTGTCATCCATCTAATTAGATATATATATATATATATATATATCGGTACAAAGCAAACTATGCAATTGTCAAACTATAAGTTTCATGTTTGAAAAGCAATCTTCAGTGACATAATTAACATAAAAATGGCAAACATAATACAACACAGTGCTCCTTTATCAAATTTTATAATTAACAATTAACAATTACTCAATACTACTAAACCTATATAAATAACTACAAATCCTAATAACTAATAACTAATAAATACTAACTAAGTATGTCTAACTAAGAATTTCCTAGAGTGCCTACATTTAGAAATAATTTCTGATCTTTTATTAATAATGCCTGGGGTTTTAAGTATGTATAGTTTCTCGTCTAAGCAGAGGCCACAATGCCCTGCTCCAGCCTTATATTTCTTCGATTTAGTAATAATCTTCCAGTCTATGCTATATTCAATCATCTTTTCCTTGAGGTCCCATATCAATTTTGATAACTCGGTACTCAGTCTGTGCTTAGAATTCTTAAAACTTTGTCGATGATTGTACCACCGTGTCTTAAAACTGTTTTCAGTCAATCCAATATAGGCCGTTTCCTTGTTAGATGCCGTTTTAACGGTTGCTTGGTATACTATGCATTTGGCCAGACATTGTCCTTTGAGGGGGCACTTCGAGGCGTCTCTGCAATTACACTCTTTTTCTGGAGCTTTTTTCTTTTCAGATTGTTTCTCTAGGACTGATTTGTTGTGCCCTTTGAGTATCCTTCCCAAACTGGGCATGCAGCAATAGCTTATTTTCACGGTATTCCTATTGATGATTTTATGTAACGGTAGGTTTTTCGGGAAATGCTTATCGATAAGAGCGAAGAACTTTCTTCCGATGTTGGTTGAAACGTTTGCACTGAATGGGGGATTGTACCATAGGATGTTCCTCTTCCGCGATCTCTTTCTCTTTTTAGGCGGTGGTGTTTTATAATCGATGGTGTGACTATATCCGCTATCTCTAAGTGCCTTCTCATAATCGCTTTTGGCTTCATTTAGGCATGTCTTGTTGCTGGATATGCTTATCAATCGTGATTCTATCATTGAGGGTAAGTTCTTCAATATGATTGGAGGATGATTGGATTCTGCCTTAATGTACAATGGTGTATCATTTGGTTTCCTATAAGGTCTGTATGACTTGTCTGTTAGGTCGAGCACGACATCTAAGAAATCAACCGAATGCTGACAGAGATCCACCGTTATTTTTAGGCCTTCTTTTTGGAATAGTGAGTGTAGTTGCTTCCTAATTTTATCAAGACGCTGGCCGTTGGTTTTATTAATTACTGCAAGTCCGTCATCACGGTATAATCCTAGGTACTGCTGCGGAATGATCTTTTTTATTTTGCTTAGAAGGTAAAGTCCGATTATTTCTGATGTTTCAGCTCCGTCCAAGCTTCCCATTGTGACGTCAAAGTTTGTGTCGGATTTCTTTACCCAACATTTGTTGCTGTTCATTAGAAGGGATTCCTTACTGAGTGTAATAATCTCTTGTTCATCTTCAGGGATGTGTACTATCGTAGAAGCGTATTTTAATGCACGGTCTAGGAGATCTGCCGTGATTGATGGGTAGAATTCCTGTATGTCGAACTTTAGAAATCGTGCCATTTTTAGGTCTTTCAAGTCTTTAAACCATGTTAAAACTTCTGTGGTGCTCTTCCATAAATTGTCCCCTGTTTCGAGTTTTATTGCAGAGATCAGTTTTTCTAGGATTTTCTTACTGACACTTCCTAAATTGGATTTAGCGGGGTTAATTAATCTGCATTTAGTGTTGCTTGTAAAATTATCTTTGTGGTCTTTCAGTGTGATGAAGCATGGAGTTTCTGTGTAGCACTCCATCTTGTCGTCGATTTTAAGTTTTCTAGCTAGTATGTTAGTTCTTCTATCAATGTCTTCTTTTGTTCCGTTAGGTGCGACTTTGTAGTCCTTTGTGATGTTCTCGTGAAGCAGTTGGTTATATTTCTCTGGGTCTAATTGGTACAGATTTGATGTTTTATCTGCCTCTACAACAACTTTCCCGCCTGATTTTAGTTTCTTGAGATCATTCTGCATTTCGCTCTGAAATTTGCTGTTGGCATTTTGGAATTTGACATTGCTGATCATTTCATACATGTCCGCTTCGAATTTTAAAAGATCAGGGTGTTGTGGTGGTGTATTACTGGACTTGAATCCGTAATTTTCATTTTGGTTGTTGACATCTAAATTTGGTGGTTCTTCGCCAGATGATCATCAATAGGAATACCGTGAAAATAAGCTATTGCTGCATGCCCAGTTTGGGAAGGATACTCAAAGGGGACAACAAATCAGTCCTAGAGAAACAATCTGAAAAGAAAAAAGCTCCAGAAAAAGAGTGTAATTGCAGAGACGCCTCGAAGTGCCCCCTCAAAGGACAATGTCTGGCCAAATGCATAGTATACCAAGCAACCGTTAAAACGGCATCTAACAAGGAAACGGCCTATATTGGATTGACTGAAAACAGTTTTAAGACACGGTGGTACAATCATCGACAAAGTTTTAAGAATTCTAAGCACAGACTGAGTACTGAGTTATCAAAATTGATATGGGACCTCAAGGAAAAGATGATTGAATATAGCATAGACTGGAAGATTATTACTAAATCGAAGAAATATAAGGCTGGAGCAGGGCATTGTGGCCTCTGCTTAGACGAGAAACTATACATACTTAAAACCCCAGGCATTATTAATAAAAGATCAGAAATTATTTCTAAATGTAGGCACTCTAGGAAATTCTTAGTTAGACATACTTAGTTAGTATTTATTAGTTATTAGAGCATTATGGAGCATTTCAAGGAGATGCACTATCAGGTAATCTATTTACTGTTGTTGAAGCCGCTGCACTTATTCACCTCAGATCTGTACTCTCCCAAGTATCCTCAACACCTTACCCAGTAAATCATCCAATCCCTAATCCTCCTATCTCAGAAGAATTCATGCCACTCGAAACAGGATACTCTGATGATATTGACTTTAATAACACTGAACTTGCTCCACTCAAAGAAATGCTTCCTATCGCTAAAGATATATTCCAGCAGTGGGACCTTCATATCAATTCTTCCAAGACTGAATTTGTCCATTTTTATTTAGCAGATCCTAAACCCACTGTTAAACGCAAGGTGATTGTTGGAAAAGTGTATAGAGGTGATGAAGAGTGGCGCTCTAACAAAACTTTAGGATCGTTGATGTGCACTGTTAAGGATATCAAGAATCGAATATTCCTTGGTAATGTTGCCTTTAGTAAATTTCAGAAAGTTTGGATGAAGAGCAAGATTTCAGTCCAAAGGAAGATCAAAATCTACGAGGCACAAGTAGTCTTTATTCTACTCTACAACTGCAACTCCTGGGCTGCACCACTAGCTTCGTTGAATGAACTTGATATTGCTCATCGCAAACACCTCCGAAGAATCCTCAACATCAGATGGCCTACTGGGGTTATTTCTAATGAGGCACTCTATGCTCGTTGTTATGTCACTCCCTTGTCTGTGAGAGTCTCTAAGTTTCGATGGAGAATGTTAGGACATATCTTAAGAGGACAGGAAGACTCACCAGCATACACCTCTATGTTATTTGCTATAAATTCTGATATTTTTATGGAAGGGAGACGGGGTAGACCATGTTTAAACTTATTAGATGTTATTAGAAAAGACTTGACTAGTAGAAATCTTGATATTAGACTTAAGAATTTGACTGATTTCGAAGACCTTAGATTTTTGGCTTTAGATAGGGAGGAATGGAAGAAGTTAGAAGATGGTTGATGTTTTTGTTTTCTTTTTTATGCGTTTTGATATCTATAAGGTGCCTAGGATGCTCTTTTAAAGAGATATTTCGTACTTTGAAAGATTTACTACTACTACTACTATTAGTTATTAGGATTTGTAGTTATTTATATAGGTTTAGTAGTATTGAGTAATTGTTAATTGTTAATTATAAAATTTGATAAAGGAGCACTGTGTTGTATTATGTTTGCCATTTTTATGTTAATTATGTCACTGAAGATTGCTTTTCAAACATGAAACTTATAGTTTGACAATTGCATAGTTTGCTTTGTACCGATATTTCATGCTCCTAGCTACAGCTAGTAGAGCCCTTTTTCTATAAGAGAAGAAAACCAGTTGTATATATATATATATATAATAATGGTTAATTAAAATCTAATTATCACCCAGCTGCTGACATCTGCCCTGAAGTCTAACTACAATTGGGTGTGTACTCCAGTGGACTACTCAAACGACCCTCTCGCTCTCAGGGTAATTGAAAATTTCTTACATTTTACAAATCTTCCCAACTAATTATCCTGCTCATGTTTCATGCTTACATTGCTTTTATTAACACTTGATTTTTGAAGTGTCTGGCATATAGGTGTCATTACTCGGTACTATCGGAGATGTCGTAAGTAATGTCTCGTTGCAGCGATAAAATGTGGTTATTTTACGTTATTTCTATGCGAATAATATAATAGCATGTGGTAATGCAATATACGTTCGATCACGTCTGTGACGTAATACCAATGAAATAAACATTCTCTGTCGGTATTAGTTTTAGGAATCCTTTTTGTATTTTATGAACTATTTTGTGTAAACTATTTGTCGTGTATAGAATCAAATTATATGGTTAGCCAGTACTCTGACCACAAGAATGCTCTAGACAATCAACACAAGCTTCTGTACACTGTGTCCAGATCACTGTCACGCTGCTAACAAAGCAATGTAAACCATAAATTCCTAAACACATTCCATCCCCCATATAATGTTCTACATTTAACTTGTTTAGTTAAATAGCGATCATTCTCGATAAGGAAGTTGTTGATAACTTAATTTCAGCTGGTTAACGTTAGGAAATAAAATTGGTTAAACGTGTTAAATTCGTTATCCGATGTATACATATAGCAAACTAGCGTTAGTTTAATTTCACTTCAATTTCCTACGTGGCGGGAAGTTTCAGTTCTATCGCGTGTATGTAACGCGCGATCTCCGAATATGTTTTAGGTATGAAAAGTTTGCCCAGAGTTCTTGAGCAGCCGGTTTAATGCGCGGCGTGGGAAAATTTGAAATGGCTTACCAATTTACGAACGGACGTGACGATGGACCATCATATTATAATAGACGTATTTTAGTTTTTCCGTTTTATATCGCGTGACAATAAATGTTCCGTTTTACGTCACACACAATTACAGGTGGCCATAATAATTTATTGTATTGATGGTCATACAAACAAGTTTGCCCTGAACATACATGCTAAAAAAACTGATTTAAGCCCGTTAGCCGGGAAACACGAGAAAATGTGCGGTAAACCGGTAACGGCTAAAAGACTTATTGTTTATTGTTTATTTTAACAACAATATTTCAGATGGCAGCTGGCCTGTGGTGGTACTACATTTCCAAACCAATAGAATTCTTTGATACGGTACTTAATTCTTTTATTTTTTTGGTTCTATTGATTACTCTAGATTTTACCAGAGAGACATTTATTATCGTTATCAACAGATTAACAGTTAACGCAAATAAAACAAGCTGAAGGTGTCAAGGTTATAAGTAATCCTAATGTTCTGCATTTTCAGATAATGTTTATCTTGAGAAAAAAGACTCGACAAGTTACATTCCTGCACGTGTATCATCACGTGACAATGCCGCTGTTGTGGTGGATCGGAATCAAATGGGTCGCAGGTTGGTTTACATTTACATTACTTTTACATTTAAATTTCAAATTTTAAATAGAAAAAATGTACCTAAAAGAATTGAAAACTAACAAATTAGGAAATAAGTGGTTTGATCCGGTAATAAACTAAAAGATCCGAAATGATTTTCTCTGAGCAACATACACTGAGCGTCTGCACGCACAATTTCCAGTAAAATCATAAAATGCTCAAAGATTGTGATCGTGTAACTACAGATGAGGTCTGATTTCACGATGCGCTTAGGGGTCGTTCACTTATTACGTTTCAAGAAGCTTACACTAGCGATGAGATTGAATGAGAATATACATGAATTGTAATTTAATATTAACATATTATTACGATGTCGTTTTGATAATTTAAGCAAGATAATAATGTCATATAAGGTTTAATGCAATGGTAATTGGTAGTGTGTAAGTGTGTATATGAATTTTGAGTACATATACGTAACATATACGAGTTATATTTATGGAAATCCCGTTTGGCTGGCAAAAATCTACAATTCTAGTAAATTATTAAAGTACACATCCCTTCTACCCGTTATTGTTTGGTGGTGGCATTTGTATGTCCCACATTTTTCCAGTTGAAATTGTATTCTTATTATAACTTTATAATTATCCTGTTTCTTATCGTATTGTCTGAATACTAGATTTTGTTACTTATCTTGTTACTTATCTTAAAGTTAAATGTTTCTACAGGTTCTAATGATGTAGTTTTACGAAGATTTCAAGCCTTACGTTGTGTGTTTTCCTTCGTGTCCGAAAGCATTAGATTTTGTTACTTTATTTAAGTGATAGTGAGGTTAAATATGTTCTTCAACAGGTGCTATGAACTGTCGTTGCATTGTTTGTATACATCAAAAATAATAAAGATCCCGAATGAATGTTTTGAGTCGTCTCTCCTTTTATCGCCTACATCTATCTACTAAGTTTCAGTTATTTCTCAGTTATTTTTCAGTTTATTTTTCGTTTATTTTTCGATAATTTTGCGCAAAAAAGTCTAGCAATACTTTCAACTGTTTTACCGAGAACTAAAGTTGTTTAAACGTTTTATTGCCTATCATCCTTGATGCTTTGTAGCTTTTAGAGGTAATTTCAGTAATGATAAAATTGTGTCATAGCTCAGTTGAATCTATCCTCAGATGAGAAATAGGCAACTCCGCAGATGCAGGGCTAAGTCAGATGGGTGCATAGAAAATCACTCCAAACATTTTTGTCGACTGTGCGATGAAAATAACTCGGATCATCTTTCGAGAAACTGCCCTCATGCAAGTGCACTTTACCATGGAACTACAGCCGATGCAGCAAAAAAGATCACAATTGAGGGGCTTAAATGCAGTCCAAATGGCAGGCTAGGTCGAGGGATATACTTTGTTGATAATCGGGATCATGCTCTGAAAATAGCACACGTTAAAAATCCTAACAATTGGTCTGTTTTAGAGTGTAGGGTTAATCTAGGACCTCCCAAAAGATCTACAGCTACAGGAATCTATGATACGATTATAATTACAAGGTTGCATGGAACAGTTGGTGTTCATCCTCCATGGTCAGGCATTACAACCGACTTTATGGAATACTGCTTAACTAATGAAAAGAAGTGCAATGTGGTCGCAGAAATCTCCAAAGATGGAGAATTCATCATCATGAACAAAGTTGCTATCCTCAAGGAACTTTATCAAATAAAACAGCATGTTCCACCAGGACGTCCTACTGTATTGAAGCAAAAACGTCCTAAAAGAGTGTCAGTATGGAAACCCATGGCAGCGCCAAAACGACAACACGAAGTAGCGCTTAGAAATCCTGCACCAGTGCTAAAACAACCCACGGCAAGACAAACCGCAGCTGTTCCATATGACAAAGTTCCTAAACAGCCCACGGTAGTGTCAAAACAAACTGCAGCAGCAAGACAACCCGCAGCAGACCCATATCGGCAACAATATGATGAAATTCCTTTTGATGATGATGTAAAAGCACGCGTATTGTATTTGCTAAAACAACCTGCAGCAAAACAACCCGCAGCAGTCCCATGTCGGCAACAATATGGCAAAGTTCCTAAGCAGCCCTCAGTAGTGCCAAAACAACCTGTAGCAGCAAAACAACCCGCAGCAGTCCCATATCGGCAACAATATGACCAAGTTCCTAAACAGCCCACGGTAGTGCCAAAACAACCTGCAGCAGCAAAACAACCCGCAGCAGTCCCATATCGGCAACAATATGACCAAGTTCCTAAACAGCCCACGGTAGTGCCAAAACAACCTGCAGCAGCAAAACAACCCGCAGCAGTCCCATATCGGCAACAATATGACCAAGTTCCTAAACAGCCCACGGTAGTGCCAAAACAACCTGCAGCAGCAAAACAACCCGCAGCAGTCCCATATCGGCAACAATATGACCAAGTTCCTAAACAGCCCACGGTAGTGCCAAAACAAACTGCAGCAGCAAAACAACCCGCAGCAGTCCCATATCGGCAACAATATGACAAAGTTCCTAAACAGCCCACAGTAGTGCCAAAACAAACTGTAGCTGCAGCAATACAACCCGCAGCAGACCCATATCGGCAACAATATGACATAGTATATAAACAGCCCACAGTAGTGTCAAAACAAACTGTAGCTGCAGCAATACAACCCGCAGCAGACCCATATCGGCAACAATATGACATAGTATTCAAGCAGCCCACAGTAGTGCCAAAACAAATTGTAGCTGCAGCAATACAACCCGCAGCAGACCCATATAGGCAACAATATGACATAGTATTTAAACAGCCCACAGTAGTGTCAAAACAAACTGTAGCAGCAGCAAGACAACCCGCAGCAGACCCATATCGGCAACAATATGACATAGTATATAAACAGCCCACAGTAGTGTCAAAACAAACTGTAGCAGCAGCAATACAACCCGCAGCAGACCCATATCGGCAACAATATGACATAGTATATAAACAGCCCACAGTAGTGCCAAAACAAACTGCAGCTGCAGCAAGACAACCCGCAACAGACCCATTTTGGCAACAATATGTCGAAATTCCTAAGCAGCCTTCAGTAGTGCCAAAACAAACTGCAGCAGCAAGACAACCCGCAGCAGACCCATTTTGGCAACAATATGATGAAATTCCTTTTGATGATGATGTAAAAGCACGCGTATTGTATTTGCTAAAACAACCTGCAGCTGCAGCAAAACAACCCGCAGCAGTCCCATGTCGGCAACAATATGGCAAAGTTCCTAAGCAGCCCTCAGTAGTGCCAAAACAACCTGCAGCTGCAGCAAAACAACCCGCAGCAGTCCCATATCGGCAACAATATGACAAAGTTCCTAAGCAGCCCTCAGTAGTGCCAAAACAACCTGCAGCAGCAGCAATACAACCCGCAGCAGTCCCATATCGGCAACAACATGGCATAGTTTTTAAGCAGCCCACAGTAGTGCCAAAACAAACTGCAGCTGCAGCAAGACAACCCGCAGCAGTCCCATATCGGCAACAACATGGCATAGTTTTTAAGCAGCCCACAGTAGTGCCAAAACAACCTGCAGCAGCAGCAATACAACCCGCAGCAGTCCCATATCGGCAACAACATGGCATAGTTTTTAAGCAGCCCACAGTAGTGCCAAAACAAACTGTAGCAGCAGCAAAACAACCCGCAGCAGTCCCATTTTGGCAACAAGATGACGAAATCCCTATTGATGATTGGGATGTTGAGGATGATTGGGATGTTGAGGATGATTGGGATGTCGAGGATGATTGGGATGTTGAGGATGATTGGGATGTTGAGGATGATTGGGATGTTGAGGATGATTGGGATGTCGAGGATGATCCCGATGATCTATTAGCAGAAGAAATGCAGAAAAGACAGTCTCTAGAAGTGCATGGCAGGGAGCCCTGCACAGTAAGATGGAACCCGACGACGGAAGAGCGAGGACTACCTACACAAAGTATGATATGCTACCAGATACGACGCGTCATTGGTAATTTATACCTTGACTAAAAGACTCTGACAAGAAACTGTGGGATCTGTGAAATGATACATTCTTTCTGATGATAATGCAAATAGAAACTGCAAAAACGATTTCAGGAGGATTTTCAGTTTTATCTTTCATTAAATGATTGGGATGTACTGAATCGTCCTGCACAAGCGTAATATGCTTAAACATAACATGGTTGAGAACTGTTTTTTTTCTTCATTTTCCATTTTCTTTGTTATAACAAATAAAATAAAATACAATATACATAATATGAATATTAAATAATATGTAATTTGTTTCCAAACAGTGATCTCAATGTTTCGAGAGTACCTAATTTCCCATTATTTCTTGGTCTGTTGACATTTCGACCTTGGCTAAATGTCAAGAAGTAAGATATATTCATATTTTGACCTGATATGAATGTTTATAACTTTCAAAGGAATCCAATATTGTAAATTATTAGAACCTCCGGGACAAAACGATAATAGCATTTGTAGAAATTGCTAAGCTGCAGATTGTTAATGTGGTAGTTTTCAAGAACTAAACGTTGATTTAAAACGGAAAATATTTGAAAGGATAATGTATTAAAATTGTATAGTTTTGAAATTCTTACTGTATGAAAGATCATTTTTGTTTTGAAGGGTTTCCAATGAACGAAAGTTAACTGTCGATTCTATTAAATCTATTCGCATTCAGGACTTCATATTTCTGGGTCCGCCAGAAATGTCAATGAAAACAGGAGGGACACCTCAGTTCTATCGCTCTGGAATTTAATGTTACCGCGCTGATTTTCCTAAAATCAGCTGTGTCCCTCGGGTGAGTTCAAATCCCCCTCACGTGACGTCACACCGCCCCTCACGTGACGTCACACCGCCCCTCACGTGACATCACACTCTCCCAGGCGGTCAATCGTTTTTCGGAGCGATGGTGAACTCGTCAGTGCACGTGATAATGTACACCTACTACGGTCTCGCTGCTATGGGACCTGAAATGCAGAAACACCTGTGGTGGAAAAAACACATAACCCACTATCAGCTGGTAGGTTTTTTTGTTTTTTTGTTTCAAGTTTAGAAATCTTGAAGTCCAGATACCTTTTCTAAGTGTGTTGTTGAAATTCAACTATTGACACTAATCGTCGAAATTATGGTGACATTTTGGCACCCTACCGCGACCGCTCACTTTGCTTTCTTTACTAGGAGCCTTGTGGACGTTTGCTTGCCTCCAATAATCTGAGATTTATACAGTTATATACCCTTATTAATTATATGTATAAATGTATTATGTATTGATATTACGTATAATGTATAATAAGTATATTATGTATATCTTCAGATACAGTTCGTATGGGGTATGCTACACTGCGCGGTGTCCCTCTACGTAGATTGTCCTTTCCCTAGTTGGATGCAGTACACGTGTATATGTTACGCTGGTTCATTCCTCGTTCTCTTCTCTAATTTCTACATCATGAACTACCTTAATAAACCTAAGAAAGAGGAACAGAATGGGAAGCTTAAATCTCAATAGAATTAGGTTTGTGTTTGAAGTGTTCTTTTTAATGAAGTGGTGATTACTGGTTGTTTGTTGTCGATATTTCGAGAGATCATTATAGGAGAATGAGAGTTCCTATTGATTTACTGAAATCTTTACCGAATTTTTTTGTTTTAAAATCAATGTTTTCATTTCATTATAAAATATAAATGTCATTTTTTGATACTTTTCATTACTTTCAGATATATATTTGGTTCTATATTAGTAGTACCAAATTCTTAGAAAGGGATTATCGATAGTCATTCCTAAGAAGTTGCATACGCTGCAACGTGACGTCATACACTGCAACGTGACGTCATACACTGTAACGTGACGTCATACACTGTAACGTGACGTCATACACTGCAACGTGACGTCATACACTGTAACGTGACGTCATACACTGCAACGTGACGTCATACACTGTAACGTGACGTCATCTCTCTTCAAAACTCCAGTCAACTAACAGAAACATATTCAACTGCGAGCTACTCAGTTACGATAGTAACTTCAAAATATTAATTCCCCAAGAAAGATTAAATGAATTTCAATTCACAAAATTAATTTGTTGAATTCTCTTCTCCTCTGTGACTAGGACTATCATTTGACTATCTTTAGATTTGTATAGTTACAATTTATTTAACTTTTATGTCCCGTCGCGTAGATACTTAATGGTTGTATTGGGATTTTGTCTTTTGATATGAGTTATGAATTTTATGTATTTATAGGGTTTTATAGCTTGAATTGTATAGTTACAGTTATAGTTCAAACTAGATTGTGGTAGGAATAGCTATCAATATATAAGGCAGAAATTATAACTATAATTATTATAGACATTTTACCCTGTAACCAACCTCCTACATAAGAATTAGTAAATACCTCCCTCTTAAACTCCGTAATAAATATTTTAATTAGGCTTAAAGTTCCTCACACCACTGCAAATAACACAACCTGCATCATGATACAACTGTACTACAGAAACCTAAGGAAGTACGGGTAACTCGGTAATCTACCGATGCACATCTGGGGCAGGTGTGCCCGAGTTTGTGCCCCAGGTGTGCCCGAGGTGTGCCCCAGATGTGCATCGGCAGATTACCGAGTTACCGTAGTACGATATTATCCCGGATTATCAAAGATATTGGCAAATAACCGTTATAGCAGGTGATCAAAGTTGTCGTTAATTCAGAGGTTTGCGGATTATAGAAGTAACCATGTGGTCAAACAAATAAACTAAGAGCTCGTTGAGTAATGTCTGCTATTGTCAAAACTCTTGCACCCCAAAAAACCGTTCCCAGCGCATCCTCTTTTATATAAAGGTCGAGTCCTCCATTCGAGAGTGATGGAATTTCTGTAAAGAATTTTGTCTAGTCGGCCAATACAGTAATCAGTGATGGATGCGCAGTGTTTATTGTAAACTCACTAGTACGTTTAATAGCTGCGGTTTCAATAATACAAGATTAGCTAAATCTTAATTCTAGTTACAATCTCCCAAATAAACCATGTTTTATTGTAAGTCATTACGTTCCACAGTCACTGAGTTATTTGTCAGAACTTGACGAGACTCGCCAATAAAACCCTTAAATGTACGTGATATTATATATTGTCCATCATATTGTCCGTCATAATGTCCGTCTCCCGTCTCCCACTAAGCCGGCCTCTCCAAACCTCGTGCAACCTGTCGATCAAACGGGGACTTCTGGACGTGTCACAGTTAACGGCACTTATGAAGTCGTCACTGACAGTAGTTTGGGGCGTCAGATTGCACATTATTGGAACAAGGTCCTGTAAATGTGTACAACATTAACTTCCAATACGTGGTGAGCCTTCATGGGGGTATTTTATTGGGCCCTAGTTTGACACTGGCTGCTGATCGGTGATCATTGGTGAGTCTGGTGTTCAATATAATAGAGCTTGCATATAATATGGCATAATACTCTCCTCGCGTCCTAAGATGGCGTTTCTCTTGTCTCACATACGCTGTATTGGTTGTATTCTATTAGAAGTTGTCTGGTTTTGCGTTTAGTTTCCGGCGTTTGGGCGTAAACTTTAAGATAAAGATATCTTTAAATCTGTGATTATATTCTAGACATGATTTGGTCTAATTTCTTTGGTTCGTTTTTAGGGTCATTCATTTTATCAGTCATTTTTTAACATAAATGATGATCATGGGAGTTTTGCAGCCTTTAAGGGGGCCGGGGGGGGGGGGGGGGGGGGGGGGGGGGGGGGTCTTCATCAAAATTCTCTCGAAATTGATTTTATAGTTGTTTCTGATAGAGGGGAGTGATATCTATCAGCTGCTTTTGGTCCCATGGAAAAATATTGTTCCTAGCCAAAATTATCGCCAGTCAAAGGTCAGCGCTTATGTATAATTGTATTGCGCGAGCGATTTTCAATCGCGCGCCCTGAAAATCGAGTCTAAAAATCTATCTTCTCCTACATTTTTTGAGCAATCACCCTGAAACTTTCAGGATATGTTCTATGGATCATTTAGAAGATATCTGTCGAGCCGAATTTTGAGATAGGCCTTAGAAGATTTTTTATTCAATTTTGAAAATCTTGGACCTCATTTTTTTACGATTTTTCCAGGTCCAAGATTTTCAAAATTGAATACAAAATCTTCTAAGGCCTATCTCAAAATTCGGCTCGACAGATATCTTCTAAATGATCCCTAGAACATATCCTGAAAGTTTCAGGGTGATTGCTCAAAAAATGTAGGAGAAGATAGATTTTTAGACTCGATTTTCAGGGCGTGCGATTGAAAATCGCTCGCGCAATACAATTACACATAAGCGCTGACCTTTGACTGGCGATAATTTTGGCTAGGAACAATATTTTTTCCATGGGACCAAAAGCAGCTGATAGATATCACTCCCCTCTATCAGAAACAACTATAAAATCAATTTCGAGAGAATTTTGATGAAGACCCCCCCCGGCCCCCTTAAGACGATTGTTAAAACTGAATGCCGGTTCCATTATCATATTCACTTTATGTTCATTGGTGGCTATTTATCAAATATTTTATTGGAGGTGAATGAGGATTGAGGATCGGATTAAAATATCTCATATGTCATTTAAACGTTACTCTTGAGTTGTTTATTATATTCATTCTGGTGTTATGTTATGGGTCCTCCTTGACCAATATTGAAGCTTGCACTGTGTTAGATACTGCTGCTTACTATTTAAATAGAGACCCGAGTCAGCAAAATGAAAACCCTTGTTTACTAATTTGAGAGCTTACAGAATTTGTTGTTTCATTTTCAGCTGCCTGTTCTGCTAACAAGTAGTGATTGATTCAGAAGATCTACCCCGAGTTTACTCGGCTCCAGTCGCTACATTTAATGTGACAGGAATAGTGCTCTTATAGGTTTTACTTTACTTTGGAAAGCTTCTTTGTTACCCACAAGCAGTGAAACTTAAAGTTTAAGTTTCTTATAAGGAACTTAAACTTTAAGTTAAATTAATTCGATACATCCTGTCTGCCATTAATCTATTTATCGAACTGTTTATCAGCGACAAGAGATACGGTTTCCGGTGCCATGCAGGATGTGACTTCACTTGACGGTATTTTTGTAAGATGCTGCATCCTTTTAGGTTTTCACCGAAACCATGAGAATCTGTAGAAACCTAAATCTAACGTGGGAATTAGATGTGTTGCGTGTTGGTGTTACAAACTGGCAAATACTCTAAATTCTGAGCATTATCCCAGGTCTAGGTAGTGTTTCAGAGGGTCCAGACTAAAACAAGATATTTGTGTTGATGATTCTGTTGCGTATCCGGCATTTAATTCTGTTGACTGTTCAGTCGACACTTGAATCTTGGTCCTAGAGGGTATATCGTGTTTTCAGTTATCATCATCTTCTCAGTTTCTATCATCACGTTTTTAGTGATAATCTCTGCTCGATCTGATCACGTTTTGTATCTAATCGTTCCTCACGATACTTGTTGTTGGTTAATTCTAGTCACGTGACCAGAACACCGCTCTCTGATTGGTTAGTTTTCGTCATGGGACTAGTTAACAGCTCTCTGATTGATAAATACCTATCTGTATAGATAACATCTCACAAAACTCTACATTAATCAGTGGAATGTAATGTTATTATTATTATCAAGGGGGTAGTACAGCATCACTGATACTGCATCAGCTATAATGGGCACGGAAATGAGGTGGTAAGGAACTGATAAACCTATATCGGGAGCAGTGATAATATCTGTTAAACACAGGTCACATTATTACTCTGCCACATCACCAATCATTGTAATCATAAGAACAGATCAGCCTGTTTAACCTCCCGTTATAATTCACGCTCAATAAAAGTACAATAGTGTTAAACTTGTTGTTCTGATATAATGAGAGAGGTGTCACGTGGTGGGACTTAGTGTGTGAAGAATAATTAGCCGAGTATTTAAACGACCGGAATCAGGATCTTTAACACCATCTACCGAATAACTTTACTGCTATTTCTTGGAACGGAAACTTAAATTATGTGCTGTTTCCGGACCATTTCAACTTCATTTGTGGTGGTGAGCGAGGGGGTATATAAGGGGGGTTTCACCTGAGTAGGGGTGATGAAGTTTGAGTGTCAGGCTGAGGTCTGAGGTCTAGTTTTGTGCTGGGTTGAAGTTTGTTGATACCGAGGTTTTAAATAAGGTATGGGAAATATTGAGCTGGATATAGTACTGAGATATCCGTCCTTATAATTGATATTGATGTTTTGCTTCTCTGATTTTGCTTTTTGTTCTGTATTGAAATCCCGCTCTGCATTATTGCAACGCCCATCTCTCCGTAATCCGTATATGTCTCGAAGCAATTTCTTTGCTATCCTAGAAAAGATTCCACAGGATCAGCTTCTTAATCGAGATAGTTTAGAAAAGAGGCCTTACCTATCTGTAAATAAGCGTAGTACTACCTACCCAGGTCACAGGTTTATCCTAGATAAATCGGAAATCTGTGGTTCTTATTCTTGAGTACTGGTGGGAGGTTATGTAACTTTTCTTCAGAAACGTCATCTCTCAACAGGAGTTTAAGGTCATTAGCTGAACGTGCATTATACAGGAACTATAACTAGAAGTGGTAGTAGGAGTGTCGTAATACTAATCCACGTTCCGTCATTGAGTCACTGCTATTTAATTACATGATGTGTCACCTATATATATCCCGGTGACAAACTTGGCAAAGGTTCGCTTTCACCCGTGATACCTCGTATAACCAATGACAAACTATTATTCCAACCACGTGTCAAAACAAATTCTCCATCCTTAGCCGACCCACCCTGGTTGTAGAACTAGAATATCAAGGTTTCTACATTTCTCCAGAACGTAGTTAAATTCATACTTTATGCTCCATTGCTGATCTAAACAGGTGATAACTACCATGATAACAACGTTAAAATAGGCCCCATTCTTATTCTAACAACTTCTGAATAACCGACTATATCAAATGGTTAACAAACCGTCAACTTTTATAATTCGTGGATAATATCCGTAAATGGCTTTATTATATTTACATTTAAGTCTTTAAATATATCATTCTAGACTAGATATAACATATCGTTTTAATTGGGACATCACTAATATATGAACAAATCAATGAACTTGTCAGTTTTCGGTCAGAAATTCAGAAATTTTTTGTAGAAAGGAGGTTGGTTGTCAAGTGTTAAACTTTGTTGAGTACTATTTATATGAATATTTTGTAGTAGCGGATTGTATCGCTTTAGTGCTTTTACTTAGAACTTTAACTTAAAGTTTAACGTGGAATACACGATTCAGTAATTTTCTGCAAAATTCTGCGCTTATTATATTGATGATGTTCTTTGTTAGACCTAGCATTAATGTATGTAAATTTTAGGTCGACTTTAGTTGGATGAATTCCTTAATTATTATATTAACTAAGATTGATTAGATTGTTTAATATGCTGAATTATGTGAAGTTTAGTCTTGCTCTAAGTTTTAGCTCTTAAAAGTGTATAATTGAGTACTGTAGATCTTATAATTACTTTATTTTATTGTGATTGCCTTTTGTATTTTCAGTAAACTAAACATACCTGATGTAGTCTTGATTTTTTCCTTCTCTAAGGATTTGTACGCTTAAAAGTTATCAACCTATTCACCCAACTTGTTTTATTTCTGTTCGTGCTTTTCAGCGATCTTATTGAATCCAAGTTCCAACCTAAATAGTATACTTATTTCTAAATTTCGAGAACATTTGCATTCCCTATCATATAATTCTGAAAATGAGTTTATTAACTGAAATCTTCATAAAATGATCTAATATAAAATAATCTAAATGATGATTACCTTGGTATTTGTCCTTACTTTACCTCCACTCACCAAAACACTCACTCTAGCTTTAAGAAACACCCACGCCACCAAACTACGTCACAATGACAACAACAAAACCGTCCTCAAGTGACGTCATCACAAACTCCCTCCCCTCCCTCTCCAAACTCAAGCAATCCCACGAAGCTGAACTTAAATCTCAGATTAAAATCACCAACACCCTCAAAGTCGCCGTCCAAGACTATGTAGAAAAACAAGCTCAAACAATCCAAAAATTCAACTCCCACTCCGACCGCCGGCGTATCCTGATGGAGAAAATCCAGGATCTCATCGACCAGGCATCTGCTTTAGAAACAGACAACAGAGAGTGCCAAAACAAAGTAGACTCCCTGGACAGAGAGATGTTGGAAGTGCGGGACGAACAGAGGACGTTAGAGGATGATTACAGTAACAGGATGAATGAGGTACGAGGGAAGATAACAGGAAGTAAGAAGAATTACAGCCATGAAGTGGTGGTGAGGAGAGGGGAGGAGCTGAGGGAGGAGAAGAGGGGGTTGTTGGAGAGGTGTGAAGCGATCGAGGAGCTGATTAAGATGGAAAAAGAGGAGGAAAAGGAGGAGGAAGAAGAGGAGATGATTCAAGGAACGTGAATTAATATGTTTAATGTTGGAATTATGAGGTTTAGAGATCATTGATCGAGCTCGGGTGTTCGGAACTTTGAAATAGTTTCTGGTCAGAATGTGCAATCATAAAACTGTTGATCACATTCAATTGTTGAATAAACTGTTTGCTACTAACTGTTCAGAAATTTGTTGTAAGACTAAGAATCCTCCTATTATTCCTGGAATCACAACCAGCACTCAAACATCAAACACCGACAATCCTCCTATTCGCGAGATCATAATTCCCTCAGTATAGACCGACATAGCCTCAAATCACAACAATCATCAATCTCAGAAACTTTCCTGATTAACGTTACCTTGGAAACACCTAAAACTCAACTTCAGGGTTAAAGTACATATTTAAAAGGATAATTATTAGTAATCTAGACACGTCAACATAATAATATTAAAGCGCCTGTTACAGCACGATCCTTTGACAAGTGGTACAAGGTGTACTGACACTGTTACAGCGTGCTGTAACAGTATTGTTTTGACGTTTAAGCTTATGTTTTGACGTTTAAGCTTATGTTTCAAGAATTTGATGTCGTAGGACACGGTTTGAAATGAGCCGTAAATCTTAGATAAACAGACTGTAAGTCTGGTACTTGTAATTGTTTTGACACTGCAGATGAACGAATGAAAGACGTTATTAGATGGGGGGCCAAGTGGGTTTAGGGGCCCAATATTAATTTTTACCAGTCCATAGTCCCTTTCTTTGTTAATTAACATGGAGGAAGGGGCTCAATTTATTGGTTTGCCTAGTCTGGAGTCCCGGGTCCCCCTCCGTTCATGAAAATGCAAGTTTGAAAGCACGTATGATAATGTCATACTCATAGCGTTGTTTTCATGTCATGTTGATTGTAGCTGTAGTAGTTTGTAAGTTTAAGTTGTAGTGCTTTCTTCTCTTCGAAGCCTTTTTGTTAGTATAGCGTCGAGTATGACTATAACATTGATCGTGACTTATAAACGTGATAGAGATTTACTTTTTGCTAGCTTTTCCCAGATCAAGTCGACAACAGATCAGTAAATTCAAAATATGCGAACATTTTGAAGAATTCTCCGCTTGACACGAGCATTTTGAAGTATTTGTTTGAGTAGATGTTTGGCTCCAAAGTGGTGGGGGATCGTAACTGAGTTTAGTTAACTCTCCATCTTTCAATCTGACACTCTGTCATCGGTAACCAACTTCAAAGAGAATTAACCTCGAATTTTAGCAAATTCAAGTGGTATTACTGCTGTATTAGAGCAGCCTGAGCGAAGCCAGAGACGTAATATTTGGTACAAAACTCAAACTAAATCACCCGATGACGGCCAGTGCTGATGAATGGTTTTTACGGAGGTTTCATTTTATGCTGATCTCCTGTACGATAACGCTAGGGTTTTCAATCGTCTTAGATTAAAGACTGATAAGTTAGCAGTTTGATGGGTTGACCTATATTAGCTATAAAACTTACTGTAAAGCTTGAACTTGAAGTCGAACTCGGGTTACAACTATAGGCTGAAAATCTAGGACCCACCGGAACAGCTTCAGTGTCGGGTTTGATTTGATAACACTTTGTGATTGGACAATTGGTACGATTCTCAGCTTCTGATTGGATAAATTTAACTGTTAGTGTTCGGTTGTGTTAGCTATTTTGATTCACAAGTGCTGCAGGCTCGTCTGGAACTGAAACTTGTCTGGGATTACTGGGCGGCGTTCAGCCTGTCATTCCCGATTCCGCCGCAGCTTCAATCTGTTTATGAACAGAAAAAGCGCGAGGTCCCCAGGTAAGTCTGAGACTGAAACCTTGCTTTTTCTTTGCTCCGACAGTGCACTCCGTCTCCAGTCTCATTACTTAACACCTGTACATGTTCACGTCACGTGACTGCCAATAGTTTATGTGCTATATTGTGGACTGAATATTTAACTTATGTTAGCCCAGTCGCTCATAATAATATTTAACTTTGTGTCCATGTCAGATTCTCTTCACACATTCCCTCCTCCCTCCCTCCCTCCTTCATCAGCCGATAAATTCAATAATTCTATAGGTTCTAGGCGGGACAAATTTCTCACCATAGCAACAAAAAATCATGTGACTCTTCTGTAGGCTGACAGGTCTTGACTTTAATTCTCTGTATCGTAATTCTATTTCGGCTGTTTCAGAGGCGTTCATAGGATTACCTGACACCCGCCTTGAGAAGCGGAAATTAAACTGCCCTAGATTCCTGATTTACTCCTGATTCCTACTCATTGTCATGCACCGAGAAATTCCATACAAATTCCCAATGTCATTCTGCATTCAATTCCAGAGCATTATATTTATATTCATATGCACACTCAATTAGGAGTAATAAATATGTTTTTGCTTTAGTCGAGTGCATTTCTTATTACACTCTGAAACACATCAGAGCATAAGTAAGCTTTATCAGCCTGGTCTTTTCAACAAGAGACTTTGGTAAAAAGCCCGGGTTTGCAATCGGAGACCGTTAGTCTGCGAATGTATTAAATTAAAGTATTGAACGGAAAGCACAGTCTGCGTCAAAGTTCAAACCCCTTTTAGGTGAAATATCCAACATAACAACTCTTATCATCGAACTAAATATGAAACATTTTGCGATAGGATTTTGTAGGGTGGTGCGAAGTTGATATGGTACATATTTACTTATTTAGCGTGTGATCCTGGCATTGTAACTTAAATTGCCGTTATTTTTACCACTTTATCATTAGATAGTGGACTAAGTACCTGTTGCTTCACACTCAGCAGCAGGGTTATGTCTCCCTGAATTTATCGGGGTGCATAATGAATTCAATCCGGTCATTTGCCCCTCCTACATGGTTTTTGACCGTTGCAATTGATTGAATGGACATATCACAGATGTGTTCACAAGCCGTGCAATGGTTCTTTGTTTGAGGATTCAATTTTGTTAGATTTAGAGAATGTTTGGATTGTTTTTTCATTATTGGTTAACTACAAATTTATTGTAATGGCTCATTGATCAACAATCATGCTACTGGGAAAGCTGGCGAGGTTTAACTTTAAAAATTGGATGTCAACTAATGATGTTTGAACACGTTCCTTTTCCTGATAACGCTATAATTAATATCGAGTTTTTGTTTAATTTATTACTCATCAATAAAATGTTGAGCTCCATTTTGTTGGGATGCTTCATATTTTAAAATTTGTACTTTGTCGTTAATATGTTTTAATTCGTGGTTATCTACTCTATCATTATTATAATTTTTCAGAATCCAGTCGAATAATTTAACATTTTTGTTGATTAAAAACTCGTTGTGTTGTTTGTCCTGGCTTTCATTTATTAGCTCCATTGAAATAACGAAGCTGTCAAATTAAATGGAGTAAAACTTTAATAAAAACCATCAAAATATCGAGTCCCCAAGTTAAGGCAAAACTCAATGATAACACAGCATAATTCAGAGAAATGTTGAATCAGAACAGCAACTTATCGTACGAAGTCCAGAGGCCGAGATTTACCCTGGACGAAGATTTGGTGAAAAATGATCTTTATATTGGAATGATGTGTTTGGTACTTGCTATCTTCATCGTTATGAGGTGAGTCAAAGTTTCAATATGTACATTTCTTAAAATCCCAACATTCTTTTTGAATCACCCTGTAGTCGTCGGCATGTGGCACAGATTTTGGTATTTCAAACTTATTGTTCATTACAACTAATCCCAGTTTTATTTTACTCGATGAATTATTTTTCACAAGGCCTTGCTTGCAGCTTAACCTTGCAAGGTTAATTTGCAAGTAGGCTGGTGTGGAAGTTATTAGGAAACACACCATCACCCGTGATCAGACCTCAAACCCTAATAAAACCTAAATACGAGCCAAACTTCAGTATTTTCTACTATACTTCCTGTCTTTAGTCGTTACAACAATTACAACGCTCCGTGCCACAAATTACAGCAGGGCTACTAAGTTCTAACCCCAGTAGTAGAATCTAGGATCTAGTAAATCTCCTGTCACATTCCTTCTCTTATTACGTGACGTCACATTCCCTCTCTCATCACGTGACGTCACATTCCCTCTCTCATTACGTGACGTCACATTCCCTCTCTCATCACGTGACGTCACATTCCCTCTCTCATCACGTGACGTCACATTCCCTCTCTCATCACGTGACGTCACATTCCTTCTCTCATCACGTGACGTCACATTCACTCTCTCATCACGTGACGTCACATTCCCTCTCTCATCACGTGACGTCACATTCCCTCTCTCATTACGTGACGTCACATTCCCTCTCTCATCACGTAGTCAAATACGAGGAAATCCGACTTAGCATTCACGGAATACCAGGGTCTTTGCTGGAATAGCTGGCCCGGTATAATAATACGTGTTTTAATGGATTTGAGCAACTGGCAGGCGGCTTGTTTAGTATGTGTTATGGCAGATCGCGGAGGAGGTTTAATCTCTATAAGTATAACAACCCTTCTTAGAGTTACTGAAAGTGCCGCCATGTAGGAATTGATAACTTTCGTTACACTTCTAATGTGGAATTGTGATTCATGAGAGATTTGATTAACCTTCAGGCTAAATAACCCCTCTTCACCAGTCCTCTTAATCTATCGGATATTGGACTGCATGACTTGATTCCTCTGTCGGCTACAAACAAACAGTGAAAAAACCTAAACTCTCTAATTTATATCTAATTGTTGCGGTGTATGAGCTACAAGAGGCACCGAAAATCATCTAGACCTAGAATACTTTTACCCCGTATTTTTGATAATAAGAATTACCGTGGGGTTTATCGCCATTTTAAAATTATACTGGGTAAAATTATTAAAACGATCAAAACTGCGAAATTTCGGTTGCAATTTTCTTCATCAAATTTGGCGTGAATGGCGAAAGATATACGTTTTTGTATTTAAAGGTTTTTTATTTCAGTAACGCACTGTTGATGATAGCACTTTGGAGACAGAGAGCACGCAAGCTGAACACCCACACCCTTGTGTTCTGGTTAGCAGTAAACGACATGTTGGTGGGAATATTTGTCATACCCAGCACTCTACCCTCACTATTCACTAAACGACAGGTTTGTGAGTCGTGCACGTTATTGCGTGCATATTGCACGTGTACACTCCACGTTACATGGTGTTTTGTGCATTTCTTAGTGCCCTTGTTTTTCATTATATCTTTATATAGCGAGCTAACTGGAAGCAAAATGAAGTAAAAATGAAGTAAAATGATTTTCCATATTATATAACATTAGTAAAACATGAGAGCTTCCTGAAAGCACTTTGTGCTAACTGCTAATAGACTTTGTCCATGTTCCAATATAATGGAGATGCTGATAAAACCCTCTTTTCAGATTGAAATACCGCAAAGCTTCTGTGCTGTATCCGGTGTGGTGACGTCAGTAACAGTTACTATGAGCGTTCTTATTGTCATGTGTCTTACTGTCGACAGGTAATTATTAATTAAAAGTTAATTTTTTAGTTGATAGATGAGTGAAAATAACAAATTTATCATCTCCCTTTTTAGAAATAAATTCATCGTCATCGCCAGATATCTATATAATTTTACCTCAAGCTTTTAGAAAGTTTATCCCCATTCAAGATTCTCAAATCTTAATCATAACTGTTTAATAATCAATTAAATAATCTAATCTCTCTCAGGTTTATCGCAGTTAAGTTTCCAGTCCGTTATCCCAGAATCTGCAGTAGAGTCAGGATCCACCTTATTACTGGTATTGTCTGGGTTGAAGCAATCCTCTTCAGTGTCATACCACTTCTCCCTCAGTTCGGGGGTTACAGGTACTTTCACTTTCACTTTCACTTTCACTTTCACTTTCACTTTCGCCTTTAAATTCATGGTTCAATTCATGGAAATACATTGTCTATCTGTCATTATTTGAATCTGCAGATAAAAGTACCCTCTATAAAAGTTCCCTCCCCTCAGATTTAACCCCGTCACGTGCACGTGCAACAAGAAGATAGGGCGCGACAAGACCAACCCGTTCAGCATCTCCTTCTTCGCGCTGTGTGTGGTGGTTCCTCTTATAACTGTTGTGGCTGCTGGATCAGCTATTGTCATTATCCTGTTGAGGAAACCTAAATTATCTGCTCAACTTCAAAGGTAAAAGCCGTTATAATCATTATTTATTAAAAATCATTATGAATTTATTATCACGATTAGTTAATTACTTATTTGAAGCTGTTGAGGCGTAACAACTGTTACTTTTACAACTGTATTCCAATTTCCAGTGTTCTATAACCATAACATTAACAATTGTAACCATAACAACTGTAACGCTAACAACTGTAACGCTAACAACTGTAACGCTAACAACTGTAACGCTAACAACTGTAACGCTAACAACTGTAACGCTAACAACTGTAACTCTCACAGGATAAGGGAAGCATGCGTTACGACTCTGCTAATTGTTGGAGCGTACTTCGCTTGTGTTCTGCCCTACACAATAGCTTTTATAATTTGGAACAAACGACACAAATCTAAAGAGAGTTTGATGCATGAATCTTGGCCCATGTATTGTAAGTTTGATTTCTCTGTTTTAGTCCTGATTAATTCAGGATTTATATACATTTTTTTAAGGGCCCATGCTTGTGCAGGAGCTGCATTTGCACTCAATATCTGTGTTTTGGTGACCCTCAGGTCCTTTGGTTACATACATTTTGTCCGAGACAATTTCAACTTTGACAATCCATGCTTAGAGGACAATATTATATTTAACTAATTCATTGTGTAAACTTGTATGTAATTGACTGATTTGAAAGATTTCAATAAAAAAATACAGATTCAGATAACCTTTTAGTGAGATTCATGTTGCTTCAATGTTGTTATTCAGTATCGTAAACGTGTTCGGGCCCCATTTCCACCTTGAAATAACCTGCATATTCCCCGGTTATCCCTCCGGTTTTAACCTTGTAACCTCCCCAGGTTTGATAATAACGTTCTGTAACTCTCTACTCAACCCTATCATATACCTCTCTAGATCCGGCCGCATGAGAAAAGAGGTGAGCTTATAGCATTCTTGTTTATTACACTGTTATGAAACAGTCGTACAAATCAAATAATTGAGACTATTTCTCCTGATAATATCAAGGCATCTGGATTACTGTTTCAGTGAAGTTTTTCAAATTTCTGGCTTCCTTTTTAACACTAAAACAAAATGCACTACGGAAGAGATGAGAAGTACGAATGCGTCGAACTTTTCAATTTACTCGTATCGTACGTACTTTTCAATTCTACTGAAAAGTTCTCCTTCTAGAAATCGATGGAAGAGTTCTAAATCGCATGTTACGGACTAATATTGAGCGTTTTCAAAAACTTGCGTTTCTATATATTCCAATCGTCGATTAACTTAAAGTTTTACTTTAAGAGAAACAAGCTGTTTAAATAAGTAAATTGTCTAGTAATTTTTTAGAATTTTTGTTTTACTTTTAAATGCTTGCCTGACCTAAGAATTGTGTGTTTAATTTGTTCGCGAACGGTATATTTTCTCTAACATCGGCAAACAATTACATTTTACAACGGCCCCGATGATAATAATTCAAAAACAAAAAAATTCTATCTGTATCGTACGTCGTATGAGTCGAACTTTTCAAAGTTGCGTACAAGTACGTACTTTTCCCCCTAAACGAGTCCGTACTTCTCATCTTAGATCATGAAACTAAACTGTGACGTTTTAGTGCATGTGCGATCTGTTGTCACCTCATTACCTCATTATCTTCACATTTTACACGTCATATCACTTTGAAAACCCTCAGAAAAGGTTAATTTATAACATAGCCAAGGGGTCTGCCTTGATCTTGAACAGTGTTCAAAGGTTTTCCTGAAAATCATCGGTTGTAAAATGAGACCTGTGGAATGTATTATTGTAATTCTGATGTTTGACTAGGTCACTAAATGAGCAACAGTTCATTGTTCATTGTTCATGCTAGTAGAGCTTACCATTCACCTGTTCAAATCAGCGACATATATGTATAATGTATCATGTATAATGTATCATGTATCATGTATCATGATTAATAGGTTCACAATCAATCAGTATCGATTAGTCAATTAGTCCTTTTTGTTCGGGGTTTCCAAAATTATTTTCTCACCAGTTAGCGCTGTATTGTGGTTCAAGATTTCGAAAATCACTGAACAATTGTAGTCGATTGGGAGGCTGTAAAAAGTAAGACTTTGTTATCACCTAAATGTTCGCATGGCATTCATCTGCTAATTGTCTAATTAGCTAATTGTAATAATTAGCTAATTGTCTTAACTGGCTAATTGTCCTAATTGCTCCGTTATATGTTCCAAGCTAATCGGAATATCGCATGATCCACTTAAAACAACCTTTATATTTACAATTAACTTTACCTGATAATAGGGTTTTAAGATTTTTTCTCAATAGTTTTATTAAGGATTATAAGCAGATTCCTGGAACACGACAATAATCTTACAATAATTGTGCTTATTCTGAATTCTGAATTCACATAAAACAATGATCATATATCTATGACTTACTTTAGTTATTGTTTCTAAATTTATTAGATACTTTGAGATGTTTTGCAGATTCAATCGGTCTGTTTCATTTAAGGATAGAACAGATGTTCTTCAGCAATTCGCAATACGCTTTCTTGCATGATTACCAATATAATTAAAGAAATAAAACGAACATTTTCTCTCAAAGAAAGTTTTGTCTGATCAACAACAAATCATAAATTCCATGCAATCATCTCTCCTCGTTTTAGTTTAAAACCCAAATTATTCTGTCACTAGACACATAATAAATTATAAATATACATTTTGAAATACCAAATCTTTATTACCATTCAATTTAAAATATATTTGATCTGCTGTTAATGAAAAAATCAATTAACAAATTAATTAACAATTTGCTGTTTCAGGTAAAAGCTGTGATGCGTCAAACGTCCTCTATTCTCACCAACATGTCCTCCAGACGGAGTAGAGAGGGAGAGCAACACTCCAGATCTCCCAGATTATCATAATTAATTGGCTAATTGATTAATTGAAATAACACTTGGATTCAAACATTATACGATTATACCGTAAACACTAAACACTCCTATCACAGATCTGTAGTTTCAAGGTTAACTATAGCTAGTATATAGGTTAACCCAAGTTAATCGTGATTGATCATCAACGCGGGTGCTTTGTCCCATATTTATTCATGGTGATCACTTTTTTCCCCCTCTAGAACAGATAATTAATTAGTTTTACCTTCAATAATTTAATTATTTGGGTACACCGGGAATGTTTATGCATTACATACCGTCACATTTACGCTGAGTGACGTCCTGTTCGGGTATTATTTGTGCACGACGGAATTGGTATAATTGTTTACATCTCATTTTTAGTAAATTATTCTGTTGAATTAACTGCAATGCTGTTCTGTGATATTCTGAATTGTTTTAGTTGTGAAATTCAAGGTTTAATTTCTATCGGCATCTACAGAGGCTCAATAACACGCGAGTACAATACAATTTCTACAATAGCTTCTACAATAGCTTACGCTTCAATTTGATATGAAACTCTAGACCTACATTACATAAACCTGCCTCAAAAGAACGGAAAAGCTACAATCCTTTACCAGATGAGAACTACAACGGTTATGTAACATTAACAAGGGTTAATATGTCACATAATATTAATAACATAAAATGTTAAACTTCTAGTCTGCCTAACAAGCTTCGCTTATATACCTCAAACGTGTGATGTGCGATCGTTTATTTATAACCCTGATAAGTGCCGTTTAACTAGGTATGATAATTCTGTCGGGTGATGAAAAAGCCTTGGAAATTTTCACAAAAGTCCTTTAAAATTTTATCTAACTGCATCATTAGTAATTGGATTCCGGTAAACTTCTTTCCGAACACAGTGCATATTCGAGACTTCTCTTCGTATTAATAACATGTAAATATTTAATATACAACATAGTGCACTGTTTATAGTATATTAATAGTATATTCATACTATGTTCCCAAGGAAATGCTTGATTTCTAACAGGTCATTTTCTCAAAATGGCACTGAGATTGTACTTGTAGTATTTCAAATGTACATCATCAAAATTCCAATCTACATCAAATGTTTTAATCTCATGGAAACCGTGAACAGGGAGACCAGTGTATCGTGTTTTGTGTTATTAACTGTTAACTGTTAAGGTATGGTGAGGTAGCAGAGCGGGGGGTATTGTTCTTCGCCTTCAGATTGAATTGTTGCAAGTGTTGCTCTAAATTCTTGAATGTTCAGTTAATTACTGGTGAATGTTTGTCGATATCATCATTGTTTATCGATTTATAGTCTACATCACCATTTGGTACCGTAAATTGTACACCTTATATAATTATATAGAATTAGACAGATACTTTCGTTAAGATACGCGTTATTCTAGATTAAGAGTTTAGTGTTTAGCTTATTAAGAGTAAGATGCGTGAGTCTGTACCTAATGTGCAATGTCATGCATTATTTATGTAAAACGGTAAAGGATATAGAAATTTCAGCAATGACAATGTTGGCAATGGTCAAACTTTCCTAATTTTCATAAAATATGTTAAACGCTTCTTTGATTCGAACATTTCGAGCGCGATTTATACAAAGGATCTCAGCTTGCCTACAAATAGCAATACATGACTAAGCTTAAATATCTGTTCACAATTATACAAGTTTCCATTTTTTACTTGAAAAACCGTGATTCATACAAAGGATCTCCTCCGTTCAGCTTGCCTAAAGTTCGCAATAAATTACCAATGACTACGATGTGTTCACAATGCAAACCATGCATAAGTTTCCATTTTCTTGTACTTAATGCCGAACTTACATATTTTTGACGTGATACAAGTGGTTTATACGATGATTGTTTGTTTATACACATTTACACTGTGTATTTTCCAAAAATGTGTTATTATTAACATTCACCGAAACTTACTTGCATCGATTTTAACCTGAATTTATTGCAGTTATGTCAACTGGACACTTTTAAGTTTTAATGCATCACATGGTCATGAACAATGAATACATTCATTATATTTATACACAAACATTTTTGTAATTGTATTTGTGTTCGCAGATACTTTGAAATTTTTAACTTTGTTAAAATTATATACCTTACTCGGGATTATTACGACGGGTTTATTAACGACCGGTTAAAATTATATGGTTCGGGAAAAATATGGCGAAATTGCTCAAAACCCACCACATTTTCCCGGTCGCCATTTTACCGGTGTCCAACCTTTCAATTTTAGATTCAAAAATTTTGTCTCAGATGTAAATTTCCTCATTAGAGATAAGCAAGTTTAGAAATTTTCGCATTGCTAAAACTTGTGAAACAAGTCGAATTATCAATAATTGTTGAAAGTAGACAGAAATAATGACTCGTGGTTAATTAAACTAGATGGAAAAATAATTTTAAACATTAGAAGCGTAACAACCAGATCGATATTAAGATAAAGGGAGAGCTGTTTAGTCTTCCAATAAGTTGTACTTTGAGTCCTATTTCATTATGTAGAGATAGTCAATACCTAAGAAATTAAGAATTGGCCTATTTAAATCAACTTTGACAATAAGGATATATGACAAGACTTGGGAAAAAAATGGAATTTTTTGCAATTTTAGCCAAATGAAGTCAAAAAACCTACAACAAGTGTCCCAATAGTCTTCTTTAGTGAATATAAGGCAACGATTAAAATATGAGCACCCATACCCCTTGGGAACCCTAAAAGCTGAGACGGCGGGTTTATTAACGACCGGTGAAAATGTGGTTCGGGAAAAAATGGCGAAATTACCCTAAACCCGCCACTTTATCCCGGTCATAATAATCCCGAGTAAGGTAACTGTTAGTAACATGACAGTGTTGGCAAATAATCAGCACGTTCTTTAAAATTAATGTATGAAATATCATAACAATTACCAAGCAATTTAGAAGAATAAATTGTTCTTGCAGCTGATAAATTGTAATATGTAGGTATAAACGTTCACCTGCAAAGTGCAAAGCACCAACAGTTCCTGAGCATTCAAATAGCCTTTAACTAGAAGTTACCGTAATACTGGCTCATTGTCATATTTTATCTTATTTCTAGCCAGAATTTCTCATAGTTTTATAGTTTTCAATAAGATCCAGTAAAGAAGATTCAATAAGTAATTAACGAGTAACGACCGCGACACTCAAAATCATTGTTTACTGATGAAAAAACATCTTTAAGGAGAAAGTGAAATTCAATGATCAGATGCAATCGATTAAATAAACTGATTCTTGATTTCACTTGCCGAGCTGTCGGGTAACAGGAAATACAGATCTAAATTGCACAAATTGGCATCTTTAACCTTTTAACGTACATGATCTACAAGTTAGAAAACGATAAAGACTGCGAGCAGAAGTTGGTGCAAAATAATAATTGACAATGGAACAAATAAATTATCCCGCATATGTCGTACTAAATACTCTTTTCTTGCGATCATGTTATTTCTAAGCAGGATTTCCGTGACCGAGAAGATCGTCACTCATGACCTGTTGTTAGTGCAATTCGTACTCACATTCTTCTCATATTTGTATTCTTTTCTTTGAATTCCATGTTTTAATTAATACTTACTCAGTCGCCAAAAGACATGTGATTTCTGCACTGTGCAGCAGAGAAGAACAAGAAAAACCCTCGACACTTGGATCAGCAGAAACCACAGGAAAAATGGGGGAAGAAAACAGCTTTTCTTTCTCCAGCTTTGCAAGCAAGATAAAGAATACAGGGAGCATGATCGGGGATGCCACTTCAAGGTAGGTTTGCTGTAACACTGTAACACTGTAACACTCTAACACTCTAACACTCTAACACTCTAACACTCTAACACTGTAACAGACTAATATTTGACCAATGTTGAGTGTTCACTGTTCATATTGTTTAGGATTCGAAAGCTATTCTGTTCATCAATATTCTCATTAATCAGAACGTCTGTTATCATTATCATGATTATTCTAATGCATCTTGTTTGCTTGAGTTTTGTTGTTGAACACTGCACATGTGTTATAAAAACCGGTCTATGAGCCTGGAGAAGCTTATACCCAACAAGTTAAACTCTGTGTGTGCCCTCTCTCTCTATGTAATTTGTGACGTTTTATAATTTATTTACTAATATTTTACTTATATAGAAACAGTGAAAATGTATGTGGATCACACCAAGCAAGAATGAGCCAATTCCAAGCCATCAATTGGTCGTAAGACTGTAAAGCAGAAAAATAGAAATGCAACAAATTATCGACAAATAACTGTAACTTAATACCTGTAACTTAATAACTGTAACTTAATAACTGTAACTTAATAACTGTAACTAAATAACTGTAACTTAATAACTGTAACTTAATAACTATAACTTAATAATTGTAACTTAATAACTGTAACCCATCAGAATCACTATCTTACTATGTCTATGCTAATGCAGCTATACTTATTTAATTGTCTAACAATAAAGTAATGTCTGAAGTTTAATTTTCTGAATGTACTGTCCTATGGTCCACCGTCAACTGTCAATATCACATAATCAGCGATAATCAGTGCCTTATCAGTGCTAATTAGTTCTATTTGGTGCCGAACTTCTGTTTTTGTGTCGCTAAAATCCACATATTTTGCAACTTGGTGGCTACAATCTAGCACTTCTAACACTGTATAGCGATTGTGTTTTATACTGCTTTATGCCGGTAAGTATTTGCTTAAAGTTAAACAATTATACGTATTAGATCAGACTTGTTGAGTTGTTTTTGCCTAAACAGTTGTTCAACATCAAAATACCTTGCGTCTAAGTTAGAGGGTCCTGTATAGTGGGGCGAGTAATGAGCAGTATTAGAGGGGCATGCAGTAGGACAACTTACTTAGAGTCAACTTTTAGAGCAATTTATTCTTCTCACTCCGCAAAACCAAAGACGAGGCCATGTACACTTTTTAACCAGTATGTGCTTTCAACCAAATGTGTTGTTCTTGACGCCTTGGAGGATTTGGTAATTGATTAATCGTTATAAAATTGCACGCAGCCGAGAAAAATGCCTTGTCAGTTTGTTTGTTGTTGTGAATACTTCGTTTGTCGGATCGAATAAAGTAAGTGCAATTTCCCGGGAAGTGCTCGTCTGTAGAGAAATACCGCGGTCGTAAAGTTGTATCGGAACATTTCATATGTGAATTTTTTTAATAAATCTCCATCGCATCAGCAATCTTATTGTTTTCTACTAATGAGCAAACATCCTGTTAATGAATTTGTACCGATCAGAAAACATTCGCGTTTCAATTAAAAATGTACGATTCATTGAATTGACATTTGCATCACCATTCTAATATGAACGAAGTTCAATGAAAGCACGTTCTTATTCCTTATCGTTATACTATTACTGTCTGCAAATTGCTACCAATTCTATATTTCAGGCTTGGAGTTGGTAACATGAACACCCTGACCTCCAACATGAACAGCCTGAAATCTAACATGAACATTGGTAACCTCACTTCCAACATGAACAACCTCACTTCCAACATGAACATTGGTAACCTAACTTCCAACATGAACAACCTCACCTCCAACATGAACATGGGTAACCTCACATCGAACCTGACGAACATGCAGCAGAAGGTGCAAGATATGGCCTCTCTTGAAAATCTAGAGGCGATGAGCAAGGCAGGATTTGATGGTCTTCAGGCAGGAGTAGGGGGACTGGAGGCGATGAGCAAGGTAGGACTGGACGGACTTCAAGCAGGAGTAGGGGGACTCGAAGCAATGAGCAAATCTGTTCTGGACACTATTGGTAGGAGCATTTCAGAAAGTTTATGATCATCGGTGATACTGCATATTTAATGTTAACTTGTAACCTAATCTTTCTACTGCTACTAAATATATTAAGCACTATCCAAGAAGCCTGAAATAATTATGCGTGGACTGGTCGGGTTTCTTGGTATATAATTATTTATTTGTAACCAGGATCTATATTCTATAAGTATATTCTAAACAGTATCCCGCTTTTGTCATAACAGCATGACAAATAAACATTATATTTAATCAGAATCAAATCGGAAAAGGATCACGAACGTGGACGAACTGAAAGCGAAGGGAAACTATCAGCTAGTTGGCACGATCAAGACTATTGAGTACCAGTTACTTATGTTTGTGTTATACTTTGTCCTCGCAATCTTTATCAAATGGTAAATTCCAAGCCTAACGTTAGAGAATTGCTGTTTATTCTGGCCATACGGTCGCTGATTAATCTGTAGACAAATGTCATGTGAGGAAAATATGTATGCAATAACTATATTGACCATGGCGATTGGTTTCAGGTATTTGATAGAAGGAGTAGAAAAGTCTATAAACTTGATTAAGGACTCCCAAAAGTTTCTCGACGATCCAGAATTCGAGAAGAATCTCAGAAAGGTAAAAAGCCGAATTTGATATCAAAATCAGATAATCAGTAACATCTTCCGGACATTTTGAAATATTAACCAGGGAACTATTGCAGTACAGTGATCAGATTACTGATCTGAATCAGTTAAAACAAGGGATGGATGGGTTGACTAGTGGAATAGCACAGTCGATACAAGACGGAGCGAAGATAGTGCAGGATGGTGCTACCAACCTACGAGATAGGTATACTACATACACTGATACGGACTTAATTTGAACGGACATTAAAATGAACGCTGGGGCCTCTAGCGTCCAACTAATGTCCGTTCAAATAAAGTCCGATAATATATTGAATTTTGGACACTGGACCTAGTTCATAATTAGAAGAAATAGTGTTCACCTCCAGTCTCATGCTATGCCAAGCCGGTTTGTCGTGTTACTGGCAGGTGATTTTATAATGTGACCCTTAAAACCTGCATTTCAGCGCTGCACAAAGAATACAAGACGGAGCTAAGATAGTTACAGACAGTGCCAGTATGATAAAAAATAACATAGATCTCGACAAGTTGAACTTGCTCAAAGGCGAGGAAAAGAGAGTAAAACCAAATGAGGGGAAGGACGAGATATAGCCAAAGAGAAAATAAATTACATTCAGACTTGTTGAACTTGAAACATAATCATGGCGTATAACTGTGAAGTTGAGCTTTACTTCACAAAGACACGGAATCATTATTACTGACTGAAATTTATAAAGTTGTGAAGATAGATAAGAAGTTAATTTCGACCAATTTCATTTTATTGCTGGCTCAATCTTGTTTTTAGAAAGTCAGTATAAAGATGAAAGTGGTATAAAGGAATATATTTTTCTCGGTGATCGGCATTCGGCCTTTAAGAACCCCTCAAATATAAGGCTCTCACAGCTCACTGATCTGTAAGATAGAGTTCACTATACATCATAATTTTGTGCACCTCAAAAAATGTAACAGCTTTTTTGTTACTGGGGGGCGCTGATCATATCAGCCTGTCAGCGTCATTCCGCCTAATCTCTATGATTATGAACATAAATTAAAATATAATAGCCTGGAGTCCCCAGGTAACTTTGTTGTTCTTCTCTGTTTTAGAAGCTCAATTAATATATTCTGTGGACTATAAGTGAACATTAATAACCGACTGTAGATTTATTAGCAACCACTATAAGTATAATTACTGTTTCTATAAGTGTATTAAATTTACTTGCCAATCAATTGAACAATTGGAGATCAGAGAAGATTAGAGGATTTGATAGAGAACACGAGTAGTTTTACAAAATAAATATAGGTATAAGCAATTAGGTACTCCACGCCAGAACACAGAAAATGGACAAAATCTGACAAATTCATGAGATTATAACCTGCACTCCTAGCTGTGAGTCCTGCAGCAGTTATCAATTTTACGAACAATTTATGACTTCCATATAGTTATACTCATGTAGAATCTTTAAGATCAGTCCCTTCACAGCAATTAGTTAGCATTTCTTGATATTGTTTTCGGTGTTGCTGTGTTCATCATAGACTCATAGCGTTGACTGCTGGGTGGGTCCAGTGCCACTCGGCAAATTAGAGTCTGAGATGTTCCTCTCCTGTTGGGGCTGAGCCTGAAGTGCACGTGGAAGTTTGGCATGAACAAATCTCTTGAAGCTTGCTATGGAAATGTAATAGATGAATATATTGGCAAAGTTATTCAAATATGCAATGGCATGGGTTATGGTGAACAGTTGAAGGTAGAATATAGCTTTTGTCTTGAGTGACATCCCTGATTGGTCTGGGAGGTTATTATAAATGGTGTGATAAACAATGAAGGGAAGGTATGTCAGACAGTAGATTCCAGTAATTGAAAGAACTGTGACTACTCCCTGCCATTGAACTGAATCTCTCCCTCGCTTAGCAATTTTAAATGCAACACCAAGTAGCCCAGTGGTGGTGCCAAGAACAATCAATATTGGAGCATACCCTAGCAGACCCATGAAAATCAACACTGAAAATCCTAAGCCTATTCCAAGGTCTGGTGCAACATACCAACACGACATGATTCTATACTCAAAGAATATAGGCGAGAATTTTCCACATATCAGGGCAACACTTTGGAACAGAATGTAGATGGACCAAGCAACTGCTGCTACAAGATGGCCTCTTCTCTTCGACCATTGCCTCACTTGGAATGGAAACAAAAGCATGCACAGCTTGAATGTGTTTAAAGCACACACCAGGAACACACTCGAATAGTAAAAACTCATCCTGATGTAGGTCAGAACATGACAAAGAACAGACCCAAAAGTCCATCTATCAGCAATCAAGGTAACCAGGGAAGGAATTATGCCAACAGTTGCATTTCCTATGTCAGAGACAGCTAAATGCTGAATAATGGTGATGGTTACCTTGTTAAGTTTGATTGCATTGTACTTGGTTGTAGCAACAAGAATGATTGTGTTGCCTGCAAGAGCAAGGAGCAGGGCTAGGGAGTAGTATGTGATCGCTGCATATCTTTCGGCTTCAATGTTTATGTAGTCAGTCCAAGGTGCATATTTAGCTTTGTATAGCTGGTGTACGGACATGTTTCCCAAGGGCAAAGTAAGGTCCACCATTATACTCTTTATCCTTAAGAGATAAATTATGTCGATTAATTTATGGTTTATAAAATCTTTTATTGCTTGGATTATGGATTAAATATATTCGTTTCGAAAGTTCAAACTAAAGGGAAAAAATATTGAATACAACCACGCATATCTAGATGGATTAAATTTAAATATGAAGCACTAATTAAGTGCTGTGCAAGTCTCGAAAAAATGGAATTGTGCCTCGTCAGACAAAGTCAAAACCATAACTTATACCATTAACCTTGTTATCGCTTCGGTGATTTGTTGATAATGGTGTCAACAAAATTCCAAGACTTACTTAATTTTTGCTAAAAACGGTCTCGGGACTCTCTAAAAAATAACAAAAAATATAATATTAATCGATGCAATTTCGAAATGCACAGAAACTGGCTTACCACATCAACATGTACACAATATGTATTACTATTGGCAAAAAAATTACGCTTTTTATTGTCAACGATTAGAAATCTGAGCCAGGTGTGTTCATTAATCCTTGTTCATTAATATAGCTTTGTCAGCTGGAAATAATTTGCTACATGAGACTTTTAATTAAGCGAGATTTCAGATCACGAAATATATTACCGGACAGTGCTCAGTACAACCTGTAACTCCGCCAAATTTTCGTGTGTTATGTATTTGTGATGGCAACAAAATCAAATATATGGCACTAATTATTTTGCCTAGTCTGCTGTTAGGAGGCAAATCACTGGATAAATTTATTTATCGGATTTAAAAGGGATTTTGAGCAGGTGCTTGTTCATTGTTAATTATAGCCTGTGGTCCCCAGGTAAGTGCTTGTGAATTAGCTAAAATCAGTGATATTTAAATAAAAAGACATTATAAAGTTTGTGAATAGGTAGAATACTATTTTAAGAATAGCAATTAAATACAGGTGGTTCTGCCAACCACCTCCTTTGTAGAAATTTAATAGTCAACCCCGCGCAGTAAAATGGCCTCTAATAATGATTTCGCAATATCGACCATGACGTCACGCTCTGAGTCTGAACAGGTTCATGACGATTTCGTTTTTCTCGATACCATGCGTACTGTAAAACCCTAATTTAATATTTTCTTTTCCCGCTAACTGTACGGTGAATCGGGTTTTTAGTGTACGTAGGACGTTAAAAAGGTTTTTGTGGGGCATGATAGATTTTTTAAAGTTGTCAGAAAACAAAATGGTCAAACACAATCGGTTGGACACAGCTTTAACTTTAAGTCGAAGCTGGAAAATGAAATCTACGTAACACAGAATGTAAATAATCAGCAATTATCAATTTTAAGTGTTAACATAATATATGTATTCCTTTAAAAAGCACAAAACCCGAACAATAAAATCAATTAAAAATAAAGATACATTTAAAAACTAAAGCAAATTCATCTGACAAATCACTAATTGTAAGAAAATTAAATGGTCAATCCATCAGCAAGGTATTTTAAGACAATTGCGCGTAATACCAAATGTTATCATGCTTCATGATAGTCCCCGCGTATATACGTCAGTCCAAACGTAACATCACGTGACGTCATAACATCACACGACTCCATAACATCACGTTACGTCATCACATCACACGACTCCATAACATCACGTTACGTCATCACATCACACGACTCCATAACATCACGTGACGTCATCACATCACGTGACGTCATCACATCACGTGACGTCATAACATCACGTGACGTCATCACATCACGTGACGTCATCACATCATGCGAGAGCAGTGTCTAAGCACATCATAACCACAAATCCCACGATAACACCAATACTACAGAGTCTAGTGTGATTATAAGCTGAAGCTTCAGGTACTATGTCGTTACACACAACCCATATCATGGCTCCAGCAGCGAATGAGAGTGCGATCGATAGGATCTGTTCTACAAGTGTCACACAAATTACACCTGAAATGTAAGAACAGTTAATCACTTAATTAATTGCTTAATCACTTACATTTGCTGATGTCACGTGATGTTATGACGTCATCTGTACATAATATTACTGTTTATCACACATGTTACATCACCGCATGCGCTCACCACGAAGAGTCAAACAAAATATGGAATTTGTGGGATATAATAAATTAACATGATCCTTGTATTAATAATAAAAGTAAAATAAACAAACCGATGATTCCAGCGATGGGTTCCACCATGCCACTGGCTTGTCCCCAAAAGAAACTGTCAAAAGTTGAGAAACCAGCTGCTTTTAGAGGAACACTTACGGCTAAACCTAGGAGGGGATTTTATTTTATTTTTACAAATATCTGGTTATTTCATTAAATTAAAATTTAGGCCTTTTTTATATTTTAAACGGTAAAACGTAGAATTACAAACACTTAAGGGAGTGTTGTGAACAAGAACTTTCCTTGTGTTTGAAAAGTTAGATACCAGAAATTAACTATAAATCAAAAGTAAACCTTCGGGAAAGTTCTGTAGTCCAATGCCAATGGCAAGGTTGTGTGCTTGTTGTAGATCAACACCTGTAGAAAAGACTTAATGGTTAATAAGAATTGTTACGTTTAATGGTAATAAGAATTGTTCTGTACTTAGTCTAATATTGCTGGAGTGGAAAATCCAGTCTCTGTTGAAGAATCAAGTGTCAAACTTGAGGATATATCTTACCAGGTCGTCCAACAGAAGCGTACCCTACACCTACAGCAAGACCCTCAGGGAAGTTGTGCACTGTGATGGCTACTATCAGTAAAACTAGTCTCCGTAGTTGAACCTTTCTGAGCTTCTCGTCTATCACACTGAAGATTAATTGTTATTTTAATAATATAAGAGCTTTTTCCTTATCTTTTCAAGACCAGATCTCGTTTCTATCAATTAGACGATAAGATCAAACTTCGAGAACTTGGGCTAAGAAAACAAGCCCAATAAATTCATATTACAACCAACAATCTCACCTATTGTCTGATGAGGTATCACTATTAGCAGTAAGGTTAGGTTTGCGATGTCTGACCTCACTATCACGTGCCATGTCACTGTCACGTGATTCTATCGTGATGGAATCTTCTGGTTCGCTGTCAAACTTCTTCTCAACCGCTGTTTTATTTGACATCAGTGTAACCTGAAAATTGTTTTATGAGTGGAGAAAATTAGGACTTATGTTTTGGGACCGGTGATAATTTTAATCCTGTTTCAGGAGATACAGTGGCCAGTGACAAGATATTTTTTCCATTTTAAAGGAACAACGAGGAGTATCAATCATTAACTAAGGACTGTAGAGAAAGCAAGTACGGATTTGGCATTATCCCCCCAAATTCCAGCTCCCAAATTAACAAAAAACTTACCTTACAAGACATTTTTGTGGCGGACCAATTTGCGACGACCGAAATTTTGGCGGTCCGAAAATATGGCGAAATTGAACAAAAACCGTCACATTTCGGACGTCACAGAAAATAAGGGTATTTTTCATCATTTTGTTTTCTGACTCAAAATTTTCTAAAAATCGGTAAAATCATGTTGAAACAAAATGAAACTTATAAATCGATTTCTTCATCTTCCTCTATACTTAAGGGGTCCGGCTCGACTCTTCCAGTTTCACGCTGTTCTCCAGTGTACTCCCAGGAGTAAGATTCTCGGATAAGCGTATTACTTGACATTAAATTCATCATGGAATATTGTGTTTATTTGTCCCACCATCATATCACTAACTTTTCAAGAACAAAATGAATCGATGAAGCCACAATTATTGGAATAAGCTAAAAATAATGCGACGGATTCTATTACGACGACCGAAATTTTGGCGGTCCGAAAATATGGCGAAATTTCGGGAAAACCGTCGCATTTCGTACGTTATAAAAATGTCTTGTAAGGTACTCAAGGTAAGCAAATTAAAAAAAAAACAAAAATTTGTTTACAAAACAACTTGCTCACAGTATCAGGGAGCAGGAGATCAGCTAACAGCACAAAACCAGCCCCGAGAATCAGACCTATAGAAACGGGTATACAGCTCCCTTTACCTGGGGGTGTTAGTATAACATTAAGATTGTGGAGGGGACACTCTAGGTATTGTTAAGCAACGAAAATATGAGATTCTGTGATTATATCAATATAGTTAAATCATTATTAGTTTAGTAACTTTACAATTAGGGTGCTTCCATTTGGGATGTTGTTGAAATAAAACAGTCTATTATCCGGCTTACCCCAGCCTTGTTTTTCAGCTAGATCCAGGGCCGGGCACAGGAGTGACCAGTAGGATGCAGCCAGCATCACACCTCCAGAAAACCCTGTAAAATAAAATGATAATTTACTACTTTGTTTTTTACCATATCATATTGAAACCTTGAATTACCGGTCAAAAATAAACTGAAATAACTATAAAAGTTTACACTGGACGTTAATTCCAGTTGGACTAACCTAAACTAATGTCGAGAACATCACGTCTTTTGCCGGGGACTATGAGCACACAGGCTGCTCCTAGTGCTGTTAGACCCCATGTGAAGAGTGTACCGTATATCGCATTTAGTAAACCATGCATCGACTAGGTGTAGACTTTAATTAGTACATAACTATTGAAATAATGGTAACTTTTACATGAATGGTAACTTCTCCATAAATTTATGGAAGACAACAAGGGTTTAAACCACAGCACAAACGTAAATTGACACAAAGGAAGTTTTATCGCGAAGGAAGATTATTGAATAGGTACAGTGTAATATGGCACAAAAGGATGGTACCCTGGAAACTATGCACAAGAAAAGTTGTTATCAGACAGTGAAAAAATTGAAAGTCCTTTTGAACAGCTATCAATCCAACACATTTTGCAATTAATCTTTTTTTAATGCAGCAAGATTTGCTGAGAAAAGTTTTCAGTGTATAAAATAAATAGAATTAGTAGAAATACCATTGAAAGACCAGACATAGAAGTCCTGAATAATAAAATGAATTAAAATAAAAAATCTACAATGAGATCGGGTCAATTTTATTTCAATATTAGAATCCACATGTTCAGTTTATTTTAACAAGTATTATTTACTCGTCATATCTCTGAAAGCTGTCTCATTGTCGTCTGTTGAGACACGGTTCGATGTAAATCTGCAGCTATTCTCGATGCATGATATAAAGTATCAGACATCATTCAGTCCACTTGTGATTACACTGTTGATTACAACATACATAATACAGTCGCATACCCTGATCTGCAATACTGCTCTGAGCTTGGAAGAAGACTGCTAGACACTGACTGCAGCGCGGACACGGATGATCCTGAAAGAAAAAATCATAAGTTCTGACTATATTGAGTTAAATAGTCTCAACAATCATGGTCTAGGGGTGCTTTTCGGGGATGAAAGTAGAGTTTTGCAAAGATCCGCGCATCAGAGCGGACGTGGGTGACAGTGAAATACCCAACCCGGTGCCCCACTTTTTCGCGCGCGACAAGACAGGTTTTAAATCGCGCGCACTTAAAGTTTGCGCGCGATTTTTTGACTGAAGCGCGCTCTGCCAACCCAAATTTCAATCGCGCCTTCCGTATCGCATACATACACGTAAAACAGTGACCGATTTGTGTGCCATAACGTTTCAATGGAAACAAACGCATAACGGTTTGCCGATTCGAGCACATCACAATACATTCTCATCACGTACAGAGCCCAGAGGAGTGTAAATACATCAAACATAATCTAGAACCCTAAACCTAAACTTAGTGCAGTATGCAAGTAGATATGCAATCGATCGTACTACTCTGGCGAAACATGTCTCTTGCGATGGCGATGGGAAAATACAAAAATTTGATAGAAGTTCAGTGAACCGTCCGATATGAAACTTTTGACAGGGATCAGTCTGGTATCTGGATTGGCCAACATTCTTCTGGGAGTGGGATTGCAAGGGACCACATTTTCCCCAGAACCTAGGGCAAATTTCGGGTATATTAGCGTGACGAAATACCCTACTACCCCTACTATAATTTTATGTGTTTTACGGAAGAAGAAATAAGTCAAATAACGACAATACCTGTGTTCTGGGAAGGGTAGGATCAGTGATAACATCTCCCACAATATTCTGTAACTCGTCAATCTCGTGAGTTATCTTGTTGACGTAGATACAATTGTTATCAGCTCGCTCCACGTGCTCACAGTTCTGACAATGATACATCAGCCTGTTGATGTGAAACTTTTAATGGAGATAGAGGGCGGAGATGTTGATATTAGGTGATATAAAAAAGACATTGTAACGCGTCAAAGAAACAGCGAAATGAGATATTTAGTGTTTACCCACTTTTTATTTTGTTTGTCTTCTTTAGGATACAACATGTTATTGCATTCGGGACAGAATTTAATACCAACAAACTGGGGTCCATCTGTTGTTGAATTCTGGTGAGTTATCGTCATTTTTTTACTTTGCTATGGAATAATGGGCAATTAGTTAATTACTTAATCTACTAAGTATAATTAGTCGATAAATCAAATTAATTAGAAGAAGCGACCCGATACAACTTCAGATTGGGTCAAACATATTTGGATGTACAAATGTTATTTAAAATATGCACATTCAGTCCTGTAGAGTTTGATTTTTTAGGAATGAGCGACTTTGAGCCAAAGAAAATTATGGAATTCTCCAATCAAAATTGTTTATAAATACATATAGAGTAACCTAAAATACTACATACATCTGTAAAATGTGGAAACGTCAATAAATCTAACACACAAACAATAAACTAATAAACAATAAACATACTGATAAAAAATGTTCGCTTTTTTTAATTTAATAAAATATGTACGATAAGTAATAAAAGTGTGGCTCACGTAATAAACTTCTAAAAACACTTCTTAACACAATTATTCACTTCTAAGCCTATTTATACGCGTGATGAACATTTAAAGTTTACAATTTCGGATAAAGTTTCAGAACGTTATCCCACAAGTGAGAAACTTATTCTGATTTAAAACTGAAGGTCAACAGGTCAAAATATCTCACAAAAACATTTTGATCATAGCCACAAACTGAACCTAGTCCACAGATGGAGGGAGGTAATGTAATGGTGAAGATGGCTTAATAAAATATTAACCGGTATATTTTCACCATTATTTAACAAAATCCCACTCCATTTACATGAACCAATAAACGAGACAAGAAGCAAGAACAACTCCAGAGAACACCATGCTATTTCCGCCATTACAATAAGTAGAATCTCTGCACACCCCCGCGTAAGAGTTCTCTCCAATAAGACATTGACATTCCGATCCTTCACATTTCTTCTTGTAATCAGGTAGTCTTCCTTTGTACTCCTTTTTAGATAAAGTTTTAGAGTAATTATTCAAAAAACCTTTTTTATTATTATTATCTAGGATATTCTATTGAGATAGGATATTCTATCAAGATATATTATTCTAAATTTATGGTGCTAAAAACATAGAATCACTTTTTAAATCGCAGGTAATGCTAGAGGCATGAACTTACCTGACGCTGATTTCAAATCAGCTCACATGACATCGAGTGAATTGAAGTTAGTCACGTGACAAATACTAGAGTTATTCATCATGATGAGGACATCAACTGTTAAAACTGTTAATTATCTTTAAAAATGTCGCCTTCGATCAAAATTTCAAAATCACAAAATATGGATTTATCACGAACCTTAGTGTGTCCCATTCCTTCACAAGCAGTCCTACAAGTTGCCTCGTCAGTAACGAACAAGTCCTTTCCGTTGTGAGAGAAAGTAGTGCAGTTTGTAGTCTGCCATGGACCAGCATTTGCTGGTTGCAGATACAGTCCTAGGATAGCTACCACGGCCAAGAGACGGTACATGGCTGCTTGTACTGAGTTTACAATTGAGTTTGTTAGTTGGTTTCATTTGATAAATTCAAATTCAGGCATAGGCATGGAATATAAAGTGAGCTAAAAACCATTGAAAAATGTTATCTAACTACGTCACGTATAGGTGATTTCTAAGTTCAGAGGGATTTTCAAATACTCTAAATGAAAAAAGTGTTTTTTGATGTAAAAAACGTGGTAAATTTTATCATAAAATTAACAGTAAACAGAATTGGGTCACAGCATTGAAATTCATCTTAAGTAAGAAAGTTTTCATGGTTCTATATCAAACTGTAATCAAAATAAATACATGAAACTTCCCGGAATCTCATACATGTTATGGATCTTATATCCGATTCAATAAAAAGCATCTCATACATTAACCGTTCACCCTCTATCATTCCTTCAGAACCTTATCCCACCGCTGCTCCAAAAATTCTCCAATCTTAGCTCTCTCATCCTCCAAGAAATCCTCCTTATTTTTAGCGGACTCTCTCAGTGCCCAAGTTTCCTCCCGACTATATCTCTTCTTCAGCACTGTAACCTCTGTAGACTTCAACTTATCATTATGTTCCCGAATATCCACATGTATAGGCTCACGTGACCAGCTCAACTCAAGTCGCTCGATAAACTTATCTTTAGGAGTTTTAGCAGGGCAGAAGTTAGTGATCTCTTTAAACATGATACCCACGTGATCTCTAATCGTGTTAACAGGGAAATCACTCCTGAGCAGAGGAAGTGTTATGTTGTAGTACGAGGGATTGTTTGCGGAGTCAATCATCTCCCATTCCATGTTCAGCTGTGCTCGTCTCACTGCACTTTGTATCGTAGCAGCTGCTGTTCCACGTCTCTCGTGAGGCATCTTCGTCTTCAGGATCCTACCTAAAGGTCTGAGAGCTTGTAGCGCACGTGTTGTACACACCACTACGTCATATTCATCCACACATGCCTGTATCTCATCTATATCTCCTGGTTCAATACACTTGGTCGCACCGTCGGAATACGCATCTCCATGCACATCTGCCCCACAAACAGCAAGAATGCTAGTGTCTCTGACTTTGGATGCGAAGGTAGCCACGCCCCGCTCCTTCCTTAACTTCTTGGCTGCTCCCTCCATCATAGCGTTCACTACAAAAGTACCAGAAACAAGCTCAGACTGGTCCACAGAGCTGAGAATCTGCTGGATCTCCTGGTAGTTGTGACAAGCTAGAGCGGGAGCTGTGTCAGAGGTTCTGATGAAGATATCATTAGTGGGGATGGTCTTAGCAGTGTCCTGTTGGACGATGTAGTAAAGGTTTCTCGTACATACTCTGTTTGAGAGTTGTAGCAACCTCCTTATTTGGAACATTCTCTCACTTACAATTACAAACTGAAATAGTTGTTCGCTTCTAGAATCTAGAATCTTCTGGTAGGAAGTTAGGTGCACCGCCTTCTGGTTTTCAGGGACAGTAGTTGGTGGATTGTTATTGGTTTGTCATTGATTACATATCTCCTGCAAAGTAAGACGATGTTAATGACCACGCGTTATTTTAATTATGATTTAAATACCACGAATAAAGTAAAATAGTTTTTAAAATATGACAGGTTGTGTCATGTGGAAACCATATCATCAGGAACGATGTTTTGGTGGGCCGTATATATCTTATAGCCGACTGAATACCAAATAACCGTGAAATTTAATCACTTTCACAATGAAACAAAGCCGCTTTGTAATGTAAATTATTAGTTTGATTAACCAACTGGGACTTATCATAAAAATTTTAAGCATCTAGCTGAATTAATTATCGTAAATCTTAACATCTTATGACAGTGAAAATCTTTGGTATGCTATTTATTTATCACCGAGTTTTCGATACAACTTGTTATTGGAATAATTATTCATTACTGTAATCAATTAAAACCAATTACTACCATAAACTAATATTATTATTGTAGTTGCATTCAAATTATGTAAACAGAATAATTTTCCGTTGTTCAATTGATTCGAATTCACATTTGAATAGAGATAATTTTGAAACTTGATATAGACAAAATGCTGTAAAAAGATAAAATTAACCTTTGAAAACTGATATGGACAGAGCTACAGTTACACATTTTCCATTATTTTTGTAACACAGTGATTGATAATTGATATCACAACATTAGCAGTTCTACAAATTGTAACAATTCACAAAAATTCACACTTAAGATTTCATTTTATTTAATGCTGAGACATTGCTATTCGTCTTAATGTATTTATGGTTCTACTTAACGATAATTAATCGAATCCGGATTATTTCATATCTTATCGATAATGGCAATGTATTGTGCAAGTAAATTGTGACAAAAGACTGTACCCTGATTTGGTAACTTGAATCATCTCTATCAATAATTATTAAATTCTCCACATTTTATCACAGAAACAAAGATTCAACGAGAATAACTCTTATATTTTAAGGTTTAAAGCTCACGAAATAATAACTAATTCCTTCAAATTCGCAATTTAAGGAACAGTCTAAGTGTTCTGAAGGCAACCCTCTAGAAATATAAAAAAGAATTGTTCATTCTAAACAAGTTCATTCTAAACAAGTTTCCAGTCATCATGATGTTAAACTGTTTCAAAGTTCCAAGTATACACAAAAAGTAGACTCGGACGACGGTTCAGGTAATATCTCAGTTCAGCGCTCACCGTGTCATTCAGTGACTCAGTATTCTGTATCGGGACAGCTTTTAGGATCTTGCTCCACATTCCACAATACTCAACATACCGCAATCCAGTTCGTGTCCAATACAACAGGCTTTTATTGGTAAGTTCCGGTATAAAGTTATCTAGCTATCTGACATTTGATTTTAGAAACGCGACTGATAAGACAAACGACTGATAAGGATCTCAGCTGATAAGACTTGCGACTGATAAGATTTGCTAACACTGGATGCTCTCTAAACAATCCATAATCTCTAATCACGTGTTATCACGTGTACTCCACGCTCACATTCTGCATCTCAACATTCTGCATCTCTACATCTTTACTCACAGTAGTAATAACCTCTTCTTCCTCATCTTCATCATCCTCATCTTCTTCTTGTCTGTCGTCCTCTACCTGTAATCCTCCCAGCACAGTCTTCCTCCCGAGTATAGATATATCCTTGTGTTTGAGGTTCATGTGCCTGGTGAGACTCTCAGTGCTGCTGAACATGGCCCCACACACGTTACACGTGTAGTATTCCATCAGAGGCATATCATCAACAGACACTGACTGGGTGGATACAACTTGTTGAACTGCTGACTCCTTTATGGCGTTGGATTTGCGTGGTGCTGCTGCTGCATGCGCGTGCGCGAATTCAATGTGAGTTTTCAGATCAACTTCTTCTTGGAACGATTTCCCACACGTAGCACAGTTAAAGAACAGACCGTCTATATCTCCCGAATTGTTCTTATCTTTCTTACCATTATTAGCAGTTTTATCAGCCCTTATCTCAGGATGTGCCACCTCCAGATGCTTCACGAACTGTTTCTGTTCCTTGTAACTCCTCCCACACAAATCACACTCAAAGTCATCGTTCTTCTTGGAGTGCATCTTGAGAATGTGACTCTGCAGGGCTTTAGGTCGGGTAAAGCTTCTAGAACATTCCGGGCAATCGTATGTAGACTTGCTTCTCTGTTGCTCTGACACAATGTCATTGATAAGAGTGTTACTCCATGTACCTCCCTCCTTTTTCTCAACTCGTAACTCAGGAGGGGCAGGGCTGTTGTTGTTGTTATTGTTCACTAGTTCCTGTTTCAGGATTACTATTTGGTTTTTAGAGTTGTAGCGGAGTTTTTCTGGCGTGCTGACGTCTTTTACTGGCATGAAGTTCTCGCAGTCTTCTCCTTCGTCGTGAACCATCTCCTGAGGTTGATGAGGTTGTTAATTAGTAAGGTAATTAGTTAATGAGTTAGTTATTTAATAGCAGAGCCAGTCAGTCATATTAGAAGAGATAGGCAGCAAAGCGTCTAAGAGAGAAGAAAGATCAAGTAAACTTTTAGACTGTTGGTTTTCTCATCAGAAAGATAAGCAAGCAATTATCAATAATTTGTATTCAACCTGGCTGCTTTAAAATAATTATTCATTTAACTAATTAGCTAATTAGCTAATTACCTGTTCATGCTGCAGTACAGTTGAGAGCGGGGTGTCTACTAAGCTATCATCTTCAACCATTGTCTGGTGAATGTTTTGCACATGTTCCATCTTGTCCTCTATACCTTGTTTTGGAAGTAGTACTGTTATTGCTTAATATCATCGTTAATTATAGTCATCAGATATTATCTATTAGTCATCAGATATTATCTATTAGTCATCAGATATTATCTATTAGTCATCAGATATTATCTAGATATTTGTTAAGAGAATTATACAGTACAGTAGAGTAGGAGCGGTATACGAATACATCGCTGATGGTGTTATCACGTGAAACTTAAAGTTCGCTTTTATATGTTACACACTATCAATTATTTACCACACTAAAATAACCAATTAGCTATTTATAAATTAACTAACAATTAAAGACGTCCCCACAGAACTGGCATTCTTGTTCACTGTGGTTGAAATGTGAGCGTGTGATAAACGCGTCAGGATCCTCCTGGTTGTGGTCCTTCCGGATGTGATGTCGGACTGTCGTCTTGTTTCTGTACCTGATCACGTGATTAATTAGTAGCTAATCAGTTAATTGGTCAATTAGGTGGATCATAAATCAATGGCGTTTCAATGGCTCTTTGCTGTTAAGTTAATTTTTGTTACCTGACTAATTTTTGATAATTTAAAAAATTAGAATCTACTTACTTCCTCTTGCAGAGCCCACAATCGTAGGTCCTAACGTTCACCACCTCCCCGCTGCTACCGATACTCAACCCTGCCTCTTCCATGTGTTCCAGCTGATTAATTCATTAATTAGTCAATTAGCTTATTAATTAATTATTTGGAACATAATGTGTGCGGTAAAAGCATGACATTTTCGTAAAGAAGGTTAGAACCAAGGGCCAGCTGTAAAGGGGGCTACCTTCACACAACACCACGTGTGATCACGTGACCAGCATGTGATAGTCACGTGATAGTCACGTGATAGTCACGTGATAGTGGACTCACCTGATAAACGTATGTGTCAGGAGAGAAGGGAAGACCGTGGTGTACTTCTATGTGTTTCTTGATGTCGCTGTATCGACCTGGGGTTCAATTATATAATTAGGGGAAAATAGCGGTTATTATCTGAACAATTAGCCTGTTGTTCAATTAAAAGGATCTGGTATTAACGAAATAAGAATGGTAAAAACAGTATTTTTGTCAGGATTATTCGACATATTATTATAGAGTGTTAAAGTACAAGTTCCCGATAATATTTGCCATTTTAGGAACCCTCTGAAGGTGACACGCATTAGAACTCTCCGTCAAATTTAGTGGATTAGCAGAGTGAATATTATGTAAATGTATAGTTGTACAATGTACAATGTACACAGTTGCAGTGTGTATAGCGTGTTACTTGATGTGTAACGTGTATAGCGTGTAGCATGAACTATCAAATATTGCGATAGTTATGTACATTCTCTATTGTGAAGAGCGTGCTTAAGTAACATGGCTCCGCATTTATTCGGTACGGTGGTGGCATTCTGCTGTATATAATGCATATTATATATTATATTTTCTTAACTTTTAAAACAGCCGTTAATGATACATGCAAAAAACCGAGTTGCTAATAGTAAAATGGCGATGCACATTACACATTTACACAATACATTTGTATCTGGCAAGTTCAGTATGTATTTTAATTGGTTAGTGCAAATAAAATATTGCATGGGACGAGCCTTTTTCAAATGAAATTGAATTAACAACTATACTATGTACTACTAATTAGAGTAATTACCGAAGGGGTTGCCACATTTAGCACATCTGAAGGGTCTGATGGCTTGTATTCTCTCCATATCCTCCTTGGACACCGCCTGGCCGTGTATTGTTTCTATGTGTCTCTTTACGTCTGACTTTCGTGTAAACCTCCTTCCTGTGGGAATAAGATAATAGAACAACGAGATAAGAGATAACAGAAAAGAGATAACAGACAAGAGATAATAGACAAGAGATAAGCGACTAGTCTATTATAACTGTATAATTAATATAATTATTTAATCAGACGAATGAATAATCTTCATCACCCTAACGTTAATCACAGGTGCCAACAGCTGTATTAGTTAGCGTCTTACCACAGATACTGCAGGCGTACGGTTTGAGATGAATGTGATCACTCTGCATGTGCCGCTTCAGTTCCACCGCTTGAGCAAACGTCTCCCCACATTCAACACAGACACCACCTGCTTTGTCAGATAATTACGATAATTAATTAGATGATTACGATGATTTCTAGATAATTCAAATGAGGGTTTAAAATTCATAACAGCTCACGTCACTTTCAAATATGGTATCATCATAATTAATAGACAGTCATGATATTAAAGAAAATTAAAAGAAATAAAAAGAGTAAAATATTTACCATTACCTTCTTCAGAACCGTCAAAGTATTTGTGTCCCTGATTGTTGATGCGCGAGTTCGGGTTATACCGGGGAGGTTTCCTAGAGCGCTTTGCTTGGTAGTCTGACATGTTGCGCTTTGCCATCAGCGCTGACCTTTTCCGTTTTTTCAGCTCTGATATGTCCTTAGGCCACTTGAGTGGTTCGGTGCCAGGATGCTGTTCTAATATGTGCTCCTGAAGGTATGTCAGAATAAAATAAAAACAACTGAATTGACACGGTTTTTAGTTTTTCCTACTTAGGCTATAAGTTTGAGAAGAGGTCTTAGAGCATATAAATGAAATTAAAATAATATAATTTATAAAATCTGTTTCGAAATATTCGAAATAAAGTACCTGATAGTCCAGTTCGTTCACAAAAACTTTACCACACTCGCAAGCCACAGTTATATACATCTCGTTCCTCTTGTTTCCAGCAAGTGGACCACCGGGCTTTTTAACGGGGGAAACTTGCATTTCATGGTCAATCTCGATGTGTACTTTCAGTTCTAGGAAAAGGGTTTTATTAATTCATAAATTAATTTATCTGGTGTTCCAACTCCTATGCTATTCACTAACTTTCATAATGTATGTAAAAAACGTTTTTTTGCTTCAACATCGCACGATTGACTACACATTTAACACAAGTAAGTTTACTGACCCTGCTGGCTCTCAAAGACAAGCCGACAGTGTGGGCACTCAAACCCTCTGTTGCGCAGCATGTTCTGTTCCCCGTGCATACTGATGAAATGTGCATTGAGCTGCATCTTATCTTCAAACAGTTCCTCGCACACTTCGCATTGCCATGCTGAGTCTTCCGGCTGACACACCTCACTGCAGAGTGCTTGAGTTAGATAAATATGGAAAGGGGATCATCACATTGTCATCCAATTCTTAGATAAATGGTGAATAGTAGTAATTCCCATTTTTTTGGCATGATCAAAGCTGGTTTTGTAACTTTGTATTGATGAAAATTGTACATCAAGTTTTGACTAACCAGTGTAATTTTAGTTGGTTAGGAGAGAGAAATGTTTCCTTGCAATTGAGACATCTGAACATGGGGTCTTGTGAGGTGGCTTTAGCGGCCGGCTCAGTTTCCGTTTGTCCCTGAAATATTATTTGTTTAACATTGTTTGGATCATGATTGATTCTGACTTTAATTAACAATCCTTAAGCAGTATACAGTATTATGAACATTGCTCGGGAATATTATGACTGGGATAAAGTGGTGGGTTTTGGAAAATTCCGCCATATTTTTCCCGGTCATTAATTTTCCCAGTCATAAATTAACCCGCTCGCGCTATAATGTTCCCGAGTAAGGTAGGTAAAATCTTAAATCTATACCTGAGAAGTAGCGGCTCTATTCTCCATGTAATGCTGTTTAAGATGGTTGTTTAACAGTATCCTATCTCTGAACCCTAACATGCAGCTTCTACAAAAGTGTGGTGTGTTGGGCTGTGAGAGACTGCTCAGACGCCAACATTCCCCACTCTCATCGTCTGACGTACCGTCTTCGTAACCCTGCAATCAAAGTTTCATGAGGAACATGAAATGAGTGAGAATTAAACCTAATTAAATTTTACAAATCTGTTTCAATAATTCATCTGAGCTCAGATATAACTGAAATATTTATGATCTTACCATTTGCAGAGGCCTCCGTATGCTGTGCATTTTAAAAGCTTATTAAGCACTCCAATAGATTCCCTTCTTTTTGGCTATTTAAAGTTTTTTATGATGATATATTTAAGATGTTAGTATAGATGAAATTTGTCATAATTACACACTTCCAAGGCAATTTTAAAATACTTAAAATTAGTATTAATGTAATGATAAGAAACAAATATATCTATCAGTTTAATGGACACAATAAAAAGCTAAACTTTTGTGAATGGTATAAAATATCAGTTTTTTAGATAAATAGCTGTCAATATTTACACCCCACTTGCGGCGAAGTTATTGTTCCGCATAGTGTACAACTTACAACACAAATAAACAAAATATAAACACCTCCAGTTTACAAAACCAAATCATTCAGCTACTTATGCCTGCTGTGCAGTTTGTTGCTGAGCCTGAGCTTGTATCTTCAACTGCAGGATTTCGGTGGTAACCTGTCTCAGCTTGTCCTTTTCAATCAAATTCTTTTGAACAACTTCCATCTTCTTTGTAATGTATTCAGTAATTCTTGTGAAATACCCTTTGGCTTCAGGAATGGTCATTTTAACATGATAGCCAGTACCAATGTCAATTAAAACTTTTTCAATGTTAGCAAGCTGACCAGGTACATACATTGAACTTGTCAGGGGCACCAAGACATCTTTACCAACTTCTTTCTTGGAAAGCTTTAGGACACTCTCTTGAGATTCCATGAAGCGGGACTGAACACCTTTCAGTTGAGCAAGTGACTGAGTAAGCATTTGCTCCTCCTCTTCGAATTGTGTGCGCAGCTGATTTAACTGAGGCACTGGAAGTTGAGCCAGATCAACAGCTTGGACATTTTCAGCAGCCATGTTTGTACAGCTATCTAAGATGAATGATGATTAAGTAAGACACAATTTGATTTTACAATATGCACTACTAGAGGCTTTCATAGAATGCGGACTAACGTAACAATAATTGATATTTTGTTTAATTTTGCAAATAAGAAGAACAAAAAAATTTAGAGAGGTTGAGGGGAATTATACTACACATGAGCAATTGTAAAACAAAAACTCCTTAATTAAATACAAGTATGATGTAGGAGAATTTTGTGTCGAAGCTAAAGTACATGGGTGCCTGAAAAGTGGAATTTCCCTTGGAGGACAGTGATGGTACTTCTGAAATGGGCACTGACTGTGTGGATAGTGACTTTAAATGGCTGAGGCATGCATTATAAGCAATCAATACAGCCATGGTGCAAATCGCTTTTCGGAAGATCAATTAGCCAAAGTGATCAAATGGCTCACACAAGCACTCTATATAGAAACCTGATATATTTGAACAGCTATCTAAGATAAATTGTGATTAAGCAAGACACAATTTGATTTTGCATGCACAACTAGAGGCTTTCATAGAATGCGGACTAGTGTAACAATAATTGATAATTTGTTTCAAGGGGAATTATACTACACATGAACAATTGTAAAACAGAAACTCTTGCATTCGAAAAAATTTAATTAAATACAAGTACGATGTAGAAGAATTTCGTGTCTAAGCCCACTGGCGTAACGTTGCCTGTTGGCACCCCCCCCCCCCCCCCCTGCCGAAAAAGCGCCCCCCTAATGGTGCCCCCTCTCCTTTTGGTGCCCCCTCCCCTTTTGGTGCCTCCCTAAAATTGAAAAAAGTAGGTGATTTTAGAGGATACACCGATAGAATCTCAAAAAAGTGTGTTTCTAGAGCAAAATACACAGTATTGCTAGTACCTCAGTAAAAATATAAAATTATTCAAACAATATACACATAATATAGCAATGACCCTATATAAAATCAACCCTTTAAGAATTCAAAAAATTCCCTTAACAATCAAAAATTACCCTTGGCCTTGTGGCTCCAAGTTAAGATCTAGACTGTTTATATCAACAATGTTTTTTCTCGCACCTCTGTCCCCACGGAGAGATATCACTGTTGTTCTAAGGATTTCAAAGCAAAGGCGCTTTCTGATGTATCCTACAGCGTCTGAGTACCTCTGGCCAGTGTGGTACTCCATCTTACTGGCCAGTTTCTTGACCAGTCTCTCAGCTTCACCACCCATTCCACCAGAAGTCGAGAACACTAAAGGTGTGAAGCTTCCTTTCTCCACTTCAAGAACCCTTGCATTGTAACATCGCTTTTTCTCATTTTCATGGGACAGGTACATTGCTGGTATCGATTTGCTTGCATTAGTACCTCAGTTCAGTTTTTCAAAATTGTCCCACATTCGAAAAATGATTTGGCACCCCCTAAGATGCTCCCCCACCCCATCCCGGACAGCAGGGTTAGCAGGGCCCTTTATCACGCCACTGTCGAAGCCAAAGTACATGGGTGCCTGAAAAGTGGAATGTCCCTTTGGACGGTGCTGGAACTTCTGAAAATGTTGGGCGCTGATTGTGTGGCCAGTGACTCAATGGCCGAGGTATGTATTGTAAAAGCAATCAATACAGGCATGGTGAAAATCGTTTTGGAAGAGCAATTAGCCAATGTGATCAAATAGCTCACACAATTAATCTATATAGGAACCTCATTATCCAACGTGGGCTCAAAGCTTTAAAAAGGGAGCCATAATTTAACACAATCAACATATATAGAAAAACATACAATTTCATCTGCACGAAAAAACATGATAAACATTCCACATTATAAATCAGACTGATTGTAGTCGAATAAAAGGTTGATGTGTGTGTATTTTGCACTAAGGACTGAAAGACATGCTAAGATTAAACTCGGGATAGAGGCAACAGTGCACAACAAGCAATGCAAATTTAGGTATCATTATCATGATAGCAAGCATAAAAGGAAACGTTTTCAGTTTTATTGCAACTCTTCATTTCTAAAAGAGGGTCGATTCATAATTTAGGGAATATATTACAATAAAAAATTCCGCTATCAAAATAGTCATTACACTTCAATACAAAATTCATGAAAAATTGTTGTTAGCACACACTTACGTACTTTTAATTTTAAACTCTTGACTTGTAGCGCGATACGCTAGATCGGCGAGATGCGCTAGATCGGCGAAATGCGCTACTGTGCCGCGCCGAGCTGCCCTGAATTGACATCGTCAATTAAACTCTTGACCAGAACACAAACAACAAAACAAAAGAATATCATTAAACAATGCGACAAAAAATATTATGTATTTTGTTGTCTAGAAACTTCCATTAACTTGATAAAATTGAGAACGAAAGCACTATTAATACAATCACAGGCTGCTGACTTAAAAGAGACTTGGACTCCAAACAATTTTAAGTTACAGTAATTTAATCTAATTGCAGCAGCACATAACATAATTTAAACTATTGCTATCATTATTGTACTACAGACTGAAAATATCTCAGATCTATTTTGGGCGTTTTTAACAACTTGTATTTGTAATTCTTAAATATTAGATATCCTAATTTATAACTTTTTAATCAGAGTGAATTAATAATTGATATTTGATAATTTATTTATTTATTTGATAGTTTAGTCTGATATTGATATTAATATTGATTATATTGATATTGTTATTATTGAATGAAGCTAATTCCAGACATAAATAATACTACTTCTATTAACAAAGGGACTTGGAGTATAAACGACCAATTTTGCATAATTGTCTTTCCAACCAAGAATTCAGGAGGCAAGGGTGGGTGCGTAAACTTTATGGTCTGCACTCTCAGATCCTGTATCACCCTGGATTCATTTCGACGTATTTTTGGTAAAAGTATACATATACTTTCTGGTCACTCTCTTGCTACTCCAAGTCCCCTAAGATATATGGTCTAAAGTTTGCACTAGTTATATATACTAGCAGGAACCCGTCTAACCCTAAAGTGGTGTCAAGACTCAAGAGACTAAAATAATTAATATCTATTTAATTCGCGTTTTTGACACCACTTGGGGGTCCAAATTTTGGGTACTAAAATTCTTATTCCTTGGCCAATATTTTATTTTTTTATGCTGATTTGAAGGCCATAAAGGCATTTGACCCAGTCAAAAAAGTTTCAGTTGTATATCTTTTACGGTTTTTGCGGAAAGTCGCGTTAAAGTTGATGCCGTGGTGTCAGTAAAATGGCACGGATCCATCCATATATATCGTCTCGCTTTATATACTAGCAGGAACCCGTATGATATAACCCTAAAATGGTGTCAAGACTCAAGAAACTAAAATAATTATTACTTATTTAATTGGCGTTTTTGACACCACTTGGGGGTCCAAATTTTTGGCATTAAAATCATTATTCCTTGGCCAATTTTTTATTTTTTCATACTGATTTGGAGGCCATTTAAGCATTTGAACCAGCTAAAAAAGTTTCAGTTGTATATCTTTTACGGTTTTTGCGGAAAGTCACGTTAAAGTTGATGCCGTGGTGTCAGTAAAATGGCACAGATATATATATATATATCGTCTCGCTTTATATATAGTAAGATAGTAAGATAAAATATGTTTTTGTCTGCTTTAACTGATACTAAATAAAATTGTTGTTTTCTTGAAATTGTTGTTTTCTTGAATTTGCTTCGAATAAATCTGAAGGTTATTTTGCAAATTCAATTAACCGTGTGCTTTTGCACCACTACCTTAATGGCAATTATGTGTCCCCACCGGCCTCGTTATGCATTGCTAAACAATCACAGCCCGCGCGGTGTGCGTTTCAGAAATCTGACCAGTGATCGCTACAAACAAGTTTCGAAGTTTTATGTTTGTTTTTACTTTACGTGCGCGCAGCTCAATCTTGTCGGATCATTGTAAAAAAGGCAAAATTGATAGTATAATCAATAATATACTAAAAATAAATTACCCAACGCAAACTGCACCGGGTCAATCCATTAAATAAACAATTATAGCGAAGCACAATTGGGTTGTAAATATATAATATAATAATAACTATTGCTTTGGCGGGTGCGCGCGCTTCTGCAATGACTTTGGTCATACTCTTATAGCTTGCAGACCATTGTTAATGATTTGGTTGATACATGTTTCGTATTCCGCCTTCGGCTTCGCGCGCGAAAAGTGGCATGCAACGTATGTCAATGATTTGGCCCGGCGTGTGCTACTTCGAGAAAAAAGCGGCGCGCGCTACTTCGAAGAAATTTAGACAATTAACATCCGTCAACCTTGTAGCACGATATGTTACTGGGCCGAGCCGCGCAGCCAATAATGCAATTATCGCAACCACTTTGTTAGTAAAACAAAATTTTAGTAAAACAAAATTTTTATTTACCACAAAACAATCAATACATATTTAATATTATTATACATTTACAAATAAATCTAAATTTAAATTCAGCTATATACACAATACACAGCCCGCCGCGCAGACAACCACACATTGCTGAGAGATTCTCAGGTGCAGATGTAAGCACCGCGCGCGTGAGGTTTGTTATTTTACAATTACATGTCACGATATATTATTAATTATCAGAGAATTTTAGAAGCAAAATAATAATTGCATATTGGGAAAATTTCGGTCGTTAACGCAGTACAGGGCGTGGACACTGCGATGCTAATAACGGAAAATTTTGAGGCACGAGTTTCATTCAGCTACCCAATTTATATGTGACATGTACTTGTATTAAATTCAGACAAATGTCAGTAACAATCGACGTCAACATTGTGCAACTGTAAACTGCAAAATGTTAACGTCGATTATCACTAAATCACATCTCGCAAGTTACTAATTCTTTGCACTATATATGTTACGTCACTATAGCATATGTCATTCATATTATACGTTATATAAGATAAAAATAAACATTTTATAATTGTTTCAATGTTCAACACTGCTAAAAAACAAATACCTACTTGCCCATCGATTAAGCAGTCGCCAAAACAAGGCTCAAAGTTAATTTACCT